GTATGTATATCAACATATATTAAATTAGGAGCATTTGAATAAAAAATGCAAATTTAATTTAATATTTATCTTTTGTGAAAGATTGATTCACATAATTGTAACAAGTATGAAATCAACTTGTAATGTGATATTAAAATAGGCCTTGGTATGTTCTCCAACCTATGTAAAATTGAGGACATTTGGAGGTATTTGGAAATTTACAGAAAATTAATTAATGAGTTTAATTAATTTTATTTTAAGTGTTTTTAATCCCTTGATTCGATATTTGATGTGATACATGTGAAGACTATTCTATGTCTCTTAACATATATTAATTTGAGATTATTTGGGATTGATTTGAAATTTAGAGAATTTAATTATTTTAGTTAATTAAAGTCTATCTACTTGTTCCATGGATTTAATTGTCTTTGAAATTGTTTCTATGTTTAAATCAAAGAATTGGACTTAGCATAATATAGGATATCATTGTCTTGCATGACTTGTTTAAATATATCTTGTGTAGGTATATAGCTTATTAGAATAATACAATTATTTACCTTGAAAGCTAGTTATTAAATTGTAGCTTATTTAGTAGTTGTGACTTAGGATGGTAATTTGGTTCAATTGTTGTAAAATATTCTTACTTTGAGTATAAATTGTATATTGAGGACATGACATGTCATATGCTATATAGACTTGAATTATAGGACATGTTTTGTGTGGACTCAACCTTACTTGTGCATGAAATGTGGTAACTTGCATTTGATTTTGTATAAGTTTTGAACTTATTGATTTTGGAAAGCTTGTGGGGACATAATTTATGTGATGGCTAGGGTTTGGCTCTAGTATGTAGACAAGTGTTCTCTAAGTCATAAATGCGCACTAGGCGGTACCTTATATGTCATAATTACCCGAAAATACTTGCTTGATCTAGCGACTGCATGTCCTAGTCTTTCCACTATTTGATTTCGCATTTAATTTCAAGTTGTTAATCATGGATTACTTGTAGCTTGAGAATTGATGCTTACTTTGGGTATTTGAATCGTATTTAGTATACTTGAACTTGCCGTGTATACTTGTCTTATGCGTATTTTGTTTAGCTTAGTATATTTGTATTTGTATAGTTGATTTATGAGTACTCTATATATATATCGAATACTTATGTATGTATGTTGGATATTGTTTTTCTTGTTTGACATGATTTAGGGTACTTGAACATGTATGCTTGTATGTCGTGTATCATGCTTTAATACGATTTAGTGTACTTGAGCATGTATACTTGTATGTTGTTGTTCATTTCAATTGCATGAGTAGTTTATGATGATCTCTGATTCTCATTTTGGCATAGACGTTAGGTGACACGAACCCCTTTAACATGTTTCACCTTAAGGTGATATAATTGTAAAATGCTAGGTCGATGCATGCTTATTTCCTATGAGTAGCTTTATGTTACTCACCCACGTAGTGGGGACATTTTTCAGGTATAGGGACCTTGATTTTGGATGCACACTAAGCCATGGAAGTTTCGTAGACTTGAAGTATCATTTTCATGAAAATGTTGGCATGCAATCCTATTTGTAGTTTTGTATGTCAAAACTTGTATCTTTGATTCCATATATGTAAAGTGTACATAAATACATCTTTTACGATGTATTTGACATGTATGAGATGAGGCCGGAGGTCAATGACTATTATTTTGTATCCTATGTAACTTTTGACTTCAAGAAATATTATGGAAATATTAGAAAATGACAAGTCATTACTTCACCATGTTTGCCTCGGATGTGGGAATTCCATTTTTATTCTTTCATAAGGTCTCATTAATCATGTATGATGTGTGGCCAAGGGTCAAACGGTAATTTGAAACCATTTCATTCAAATTTTCCATTTTGAGTTTATTTTCATCATTTTTCGTCATTTTTAGCTGTTGGGGGGTCGTATTTTGCATCGGCCATTTTTGAGAGCCACGGACCATTCCCGCGTGCTTAAAAACACTATATACGTTTGCGTACATAATCATTTTAACCTAGAAATGCATTTAGGGTCAAATGAACACTTGGTGCAAAGTTGCATTTTCCTTATTTTTGGCCTAGACTGATAGGGGCGTTCTGGGCATTTCACAGTGTGTTTTTTTTTTTTTTTTTTTCTTCTTCTTTCGACATAGTCAGGTAAAAAACGTGATTTTAGGGGAGCTTTCTTCTTCATATTTTTTCAGAAAATGTTGTCTTGGTACCGAAAATCCCTTACAAAATTCAGTTTTCTACTATGCATGTCATGTAACTTTTTAACCCTTTTGGCCTAAACTGATCTAGGGGCATTTTGGAAATTTTTTTTGAAAACTAAATTCTGGTCTTGACATAGTCACGTAGAAAACGTGATTTTAGGGGGGGTTTTTTCACAATATTTTTTCAAAAAATGTCATCTTGGACCCGAAAACCCTGCGTCAAATCTGATTTCCTGTGCGCACCTGCGCTATTTGAAAAAGTCTGTTGTAAGGGCATTTTGGGAATTTCATATCAAAAATAAAATTTTCTTTTGACATGGTCAGCTTGGAAAAATTATTTTAGGGGGGGTTTCTTGTTTGTGTTTTCCAGAAAATATCGTTTAGTACCTCAAAACGGCGCACGAATTTCAGCATTCTGCTCAAGTTACTATTTATTGCTATCAAAGCACTATTTGCGGCGTCGGCGACGTGAAAACTTTGTTTTGACTTTGCTCTTTCATCCGGACTCCAAAATAAAGTGATTATTGAGTCTAATTTGATTAATTTTTTGCTGTCTTTCTAATGGTGTATTCGGTAGCACCCAGATCTTGCTAAAAATTACTATTTTACCCTTGGGGCTAAACTTGTCCGGTTTTTTATTTATTTATTTCTTCCGCTATGCTTTCTCATGAGTTTCGTGACTTCATGGGAAGTCATGAATGTGTCTTGGGAATGATGTACATTTCTAGAGACGTTACTTCCATGTAAAATATTATTTTGCAATTGGGAGCTTATTTGGTTTTTTTCTGATCTTTTCTTTTGCGTCGATTCTCGTGGAGTTCCGTGGCCTTATGAAAGGTCACTTTGGTATCCTAGGGATGTTGTATATCCCTAAAGACTTATTTTTTGTTTTCGCTTCTGCATTTCGGATCCGCTATCGGGTCAAACTACGGTTCATCACAGGACGCACTGGTTTGAAAAACCAGGACCGTCACACCCTGAATCTAAATAGTTATTTCCGCGGTTACCAAGGTAATGAAACACATCTTTTTAGATGAGATTACAATCTTGTTAAAATGATGCATTACTTACTGTCTTCTATAACATTGGTGGTGAGAGAGTGCACGAGGTGGGCATGACATGACAAGCAAAACAACAATGTTTACTATAATTAATTTGGCATCCTCATTCTTCTTCCATTTTTCATATTTCAATTCTAACAATTTCTTATATATATATATGTATACGTATACGTATACGTATATAATATATATATATATATATACACACACACACACACACACACACACACACACTAAGTTATTCATTTTTTATTAACTTAATAATATTTGTGCATTCTCACATATTAGTACTAAAATAAAATATCTCAGTTTTTCCCTTCTTTCTCTTTTGGCAGAAACAAGTGACCTTCCAATGCAAATTCTTCCGCATGGCTTCCTAGGGTATATGATTTAAATAATGCATACATATTCATATGTATCTCCAACCAATTTGTTCCTATAGATAAAATTACTCAATTTAATTATATATAGAAGTTTTGTTACTTGAGATAAAAAATTGAAAAACATAAAATTTTATTTGTTACAGGAAGATATTTGGATATAAAGGTGTCAAGTACTCTGGTAGCAATATTGGGTAAGTTGACTATCCAACTTTGGTAGTAATATTGGGTAAGTTGACTATCCAACTTTAGCAGCAATATTGGATAACCTTAAGCCAGTTCTTACTTTCTTGTTTGTAATTATTTTCAAATACTATGATTTATGGAGTAAATTAGTCAATTATAATTAATTGTCAATATATATATATAAAAATAAGAAGAAATATTATTTATGGAGAAATATTGGCATGCAAGTGATTGGTGTTTGCGTTTTAAATTCATGATCGAATTTGTTATGTTACATATTAAATTTTTTTAGAACTGAATAAATTAATTATCTCAGAAGCCTTTATGAAGTCAGGCTCCATTTAAGGTGAAACATAATCCTTCTCACATTGAATATGAATAAACAACTCAAATATTTTGTTTTTCCTTAAGTGAATTATGTTATGATGCAATGAACTTTCCATCATTCGTTTTTAAGAAAAGAAAAAAAATACACAAAGTTTTGACATTTTCGGTGGGGTGTTTGACAACTATATTTTAGACTTATAATTGCAAATCAAGAATAATTTATAAATTTATAATAATTGTTTTGTTTTTGAGATGTGAATTTATTTGTGCAAGTTCAAAAAATATATATATATATTTAAAAAATAAGAAAAAAAAAAAAGTTTATGATGTGCTACAATATTATTATTGTCTCTATAAATATATATAAAGCAGATTATATGATAGCACATTATATCATACTTCATTTCTACATTTAAATTCTTCAATTTATTAGTTTTTATAATTTTAAGAAATTTTAAACGTTATTTCTTTCAAGAATTTTTTTTATCGCGTTATGAGCGTGCACTTTTGCTAATAAATATAAACACGTACAAAAGTTTTAACATCATTTTAAAAACTTTATATATTAAGTTTAAGAATATCGAATTAAATCAATTTCAAATCCTTACTAACTGTACTAGGTTTTACAAAAATTTGGCTGCTTTAATAAACATGAGACCCAAAAAAAAAAAAAAACACACTTTTAAGTATTTAAAAAGAATTGAATCCAGTATTTACCTCAATTATGAATGGTCAAATCAATCGATTTTTTGGTACAGATATTCAAACTTATAGTTTTTCTTTTTGTACATGTTTTCATCACGTGACACGTAACAGAACTAAAAAGACTCAAAAGTCCAATTAGGCAGTAAAAATCATTCGTCTCCCTGGACACAAACATTTATCGATACACGCATAAGTTTGAATTGCAGAACAACTCTCTGCGCTCGGTCGGTTTCTCCGATGGCGGCGTCAAACCTATGGCTCTTCTCTATACTCCTAGCCCTAATTCTCACAACGACTACGGCAGTTTCAGCAACGGAAGACGATAATCTTCCCAAATCAGAGATTTCAGATTCATCATTGAAGATCGAACTCGACCAACTTAATTCAAAGATCACCTTTCTAGGTCTTTTTCGAACTCTCTCTCTATGTCTACTTTTTTTTTTTTTTTAGATTCTCCTGTTTGGTTGCCGGGAAAAACTTGGGAAAGAGAGAACTTGTTAGTTTGAGAAGTTCATATTTTTCACTGTTTGGGATGGCGGAAATAAACACCTCCACTCTATTTGATTGATCACAACTAGGTTGGCTTAGTCGATTAGTTTTTTTTTTTTTTTTTTAGTTTTCTTGCATGTTTGGCTGCCAATGAAACAGAAGAAAATAGATTAGAACTATGAATTGTGTGATTTCTTTTGGTTTCTGGAACAGTTTTTAAATTTGATGAGGCATATTTAGGTTTATTCGAGCAGTTATTATACCATTTTAGGTTTTTTTTAATGATAAAAGGTTATATTTTGTAAATTGTATTCCAGTTTTATTCTTTACTGTTGTCAATAGTACATAAACCTTGAGGGTTTGATTACCTCTTCATTTCACACATATCCTTGGCTACCAAATGGAGTATTAATCTTATAGTTGAGTCTTGTTACTCACAGGTCCGGTAATTGTTTTTCTATGATATTCCCTCTCCCTCTCTTCAAAAAATTGTTGGATTTTTGTTGTTAATTTATGTATTTGTCTATTATCTCTGTCTTAGAAGTTCAATAACTTCGAAGACTGTATTGTTGTTTTGGCTTTACAATTTTGCTATGTATGAATTGGGAAAAAAGAGAAAGAAAGGAATTTTTGGTATATTTGATCTTTTCTTTTTCTCTTTCCTTTCAATTATTCAAGTTGTAAGATGCTAGTACCTTGGCTAGTAAATTGATTGTCCTCTCTCCCTTTTTGCACGAGTTTTTATTTTCAACATTGTTTTATTTTGTGTGTTAAAGAATCCAGCATTGATGAGAGATCCCGTGAATTGAAAAGCAATGACGAGATGATCAAACAGATGGAGAAGATTATTCACGAAAAATCAGCTACCATTGCAATTTTACATAGTGAGATACAATCACTCCAGGTGAGGATTTAGGACACCTTTGAACAGTCAACTAGTCACTATCATACTAATTAATTATGATATTAGATTAAAAAACTGTAATGCTGCAAATGGTATGGTCAGATGAAATGCCCGACTCTATTTCCACAATACAATGACACTGTAACTGCTATTTGGCTTATTTGATTTTTCTCAACAGGGTTTCTGAAGCATTATATAATTAGTTTTCCAAATGACGTTTGGTACTGAAAGTTTCATCTTATAATTTCTTCATTCTTATATAATCTTTGTTTTTTTTTTTTTTTTTTTTTTTGACTTTATTCTTTTAACACTTGTTTTCATTTTCATTTCATTTTTTCTGCAATTTGCATGCAACAAATGACCTTTATTTACCATTATAGTTTTTCAAAACTATTGCTTCCACCAATGTACTCTCTCTCTCTGACTTTGTGCTTGTGTACGTACATATTCTTAAAATATGAACATGTTTTAAGAAGTGTATCTATATGACAAAGAAGTGGCAAGAACATTAATTTTGACAAATGAACTTTAAACATCGCTGATTGTATGAATGAAATGAGGTATGGAGCTTTTCTGACGAGATTAATTTTTTATTTTTATTAGCAACAGGGATCTTTAGATGCTAAAGAGCAGATAGACAAGGCTCATGTGCGTGCTGTTGAACTTGAGAAGCAGGTAAGTTGTGTTTGAATCGGCATTCAATGATAATTTTTATAAATGTTGCATTCATCTAATATTATGTCACTTGGCAGATTGACAAACTTGAAAAGGAAATAGAAAGGCAGAACCAGAAAAAAGATGTTTTAGAAGCCCGAGCAAATGTAGCTGAGAAGAAAATCCTGGAAGTGAACTCAAAAATAGAAAATGTTAGTGTAATGCAAAGGCCATTTTCTCTTATGTTAGTGGAATTTAAATTTCTTATAGTTATTTAATGCTATAGTTCCGTTTTAATGAACCTCAATTTTACTGCAATGATACTTCTTACATTTTATACATATTACTGTGCTTATACTTCTTTTTCTTTATTTTTTTAGCTCGGGGTTATATTTACTTTCTCTGTGGAGCATTGTGTCATTAACCATCAGTAGTGTCTATCCATTTAGAGAATATAGCCTTCTTTCTTCTAGATGAGCAGTGGTTTTTTTTTCTCTATCCCATAGATTTCGTTTAACATGGCTGATTAAATAGTGTTTTAAATGTCAGCCTGTATTATTGAGTCATTTGTATAATTCAGCTTTTAACCGCACCATTTGGTTGAAATTTTGATTTTATTATTAACCTCATGATTTCTCTTTATGAAGTCTCTGATTAATATTTTAGTAGTTGGTCCTAGCACTGTAAATTTTTAAGCTTTTTGTGTCTTCAAACCTACCTTCCCTATAAGGCGATACTGTTCTCAAACAACCCAAACCGCCCTTCCTTTGCTCCTTTTTCCATTTTGGCTATCCCAAAATTCATGTCTCACTTGATAAGTGAGTAATAAGTTGAATCTTTCCCAATATCCTTTTGAGTTGTGAAAACTTTCCTAAGTTGACAAATAATATTTTAAACTTCAAAGGGTAACTTGTGAATATCAAAAGGGGACAATGCATTGGAAGGTTGCACCGAGTAAGTCAGTTTGGGGGACAGAAGGCAGTTCTCTGTGCACCAGATACGTAGCTTACTGAATCAGTTGCGACATAGATGGGAATGGCTCAAATGGGACAATTAAATTGGGAAGGAGATTGTAATACTGTTTGATTGCTTGAACTAGCCGGTGAACCAGTCAGTGATACCTGGTTAATAAAAAATATTGACTAATAAATTGGTGGTGTTATATCTTGTAAGATACTAAAAATTAGTTAATGTGATAATTGTTTTACACCTCTTAGATTTGTTCTATTTCTTGATTTTCAAAGCCTGTATCTAATAGTTCTAGATCTATCAGGAGTCCTTTTTTTTTCTTTTTTCTTTTTTTTTTTGATAAGTTATCTATCAGGGGTCCATCAATTGGGTACTATGTGTCAGGCACCTCCATCTCATATAATGTTAGTATATCTTTTTAGGAATCTAACAGAAATATGCACTTTGAGCTACCTTTCAGTCAAGTTTCGTCAATAATACGTTGATGCCTTGATGGTTATTTTAAATTTCTTTGATAAGAACTAGCATTTGAGAATTGAAATCTTGTAGTTTAGTGCTGCTGGATATGTTTGGTGTTGGTTATAGTTTAATACTGTTTGTGTTCCCATAATATTTTTTATCACACTTTTTTCATCAAGAGTGTTCTTATAAAGGCAGTGTAGTGATGTTAAACAAGACTCTAATTTTCTTTCTGTTTGTTGTTGCTTTGCCAGCTCCAAAGGATCAATGATGAACAGAAGAGTAGAATTCGTAAAACAGAACGTGCTCTTAGATTGGCAGAGGTGTGTGGCAGATTATCGTCTGTTATGCTTCTATTTTGTTTTATGCAGGGTGATGACACTAATTTTGTGTTGTCTTCAGGAAGAAATGATGAAAGCTAAATTGGAGGCCACTTCATTTTCTAAAGATTTGATAGAGGTTATTGCTATTTCTTTAAAATGCTTTACATTATTAGTGTTGTTACTTTTTCTTTTACTTATTTCCCTTAATCCTTCTTAACATTATGATCTCTCTGGTGTCTTGTTGCATTTAGCTTTCCATAGTGATTGATTAATTTGTTACAGGAACTTTTGTTTGGAACTACTTGATCATAGCTAATGCAATTAACAATGGTTTCTGTAATGATCACACCATTTAATCTGTATATGAATTGTAGCATCACGTCTTAGCTTTTTATTGTTAGAAAAGAGAAGCATTCTGCGATATAATCAATATACACAATCTGTTTTCTTTCCTTGTTAAGGAATTTAGTAGAATCTTAAAAGAAATCTCAAAAAAATTACTGTATAATATGTCCTGCTGTACATTGTGCCCATTATTGATCAGCATTGGTTTTTTGACTTGCGAAATATGGTATCTGATCAATAATCAGGTTCGTGAAGCTTGGCTCCCGCCTTGGCTTGCAGTTCATTTAGTTCATTGCCAGGTAAATTATTTGTGTGTTTTGGCAGTCTTGTGGCAGGACATCCTGTTTTGACCGTTCATCTTAATATGCAGTCTTTTATAGCGACTCAGTGGAAGGAGCACGGAAGACCAGCGTTGGATGTGATGGTTCGAAAGGTCTTACTTATTTTTTGTCATGCAGCTGATACATCACCATTTTTGTTAATTTGGTGTAGGATTATGTAAGGGATCATTATCTTATGAATTATATTAGCCAAATTTTTTACAATTTGTTTGTTTGTTTTTTTTGTTTCTCCCCCTCAGGCATTGGAAAAGAAAGATCAAGTACAGAAGTGGGCCGAGCCCCACATACAAACAGTCAAAACTGTAAGTTGTCTGACTTTGTTGTATTTTGTGCTCTAAGATAAGATGTTTTGACATTGTGTTTGGTTTCTATGTTATATATCCTAAATTTGGATGCTTGTCTATGATATGAGTCTTGCAGTTTCTTTTTTTTTTTTCTTTAAATTTTTTATTTTGAGACTTTTTGTCATAGCGGCAAAGTCACTTGCTTTTATCCCTTCTATAATCATATTCTCTGGATTTTCCTTGATATGAAATTGCATCAGTGCTATAGCTGTGCAACTTCTCCCTGTTGGATGATTATTTGTGTTTTGGAAGTGTTCTTATTGTTCATTGATATAAAATTACGATTGAATGGGTTGGTTTTCCAAATTTTTGCTCTGTTATTTGCAGAAATGGATCCCAATTATCAAGGAGCATTGGTTGACATTTGTAACTAATATTGAACCACATGTGCAATTACTGAGTGCTAGAACCATTGAGGTTTACCATGCATCCAAGAATTCGATCGAACCACATGTTGTCAAAGTACAAGAGATGGTGGACCCATATATTCAGGTATATGTCACTGGCATTAATCATTTTCAGTTAAGTGGTTTTTGGGATGACACCCCTCCAATGGCTAACTTAACATGGTGACAGGAAGCTAAGAAGTTCACAAAACCATATGTTGATCAAGTCGCAACAGTAACAAAACCTCATGTTAATAAAGCACGTGTAACCTTGAAGCCCTATACGAAGAAAGTATTGCGTACTTATAGGAAGTTCATGAAAACTGCTTCTATATATCATAGCCAGGTATCACTTACCTTTTTTTCTTCCTCTCAATTACTACACTGGTATTATATGATGGTGGGGATGCCGCATGATTTGGCCTCCTGGATCTTATTTTGATTTTAGGGATTGTTTGCCACTAGCAATTATGTATAATTTGGAAAAAATTTCAGTCATTATGATAGTGAAAAAAAAAAAAAAAAAAAAAAAAAAAAGAGGTATTGACGAAGAAAGCATTCCCTCACTTTAGAATTTTTTTTTGACAGATTAGACGAGTAGGAAATGATTTGATAACTTTGTAAAGAATAATGATTTATTTATTTTAACAAAAACTTTGTTGAAAGGAGAACAATAGGAACTGAAATGAAACATTCTGCAAAACATGTTCACTCTTTCATGAGCATGACCTTTTAAAAAAGTGTATTGTTAGCCTCTCAGTTATCTTTATTTCTCTTTCATTTACTGAACTGAGAAAGTATTTGAAGTTTATTCTTCACCTTGTCTGAATAAGTTAAGGCTTCTTTGGCATCTATGTGATAATGTCAAGAGTAGCATCCCAGATTTTAGGGCTTTTTTAGGATTGGCTAATCTTTTTCTATGTGTTGTACTTCTTACCTATGGCAGAAGAGCTATTTCTTTACTAAAGTTTTTGATCCCTTGTTTTGCCATTTCCTTCACAGCAAAAATGGGGTTTTAACAGTAACATTAAGCGGTGTTTTGGCTATATCATAGCAGTTATGCAATGTAACAGCCGATATATAAGATGTTCTAGTAGTTCTTTACTTGACACATTTTGAGTTTTTTTCTTGGGTTTGGTTTTCAACAACGTAGTAATAGCATCTTCCGGCAATGTGGTGATACTAAAAACTAAAAGTTCATTTCTTACATTCTTGAGGTTGGCCGAGCTAGAACTTCTAGATCAGCTATTGCAATTAGCTCTGGAAAATCACTATTTGTGTTGGTCAAATGGGTGTCTATATCATTGTGGGACCTCCAAGTAATTACTTTCTTGAGCCAAAAGTGGCTGTATTGTTGGTAGTCATTGAATTCAGTGGCTGTTGAAGTCTGAACAGTGACTATTGAAGTCTAACTGGATAGGTTGAATAAGGTCGCTAAAAGCTAATACCGTTGCACCTTATCTAGGCTTTCTTTCCTAACCATTTCTCTACCTCCTTCGTTTCGACTTTGAAAATGAAACGTCAAAAGCTTGACATCGCCTCCAGTTTATTCAAGGAAAATGAGGATGCACAATTTGTCCAGCAGAGGAAAGAAAACAATATATCTGAATTGACTAATTTGCAATATGTCTGCATTATTTAAATAATTCATGCTAGTATTGTTGAACTTTTCAAATTTTATGGAAATTCCTATGTTTACAATGTTATTGTTCTCCATGGTTCAAAGTTTGGTATTGGTCTGTTCATATTACGCTGAACGGAATGTTGATGACAACTTTCGAATTTTTAATGTACCTTTAACTTCATGGACACAGGGCAAGTTTGTATTTGTTGAGAATATTACTGTTTTAAGACCATAATTTTTTTAGAAAATATGGGAAATAATGAAATTATTTATTTAATATAGGAGTATTAATTATTACCAGTATGTTATGTTAAAGCTTGAAAGTAAACTATTGATCACAGCCTTCCTTGCAACAAATAGTTAGCTTCAAAATCACCTAATGATACTTTCATTTGTGAAGGTCCAAGGTACCATTCATGAGTCGCTTGAAAACAACGAGTTCACAAGACCAGTTGCATCTAAGGAGCTGTCGTGGTTTATGGTATGCATTACCTTGTGGTGTAATATACCTTTTTTATTATTATTATTATTTAACACTGAAGTTAAATAATCTAATAAATGATAATACTGTTATTTGTTATTTTTTATTGGAAACCTCTACATTAGATTTTAGTTTATGTCGTTTATATATCTGATAATTGTTCTATGCAATTTTTGTAGGCCTCTGCTTTAATGTCCCTTCCTGTTCTCTTTCTTTTTAAACTGTCTTCGAACATTTTCAGGTCAGTTTCATTTTACTCTCAATTATTTAATTAAAAACAGTATGTTAAATAAATATGATTCCAATTATGATTTCTTATTCCATTCCATTTTGTCAGAATTTTTAGATTATTTATATTTTCAAAACCTATATATTAGGATCATACTCTTAAATTTGGTTTCTTGGTCGTGCAGTAAAAAGCCAAAGAAGCGTACCCGTAATTCCCATACAAGCCATGCACGTCGTAGGCCTAAACGGGTACATCCTGACAAGTGAGGAGTTGCAGATAACTCATTGCGTTTTAAATATTCAAGGTAAACTTCATGACATTGCTGAAACGATATACAAAACCCTGCCCTAGATTGCTGTTATGGTACTCCCTGTCTTCTCTTCTCCATCGTCTGTATTTTTATGTTGAGTATTGACATCTTGAGGAGAAATCTTCTAGTTTTTAAGACGTGAAGTGTTGTGAGGTGCTAAATAGAATAGCTGAACTGAAATTGTTTATAAATATAAAGATTATTCAATTTCTTTTGCATGTATAATCAGTCTGTAGAATATAAAGATTATTTAATGTCTATAAGGTGTTTAAATAGAATAGCTGAACTAAAATTTCTTTTGCATGGGGATTCACGTCTTTAATAACATCGTCAACTAATTATTTTGCCTTGTAATTGTCAATTTAGAAATTCCTACCTATGTTTGGATGGATATTTTAAAATAATTTCCCCTCCTTTATCTTTTACTAAAACATGGAATTTCTATCCATCCTCCTCTTTTCTTTTACCCCTTTCCTTCGTCTTATTCTTCTCTCCTACCAAGTGGATAATTAGGTCTCTCAATCGAACTCTAAAAAACAGCTACCTGTTTGTGATATTGAATTCAAATCTATTCATTCAATTGTATCCATTCAGACACAAGTTGTCATGTATATGATTTCAACAAAACTAGTAAGATTAACCCAAAGGGGTTGGCCTAGTTGGAAAAGACTTGGGTCCCGGTCCCTCGTGAAGCATCAAGTCTTAGGATTGATTCCTGCTAGAAAAATAAATAAATAAAAAATAAAAAACGAAACTAGTAAGATTTGGGTTTTACCTTCGAAAGTGCTCTCCGCAAGACGTATACATAATGTTTTGTGTAGTACTGTTTGAACAGTTAACATTTGAGCTTCTTGGACTTGATTTTGATTTGAAAGGATCGGAATCCATCATTCCCAAGATAGTAACTTGTAAGTCTCCCTGGTCAAATTGACTGACTTTGATATACTGAAATAAATTATAGGCTTCCAACCGTTTTAGACTCACAACAGACGAACAAATGCATGTCCTTTAGGTTGTGACCATCAAGTTCCGCAGACTTGAGCTACAGCATCCCAAGCATGTTTGGCTCACGGATATGCCACTGCATTAAATTAGTAACATGATTGATTTTATTATATATATATATTTTTACTTTGTGTAACATGATATTTTTCCCTTCCATATCATATTTATTAGACATAGATTAGCTAATTTTGAGTTTGATATATTCTCACTGCAATTTGTTTTTATCATTTCATTTTGCACAGGAGAACTGCTATGACTTGCTGCAATACGTGAACTCGACTTAGAGATGGTTTTTATTCTCGAGTCGGATGCTGCATTGAGGTTGAACCCCTTTGCGGGCAAAAGAAGGAAGGCTTGAAATCTGTAACAGAAGAGAACTAAACTATTACACTAGATAGGGTTAGAAATTCCGGAATTGTGGAGGTTGTTGATATTTATGTTGTAGCTTTATTTCCCTTTCGTACATTGAATAGATTACAGGCGAAATGGTGGAGACTCTGTTTATAATCTCATATGATCATTATGATACCTTGAACTTCCTTTTTGTAAGTTCATTTGGTTTCTCTGTCGAGACTCTGAGATTAGTATTGTTAGCATAAAACTGCAACATTACTTTTGCCCCCGTGTGCTATAGTGCTCAAGCATTATAAAATGTTTCATTATCATTATTATTATTATTTTATTAATTGCAAAAAAATTATCTTGTGTTATGCAAGTTCTCCTAAATTGGAATGTGTTCAACTATTGAAAATTTTTCTTGATACCCCCTTGGGAGGGGCTATCTTGCAATCTTTTTATATTCTTGAGTTCAATTTTGATAATGAGAAAGTGATGCATAAGAGTTGGTTCATCAATCATCCAGATGGGGAGGGTTGATGAATGTATTAAGAGGTTTAATCATTTTTCTTTGATAATTAAAGGTGGTGATATCTAATCATGCTATGTGGCATGATTAAGAATCTGGTTTGAGTTTTAATGTCATGGGTATATTTAGTCAATGTAAATATATTAATCTATAAAATTTGGTCTCACCTATTCTTGAAAACGGCTCTCGATTATTATATATTAAAAAATATACATGGTATGCCAAATATACTCACTTAGAAGAAGGGTCAATCCGGCAATGGCAGCCTATAGGTAATACAACTGAGGAGCCACGCTCTTTGTTTACTGTGGTTGGCACGCGCGATTTGCATTTGTAACAGTTCCACTGTGTAGCCACGCGCTTCCGTAATGATTGTTTGTTATTGATGGAATTGTGAGGTTGAAAAAAAAAAAGAATTGTGATCAAGAGATTCACAACACACTCGCTCACTCGATATAAAAATATATAATAAAACAATTCTCCAGATTGTAATGTCATGACTTTTCTTTATTAGTTGCACCAAAATTCTTACAAGAATCTTGTTGTTTATTTTTTATTTGGAAAATAATATTTGTTAATTTATTTTTTTAATTAATTATTTATATAACAAATAAGGGAGTGAAATTATCTACTTATTATGTATTATGCATAAATAACTAATCAGAAACATTCGGTTAAGTAATTCACTATAACAAAGGGTCAAGCACAAAAAACATTCCTAAAGTATACTTTCGGTACATATCACACCCCTCACGTTCAAAAACACCTCTAAAGTTTCAATTTTGTGCAAATAGGCCCATATGACAAATTTAAACCCTAAATTGATTAAATTACCCTGAACCCATTTTATAAAAAATATAAAAATAAAAAAATTTGTAAAATGACCAAAAAAGACACTATTGGAGGACGTCTCTCTCAGGTGCAAAAAACACCCCTAAACTTTCAATGTGGTGCAAATGGATCATTTTGACAAATTTAAACCATACATTGACTAAACTACAATTACTGAACTATTTTATAAAATATATAAAAATAGGGAGGCATATTCGTACCCCATTTTCCTATACTTACACTACATTTAAAAAAAAAAAAAAAAGTAAATGACAAAAAAACCCTAAACTAATTAATGTATTATCTCTTATTTCGTTATATCTTAACTACCCTTTACACTCTAAACTTTCCTTTTTTATCTTCTTTACTTACTTTAATGTTTTGTTCTATTTTTTTTTTTTTTTTTAAGGAGCCTAAAACCAACAGTAATCCATTACAAGCCTCTCTCTGGCCACCCTCTACCCAGTTTGCAAACAACACCCTTATTATTTTTAATTAAAGTTTTGAAGGAAATGATATGATTTCCTTGGATATGGTCTAAAACAATATATATATTTATATATTTTGCTCTCAAATACACATTCACATTATAATTAGAGTTTTGTTTTCAAATATTTCCTCACTTCCATATATTTTTTTTTTCCAATTTCCACCGCATATGACTTACGCTTTAAATAAGGCAGCCTATGTGGAAAGAAGAGAATAGGAAGTGGAAATTGAAAAAAAATAATATGTATCTCCAAATGACATTCTTGAAGTTTAATGGCCCAGTTTTTAGCAATCGAAGGTAAGAACAGGGTCTCCAAACTTTTTTTGAAGATGGACATCTGAAGCCTTTCAACCTCTTCCTCCACTTAAGTTGCTTCCTCTTTATTTCGGTGAAGTAAGGCCTTGTTAAGATCTTCAAGGCTTGATGAGTACTTAATTAAAGCACTCTGAGCAACCTCCTTAATTCCATGAGAAGAGAATTTACATAATTAAAATTATTAATGATGAATTAGTGCTAAATTTAGTGACGAAATGGTGAAAAGTATTGACCAAAAAATATAGTAAGACATTGTGCGTGTGTGGAGGAGACTAATAATAGAGGAAAATAAAAAAAGAAGAGATGTTGACACCACTCTAATTCAATGACAATGAGTGTAACATCTATTTCTTTCACATATCATATGCATTTTATTAACTGCAACTTATTTTTTCTCTATCATTTAGGTTGCTATTCTAAGTTTTTTTTTTTTGAAATTGATATTTAGTTCATAGCTATGTGGCTACATAATTTTACAATGCCTACATTGAATGAAGAAAATAGAAACATTAACTGGGGAGAGAGAGAGGTGGAGACGAAAATATCTTTCCATAATTGAAAGGATAATTGTGGTATTCTAAAAAAAATTATTTATTTATAAAATTAGGGATAAAAGTGTCATTTCCTTTAAGAATGTAGTGTAAGTGTAGAAAAGTGGAGTACGAATAATAAATAATTTTGTAAAATGACCAAAAATGACACTATTGGAGAACGCCGACAATGGATGAGTAAAGATAAAAAATAAAAAAATAAAAATTATAAAAGAAAAGTAAAGATAAAAATAGAAAGAAAAAAAAAACGAAAATAAAGTGCAAATTAAAGAAAACAAATATGCTTCAAACTCCGAAAATGGGTGAACACTGATGTTGGGATTATATTTTTTTTAATAGTGTTGGTACAAAAAATAAATAAAATAAAGAAAAAAAATTAGTAAACTGATATATCAAAAAATTCAAATCTTTGTTCTATAAATTCTCAAAGTTTTTTTTTAAAAAATTTAGAGATATATGTAGAGAAAAAAGTTTCAATATATATATATATATATATATAAGGTAACGTGCATATAACATCTCTATACTATAATATTAGTAGCATATATACCCTCTTGGGCATTTTTTAAATAGTAAAATGGCAAAACGGGTATTATAGCACTAATTTATGTCAAATGAGTACTTTTGCACAATGTAAAAAGATTAGGGATATTTTTTGCATACTTTTTTAAACAGGGAATAAAGTGTTAGCACAGTATATTTTAGGGGTGTTTTCTATACTTATCCGCTCTTAACAAATCCAACAAATATTGCTACTCTTTTTATTTTTAGTGGTGTTTGAGTTCCAAAATTTAGACGCTCTCTCTTATCATTGCAAAAATAAAATATTAAAAATGCTCCTCCAGAGTCTAGGCTCTAACATTCATTTGAAGATAAACCATTACAAACAACATATGTTAGCCATTCTCCACTCTTTTCTTTTCTTTGACGATGTCTTCCCTCAGAGACAGCCAATGAAGGCTCGGTGGGCACGTGCACCCTAAGTTGGCCCGCACTCTATAATATGCATAATAATTTTTAATTTTTTTTTTCATATATATAAAAAAAATTACGCAGTGCTCCCTCTAAATTTTATGATTCCTAAAATTATCTGTTTATTTATTTTTTTTATTTTCTCTTTTATTCTTCAAATTCTTTAAATTTCTTTAATAGAAAAAGTCAAAATTTTCTTCCTCAATTAAAACTTTTTAACTTTTTCCTTTTAAATGTCTCTCATTTATTTTTTCCTTTTAAAGTTCTCTCATTTATTTTTTCCTTTTTCTTTTTCTTTTATACTTTTACTCTTAAAATTATTCTTTTTAACTTGCATATTTGAATATTTTTTTTTTCTTTATCTTTTGAATTTTATAATTTTTATATTACACACATATATATATACACACACACTCCGTTTTTTTTTTTTTTTTGACAGCGTGTCTTTCCTCACTTGAAATCCTGTCTTGGTCCTGTCTCCCCTCAACCAAAAGCTAACTAACAAAATAAGCATTAATTGTCAAATAAAGAGGACTCCGACCCTGTGGAGGGTGAAATTGGTTTTTTATTTGGCATGATATAAATGGTTGCATAGAAACTTTATTCATCGTTTTAAAAAAAAAAATTTAAAAGCCAACTCTCAATTTTGAATTGTTTGAAACTGCTAGACCACAAAGAACATGGTACATGTTGAAAATTCACTTAATTGGTTATTTATTGTAATAGTAAAAAAACATATATCATGCGGTGGATGATTTACGCACAAAAATTTCTTATGCAAACTCTTAATATGTATGACAATGGCGCAATGGAGGAAAGGTAAGTGAAAGACTTGCCCATAGTGGAGAAAGAAAAAGAATACATGGATGATTAGAGTTTAAGTCACACAATTTTTTTCAATTGGCATCGCTCTTACTCTCGAAGTACACTCTTGCTCACGATTTTACTATATATGACTTAAATTTTATTACTTTTACACTTCCGTACCCGAATATACTCTCACGTTGTGTGACTTAGATTAGTGCGAGAATAATCATTATTTCTAAAATAGAGGAAACTCAATATTTGAAAAAGAAAGGAAAGAGAAAACAATAAAATTTGGATTGATAACTTGTCAAAAATTGTAAAATAATACAAACATTAGATTGAAAGTTTTTTTTACGTTGAACATTTTATAAGCATGCGTTAACAAATGAGATATTTATTCGTAAGGATAAAACAGTAAATGTCCATTCAAATCAATGAATGAAAATTTTGAAAATACTAAGAAAACTATATTCTTAATTTATTTGTCTTAAACAATTTTTATTCATAGATTAAAATAGATAAACTCAAGTTTAAATCTCATCCACTAATATTAAAAAAAATAAAATTAATAGGTTATCATTTTCCCTTTCTTAAAAAATATAGGGAGGGCGAAGAGAAAAATTCACCAAATTTCAATTATCCAGTTTGGCGGAAAAGAAACTTCAAAAATAAAAAATGCGGTCCAGAACAGCATTTGGATTTGGCGTCAACTCTGTCTTACGTGGCACGCGCTTTCAGTGCGATTGGTCTTAATTTCTACCACTATATAGTACTCGTATATCTTTGTAAAATTCGCCGGCTAAAATGTCACAGTGTCAAATTTAGCCAAAAGCTACTATTTCAACTTTCAAGAGACCCTTCGACGCATTGATATATACGGAGTATATATATATATATATATATATATAATATTACACACACAAACACAGACTATAAAGATTAAGAGAGACGCCTAGAGAGAGAGTGAAGCAAGAAGAAAGAAAGGTGAACACTGCTCTGGAAGTGGATTATACTATATTTCTGTATGTATATGTCTTCTATATATATGTATAACTTTGTCTCCGTACTCTCCCCGTCTCTGTCTTGGAATTCGTCATTCTCTTGCCCTAGATCTCAGGCACTTGTCCGTAACAGCAAGGCTTGAGTGAGTATCTAGATCTTTTCATTCATTTCACGAGTTCATGATATATAGAACTATCGATAGCTTATACGTCTCCTTCAATCAGGTATTGCGTATTGTCTTCTGTTTTCATGAATACAGATAGAGAGAGAGCGATTGATGGGAAAGTTTGAGGGAGAAAGTCATATATTTGTTTATAGATAGGGAGATTTCACTGAAAAATGGGAATTCGTATCACAAATCTTGTTTCTCTCTTCTTCTTTTTTCGTAAGTTAATATTGTTTCTTTTTTTTTTCGGAATTAATCTTGTTTCTTTCTTTGTTATACACTGATTGTGAATTTGTTGAAATTTGTGTCTATTTGGGCTGTCAATGCTTCAATGCTTTCATTAAAATGATTCCAATTTACACAGGCAATCGACCTTTTAGATATAGTCTTTAATACTGGGTCTTTGGGGTCGGAAATTTGAAAAAAATATAAATTTGGGTATATGACCAGTGGCACATCCACATCGGAGGGAGCATTTTGGATACGTAGGTGTGTGTCCAGGATGTAACCCCAAACACATAAACATTATGCATAAATATATACACACTCCCTTTGGAGTGGGGTTTTGCGAACTGGAATCCAAGAAGGCAACAAGTCCTGGTTTGGGTCGCTTGAACCTGAATGCCTGATGGTAATTGGAATTGGTAGCTTTATGTTTGGTGAATGGGTTTGAATTTTACTGCAAAGTGCAAACCACTGGTTTTTAGTAGTAAAATCCTGGAGATATCAATTGGTTTTGATGGTTGGATTGCTTGAGTATTTCAAATAGCGGTATCCTTTTCAATGTTTTTCAGTTTAATTTCTATTTTCCCTTTTGTTATTCACTATGAATTATGTTTGGGTTCATAATGCCTACAACTTCCATTGCTGCACTGTCTCATGCACAGCACAATAGGTGGAATGCTCTCTCCCCCCACTTTTTTTTTAATCTATGGGAAGCCAAGTTAGCATAAAGCCTCTAAATGACCCAGAGATCTAGTGTTCAATTTCTGGAGACGTCAAATACCTCCATTCTAAGCTTACCCGATGCCTGTGGTTTGGGGGTGATTGCAGGATTAGCAACTCCGAAGGGGGTGATGAAAATATCCATTTTCAATAAATGTGTGTGTGTGGTTTGTATTTTTATTATGTGGAATTTGTAAATTTTGAATTCAGTGTGGAGTGTGGACTTCTTTTCTATGCACTTGCTGTTTATAAAATGTTAAAGTCTCTTTTGTTTGATTGTTATAACACCAAGAAACAGTGGAATTGGAATTGGGACCTTATTCCAAATTCAATGTTCCAATTTCATAAAGCCAAACTTTGCCTCAGAAGTTTACAATGTGAATTTTGCGATGACAATTCAGTTTATGTTGGAGGGTTGGGTTCAGTTATTCGAACTTATTATTATTATATTTTAGTTAAATGGAAATATTGTGGACACTTAAAACAGTTGCATCTATTGCCTGCACTCATCAATTATGCAATTTTAGTGCTCAACTATCTCCAGACAGTCACATATTTCGAATATGTTACACTTTCTAAATAGTTTATGGGATCATCTTTTTTTTTTTTTTTTTTTGGTCTTTCATAAACAATCATCTATTTTAGTGACATAAAATTTAATTCTCGCCCTTTTCTGAGTTTGTAGGCTACAATTCAGCAATGTTTTTGCAAAATTGAATAGTTTATCCTTCCTATCCCTCTTTCGTTTATCAATAAGTTAAGTTTCTATTTAGTTCAGTATATTCTTTAAAATTGCATAATGAAATTATTAGAATTAATGTATTTCTTATGTTACTCGTTCCTGGTGATGAATATGTCTCTGCTTTCTACATACAGGTTATTCCTAAATCAATTAATTGAAGATTGGTGGTAGGCTCCTAGGTGCTAATAAGGGGTGTTCAGACTGGAAGTTATTTGAAGGGAATAAGTTCTTTTGAGATTTACTGTAATGCATTGATTCCAGATTAAGACAGCTCAAGTTTGGCATTAAGACATGAAAGACATGCAGGGCTTGTCTGCACCTCGCCAACGTTCTCATTTAAAGAAGCCAATGTGGATTATCTTCTTGATTTCATTGATTACTGTTTTCTTAATTTGCGCCTATGTTTATCCACCCCAGAACTCTGGTGCCTGTTATGTGTTCTATTCTAATGGTTGCAAGAGTATTTCTGATTGGCTTCCACCTGCTCCTTTAAGGGAATATAACGATGCAGAGCTTGCTTCTCATGCTGTAATTAGGGATATTTTGGATATGCCTCCAATTAAATCAGAAAACCCTAAGATTGCTTTCATGTTCTTAATCCCGGGTTCATTGCCTTTCGAGAACCTGTGGGATAAATTTTTACATGTAAGTTTTTTCTTCCTTAATATTAATCTAGTCCAATTTTGTTGCCCATGCTATTTCCACTTTTTGGTAACTGGGAGTATTTCCAGAACGAGTTGCCAATGTGCTTTGTTTTGGTGGATATGACATATGTACTCTGATATTTGAAACCATAATTCTAATATTTGCTTACCTCTCTTGGTAACTTCTGGGATATGAAGGGGTGGTTAGATAGGGATATGCCTTTGGAGATAGCATGATTAGTCAAATGATCTGAAATTTGGTTACATGATTTAGTTTTCCTTGGTAGCCTAGTTGTATTTCCTCATCTTCCAAAGTAGAAGGTTGAGTGTTCAAGTCCCCATAAGGGCAAAAGTGGGTGTGTGCATTTCTTGCCAAGGTATATATATATGAGTGTGGAAGGTGTTGACTTTGAAAGTGGTTGCTTGATTTGAAATCTCTATTTTCTTCGGTCTTACAGGTGTTTCACTTTTAAGAAATTGGTTACTGGGGTGTTCTGGACTAGTTGTTTACCATTTCAGTTTTGGATAACAAGCACTGATATTCCCAAATGTATTGTACCGGCAAGCGGATGTGAGTTGGACAAAAATGACCTATATGTTTAGCTTAATTATCTCAAGTCTATTGGCGTTGATTAAGATGTAGTCCATTGATAAGAGAGGAAACTGGGTAATAATTGTTCATATTGCGAATGTTAGAAGCATAACTTCATTGTGCTCCATCTCATCATTTTCATTTCTTGGTGATATCTGTTCTGCTGTTGATTCAGTTCAAGTTATATGCCAACTGAAGTTTTCATTACTTTGGCAGGGCCACGAGGGAAGATTTTCTGTATATGTGCATGCATCTAAGGAGAAACCTGTATACTTGAGCCCTTACTTTATAAATCGTGACGTTCGCAGTGACAAGGTTTGTAAATTTTGTCAATAAGTAATCTAATATTTACACACTTCGAAACTTGTATCACCCAAGTCCCAATTGGTATATGAATTTTGAATAATGTAATTATTTTTCTAACATGATTAAATAAATTTTGATCAATGTACTTTTTATGGACTCCGATGATTGCATCAGGTGTAGAAACATGCCTATGTATTCTGAACCCAAAAACAAGTGTCTAACACTCCATGGACATGCTCAATTTAAAATTATGTTTCATTATTTCGGACGCTTAACCAACATGTCCTGGATGGGCCAGGCCAACACATCTTAGACACTTCCAACACAAGTCTTATATAACACAGACAAGTATAGGAGTAGCCACTTTCGACAATCTTGGAAACAACATGAACATGCCTCAAAGTTCCAACTTTTTTTCAAGAAAAATTTATAATGACGAAGTAGGAGAGTAATATCATATGTAATAATAATAGTTTACTATATTCGCATAGATTTGTCTGTTGTGTGTAACTCTTCACATAGAAATTAAAAATTAATTAAGGTTCTATAATCTTATTCAATGGATTTATATACATAAATAATTATATATATTTATAGCTGTGTCAACACCAAGTCTTTGCCCTACTTTTTTAGAATTCAACGTGTTAGCATATCATGTTGCATCATGTCCGTGTCTTGTGTCCATGTTTCTGTTACTTAGGTGGTTATAGCAACAAAAGGCAAGATTTGTGTCTTAAAACAAGCCTTTTTACCTGACTTCAGACTCATGGTTTCTCTCAGGTTGTCTTAAGTTGTCTTCCTTGGTTGATTCATTCTTGTCTATGGTATTATCGTGTGTTGTATGGTCTTCATCTCAGATGATCCCTTAGACTTTTTGCTGAATTGTTGCAATGGGCCAAAATGTCATCTAATACCCTCTCTACCCTGTGATAAGTTAAGGCTTCATGTCTCATTTTTGGTTGAAATGTTGATTCATGGTTATGTCTCGTTATTACTCTCCATTGATGCTTCAACTCTTTAACAATAACACGGTGCAACATGCAGAAACAATATATTGAACATTCAAAAGTAAGGTAGAAAACAATTATTACTAAAAAAATGTGTTGGGAGTGATTTAATGGGCAAAATTATGTTCTCTAAAAATGGATTAAAGTGTACAGTGTACACTACAGTACTACTGAATTGTCTTCAACAGTAATAAATAGTTTGTGAATGTTACTAGTTCATTTTACATATGAGCTTATCTTGTACTGTCAGAAGATCTTTTCTCAAATTAGTCTTTTAATGTACTTGGGCAATAATTATTATGAGAGAGTTAGCTTCATTCACCTTTCAAATGAAATTTACTATCAATTTTCCATTTTGTTGTTAAAACTTCATGTTAATTCATGGCTTGTTTGGCATACATATCAATATTATGTATATAACATAGTTTGACATGCTAATTTTTGATCTAATACTTTAAGCAACTCAACTGAAGCATGTATGATTTACTCAAATTGGTTGTTGGATTATAAAGCGCCTATTAGTGACAAATAAGAGAAAATAGATTTAGGTGGTATGGACACATAGAATGTAGAGCTGTTGATGCCCTTGTTAGAAAGGGAAGAGTAGTTTGCATAGACAGTAAGAGAAAGCGACCTACGGCCAAAACTAACATGGAGTGGAGTAATTATAAACAATTTTAAAACATTAAATATTATAAGAAGACGCGGTGCATAAAGAATAGAGTGGAGATGGAGAATCCATGTGGCAAATTCCATTCATTTGGAAAAAAGGACAAGGACGATGATGGTTTTTGGGTTATAAATTTGGATCAACTCGCTATCTTAACATGGACATGACACAAGTATATTCTTTAAGTGACACCGATGAACACATGATGTATATGTATCCATGTGTATGCTCATCTATGTTGCTTAGACTTTTGAAAAATACGTGAAACTCATGTAGGACACACTACACTTGGACAAAGGTATGGGATATGTGTCTGACATATTTTGTTGGACAGATATCTAAAAAGCATATCCAGTAATTCAATTTTATTAGATTCTTACTTCAAAATGAGTTAAATGTCTATTTTGAATGTTATGCTACTTGAAAATGTTATTTTACTCAATAAAATAAAGTAAAAATATTAAATGAATGGATATTTAGTAGTGTCCTTGTATCCTTCTATTTGGAGATTTGACACATGCTGGGATACTTACCCAAAGTCCAAGTAGCATAGGTGCTCATACTTGTATCTGTAGCCATTTGTTCAAATGTATATTTGCACATACAATTATGACAATTTGTATCCCCACACACCACTTATTCAATAAAGATTTGATGTATCTTACTCCTCTTTCAAATATGGTCAAACTTTTAATCAATTTTATTTTAAGTAAACTGTTTATCTGATTTACCTTTACGGTTGTACCTTTTTTGCCTATGCAAAGAGAATGCCTTGTTCTTGCATTCAAGTTTTCAGTTACATGTTGAACATGCAAAGAGTGTTAGCTAAGTGTTCAGATCATGAATTTTATTTTTGTGCTATGGCCACGTCAAAGATGTTTTGGTAATTGAACTAATTTTGGGCTCTATTTACATGAATGGTTTGTCTCATGCTTGACTTTTCATTCTCACATTGAAAAAGTCCTAAAATTTATATCCCCCCATGCTGATGCTTATTTACTTATGTAAATAAGTAAATAATGGTATTAGTTGATAGTTATTGGTAAAAGTTGATACCTAAATATATTAGCCTGGATAAGTATTTATAATGCATATGATGGTTGACCACACTGTTGTCTGCAACAACATTAGTATTTATAAGTTGATTTGTATGTGTGATTTTAATAGCCTACGTGTATTATAAAAAAATGGATGCCAAATATTATGAGAAGTATTCTTGTTCTCATTTTTATAATCGGTTTAGAATTAATACAATTGCTATATCTAATGTTGTTGTAGTTGCCATCATCATCATTGTATGAGCTAAATAATTGGGTTTGTATGTGGATTTTCTGTGCAGGTAGCGTGGGGAAAAATTTCAATGGTTGATGCAGAAAGACGGCTTTTGGCAAATGCATTGGAAGATCCTGACAACCAGCATTTTGTATTACTTTCTGATAGGTGACTGGGTGATAGTTACTGTCAGTTATCTTTTGTTGTCTGAATTGTGATTTTATGCTGTTACCTATTCTCTGATAAATTGTTTTCTTTCATTTCAGTTGTGTACCATTGTATGATTTTGACTTTGTTTACAACTATCTCATGTACACAAATATCAGCTTCATCGACTGGTACGGACATTGTCCTGTTATTGTTTGTGCAAGTAGTTCCTCAGATTATCATCTTTTCGTTAACTAGATAAATAAATACTAATATTGAACTTTCAAATGGGTTTGTCAAATAATATAATTCATTATATTGTAAAACTGTGGTAGGCCTTAATTTGTTTTTCTGTCTTGATGATGCTAATTTTTTCTTCTTCAGCTTTGAGGATCCTGGTCCACATGGAAGTGGTAGGTATTCAGAACATATGTTACCAGAAATTGAGAAGAAAGACTTTCGTAAAGGTGCACAGGTATGCTTTCACATGTTTAATGTGGAGACTCGGTAATATTTCTCAGTTGAAAATTTTACTTGCTATATTATTATTAGGGAAGAGTTCCTTGAAAAACTAAACAGAGCAAATGGGAAATGGTTAATTGTTTGCGCATCCCTTTTCTTTTCACGTGGGGGTAGAGCGACCACTCAGCCTATCCTTCACGGCCTTCCTTATTGGTCATATGAACATTAATTAACTGCAAGTTTAGTTGCAAACTATCATGGGACTGAAACCCTGAAATTCAGGGTTTTCAAATCATAAATTTCTTTGCCAATAGGTCAGTGTGGGTGAGGCGGTGTTTCAGTTTGTTCTAAGATCCTTTACTTTATCTGTTATTATTTTCTTGTTTGTACTTTCTGATAAATTTCTTGCCAATCGGTCAGTGTGGGTGAGGCGGTGTTTCAGTTTGTTCTAAGATCCTTTTCTTTCTCTGTTATCATTTTCTTGTTTGTACTTTCTGTTGTTTATTCAATCTCCTTTTCCCTTTTTACCCTTTTGGGAGAGGGGGAATGGGTCTTGGTATGGATTAATCAAAATTGAAGCATCTTCAGCTTGAATATCTCCCATTGTCTTATTGTGATTAGGATTTGTTATTGGATTTATGCAGTGGTTCACAATGAAGCGGCAACATGCTTTGATAGTAATTGCCGACAGTCTCTACTACTCAAAATTCCGGGATTACTGCAAGGTAGTTTATGGTTTTGCTTTGTGATTAGGATTTGTTCTGTTATTTTATTATTTAGATTATTGGAAATATGGATCTGTGAATGTGGTTCATAGCAATAATAAATTTGAGGCGGATTTTTAAATTTTTTTCAGCCAGGTGTAGATGGGCGCAATTGCTATTCTGATGAACATTACCTGCCAACATTTTTTCATGTGAGAACATTTGATGTTTACACGTTTTCCTCTTGCTCAATAGGTATTCAACTCGGTTCTTCCTGTACCAGTAACTGATTGAATTTTCATTGCATGTATTTGTAGATGTTTGATCCTACAGGAATATCAAATTGGTCAGTAACACATGTTGATTGGTCTGAAGGAAAGTGGCATCCAAAATCATACAGAGCTCAGGATGTTACTTACGAGCTTATAGAAAATATTACAGTATGCCTCTGTTCTTTTATTTCTTTTTTAATTACATCTGTTTTCTGAAATATGGTGCATTGCTATATTTCATGGTACCACCGCCTTATAATTGAAAAGACATTAGCACCCCCCTTACAGCAATGTACCTGACAATTCGGCAGTTACACAGACCAATGCTGGTGTCCTGGTTTCTTAACTACATTATTCTTAGTGTTTGACCGTTGCATTTGGATTTGACACTTCTCATTGTGTTCTTCCTGCAGTCTATAGACGTAAGCGTCCATGTTACAAGTGATGCAAGGGTATGTAATTTTACTGACATTCCACAATTCTTGTCTCAAAAATTGTTTTAGCTTTAATAAGTTATGAAAAACAATTGTGTTGCAGAGAGAAATCCAGATCAAGCCTTGCTTATGGAATGGGTTGAAACGACCATGTTACTTATTTGCAAGGAAATTCTTACCAGACGCTTTAGATAACTTGATGCTCATTTTCTCCAACTATACGACGGTTTGAGTGTTATATATTCGATTCTTATTTTTTAGTCGGATCAGCAGTTGATGGATTGAATGCTCCCTGACCTGGCTTCTTCTCGAGTGCAACGGCAATTAGCAGAGTGTTTAGGGTGACTTGAGTTAAGCTGGAGATTAACAAGCTGTTGCTAGAGTTGCTTCCTAGGGAATGGGGGTTTTAATGCTCATTGTTTCCCTCTATTTTGGGAATTTTGTGTTATATTGTAGTTCTAGAATAGAAAGTTCGGTACCTTATTGCAGTGCAATAACGGTTGACCTTTTGTAAAAGTTGAAAATGTGAAGTTTTATACGTCATTTCACAATATATATAAGGTCCGAGATCTAGAAATTATGAAGTAAATTGAATTAGAAGTCCCACACCTCAGGAGAAAAATCACTGTCTGGTTAACTGGTATAAGAACCTTGTTCATACAGCCCTCAATTACCAGAGAAACCTGTTTAATAAGGCCGAATTAGTTCCTCTTTTTAAAAATACTGTAATAATTATAATAATACTTTTATATTCATAAAATTGAATAAAAAACAGTTTAGAAGTAAATTTAGTTGCTTTACATTTAATTTAGAGACTCCTGTAATTCTCCTTAAACCTCTTACCTTCCAAAGGGAGATCGGAGGTGCTCATCATTGTGCAAGCAATGTGCATCCAATTGAGCTCTCAAGATCTAAAAGAATTTTATTCTCTTTGGTCCAATTTTCTAATTTTAAGCTCTTAAAAACTTTCATCTCTTTGATATGTTTAGATAATGCTATGAGGACATTAATTTAGGTTTTAATGGGGCTGCAAATAAATTGAATCGAGCTGAGCTTCAATCTGTCCAGATTCGGCCTCTTGTTAAATATGACGAATTCAACAAAATTCAGTTGAGTGACTTGAGTCTTAATTTATCATGATTTTGAAAAGTTCAGGTTTGGCTCAATTTGTTTAATAAAAGAAAAGTACGAACTTATACTTATTAGTCTACACAAGTTTATGTTTATGGTCGCATTCATGAACATGTGCAAGGCTGCAAGGTTACACAATTTTTGTATTCACAAGTCCATAATCGACTTTCATGAGCATGTTCATTGACCCATTAGAGACAATGTGAGCTTAGGGTTCAGGAGCCTTCAAGAGCCGAGCTTAACTAATTGAGCTTAAAAATTAAATTTAAGATTAACTTATTTAGTCAAATAAATGAGTTCGTATTTACTTTTGTACAAGTCCTCCTGGAGAACTTTATTTTAGTCTCCTCGAGAAAATGTGAAGCTTTATGGCCTATGCTAATACATATTCCTTCAACCATAATAACATAATTTTTCTTTTTCTTTTCTTACATGTTTTTATCACAATAATTTCACCAGAGAAACAAAATTATATGAATGATAGAAAAAAAATGGAATTTTGAAAAAAATTTATTAATGTTTTGATCATCATGATCAACATTAGCTTTTATTTATTAGTTTTTTTTTTTTTTTAAAAAAAAAAAACTTAATTATACATTTTTAACTATGTTTTTTTTTTTTTTTTTGAAGGGCTTAAAAAGTTTTCGTAAGTGCCATCTTTAACATGTATTGCTTAAATGGGTTCTAATTTTTTATAATTATTTTGGATTATTTTTATATCTGCATGATTTAACCAAATTTTCTAATTACGTCATTTGACCTTTATGCGGTTAATAATGTGATTTTCTTGTTTGTGAAAAGTGAAAAACTCAAAGCTCACTTCTACTTCTAGACTAAGCATGAATTTAGTTAAACTTGATACATGTCGAACTTACACAAAATATTAGAATGAGAAAATTTGTAACAAATCTAATTTTAGTTTTAAGCCCACTGTAATTAAAAAATATATATATATATATATATAGAAGGAAAGTTTGTAGTAAGTACTAGATAAATCTTTGTAAGAAATAATATTTGATAATTTTGTGTAAATACAAAGGAAAAAAATTATAGATAAGTGTAATTTTATAAAATTCTAGAGAAGTTATAAATAGCAAAGGTGTTACTCTTGGAAAGTCTCAAAACAATAGTATAAATTCTTTCATGGTTATTTACCACCCTATGATATCACATTTGAATTATTCAAAAATGAGCTTTTACCAATAGCTGAGTCATAAGCTTCTTTCCATTCATATATTGACTATGAATTTTTTCACTTGAAACATTAAGAGAGTTTCAAATTTTATATGAAGCAGGTTTAATTTGAGATTCCAAATTCTATTTTAATAGTTTTTAATTTTTAATTTGAATTACATTAATGAATGAATGGAATATGAATTTTTATTTAAAGATTATATCTGAATAATATATAAAGAGATTGAGTTTATCTGAATCTCACTCATATAAGTTATAATTTTTTAATTATATTTAAATTTTACTTAAATGATATGAGTCACATATGAATCTATGTTTATTAAATTCAGTTCTGATTCAAATTTCCATATAATCCTGAGCCTAAAATATGAATTTTGATAAAAATTTATATGAATGATACCAACTTGTTTAAATAAATAAATAAATAAAAAACTTATATCCCAAATCAAAACTTAAAAGAAGATTTATATTTTAATTTACTTATTTTTCCACAAATCCATGTTCCACCAAAGTTATTCTGTTCTCTAGGCAAAGCTCTCCTCAACTGGTAAAACTCTCTACTCTCCTCAAGAACGATTTCTACATTCGCCAAATTCAGAATCCAAACGTATGATTCTCTCTAAGCTATTCAACGCCAAACCATTTTCTTCTCTCTCTTCTTCTTACCTGTTTCAGCTCAGAACTCCTTCCCTCCAAACTCTCCTAAAGAGTGGTTTCAGCCCAATCCTCAAAGACTTCGAACAATTTCTCCTCTTCCTCTCTCAAAGCAACAGATTCAATTCGATTATCCAATTCGTTTCTCAGATGAACTCGAACCATATCGAAGGTTCTTCTCGTACACATTCAATCTTCGCATGGGCTTTACTGGAAGAGCACAAATATGAAGAAGCAAAGCAGTTTATGGAGACCCAGAAGGCGAAGACTGCGATACATCGACAAACTCGTATCTGGGATTCTCTAATTCAAGGCATTTGTATGAACCAGAAGGACCCGGAAAAGGCGCTTTTGGTATTACGGGATTGCTTGAGAATTGATGGTATATTACCTTCTTCTTTTACTTTTTGTTCATTAATTCATAGTTTTAGCTCTCTGGGAATGATGGATAGAGCAATTGAAGTGTTGGAGTTGATGAATGATGAGAAAATCAAGTACCCATTTGATAATTTTGTTTGCAGTTCTGTAATTTCTGGGTTTTGTAAGATTGGGAAACCTGAACTTGCAATCGGGTTTTATGAGAACGCTAGAAATTCAGCTGTTTTGCAGCCTAATGTTGTGACCTATACTGCACTTGTGAGTGCTTATTGTAGATTGGGTAGAATTGAGGAAGTTTGTAATTTGGTTTCTAGGATCGAGAAAGAAGGATTAGCACCTGATGTTGTATTTTATAGTAGTTGGATCTATGAGCTTTTCACGGAAGGAAATATTGGGGAGGCATTTCGAAAGCATAGAGAGATGATGATGAAAAAAATAGACATGGATACGATTAGCTATAGTATACTTATAGATGGGTTTTCAAAGGAAGGAAATGTGGAGAAGGCAGTCGGGTTTCTGAATAAGATGAAAATGGACAAATTAGAACCCAATTTGATCACTTATACTGCGATTGTGTTGGGATTTTGTAAGAAAGGGAAATTGGAGGCGGCATTTTCACTGGTCAAGATGGTTGATGAACTGGGTATAAAAATCGATGAATTTATGTATGCAACGTTAATTGCTGGGGTTTGCCGGAGAGGTGATTTTGATCTTGTCTTTAATCTACTCAGTGACATGGAAAATAAGGGTATTAGTCCAAGCATTGTTACATACAATACTGTGATTGATGGATTGTGTAAAGCTGGGAGGACGTCAGAGGCGGATGAAATCTCCAAGGGCATACTTTGTGATGCAGTTACATACAGTACATTGTTACATGGATACATTGAAGAAGAGAATAGTGTGCGGATATTAGAAACAAAGAGAAGATTGGAAGAAGCAGGAGTTTGTCTGGATGTTGTTATGTGCAACGTACTCATCAAAGCATTATTTATGGTAGGATCATCTGAGGATGCTCTTGAGATATTCAGGGAAATGCCAGAATTGAACTTGGCTCCAGATTCTGTTACCTATTGCACAATGATTGATGGATTCTGTAAGCTTGGTAGAATAGATCAGGCACTTGAGATATTTGACGAGTTTAGGAGGACAACAATTTCTTCAGTTGCATGTTACAATTGTATTATTCATGGACTCTGCAGGAAGGGTATGGTAGGTGTGGCCATTGAAGTGTTTATAGAACTCAATGAGAGAGCTTTGGCTTCAGATGTGGGTATGCATATGTTGTTGTTCAAGTCTATTTTTGAAGAAAATGGTGCAGAAGGTATCCTGGAATTACTTTGCAAAATTGAGAATTTGGGGCATGATATGTTTGGTGTTATATGTAATGATGCTATTTGTTTCCTGTGCAAGAGGGGTTTTTCTGAGGCAACCTGTGAAGTTTACATGATTATGAGAAGGACAGGTTCAGCTGTGACAAACAAGTCTTACTATTCAATCTTGAAAGTACTTGATGGTGATGGCAAAAATTGGCTGATTCAACCTTTTTTGAATACTTTGGTGAAAGTTTTTGGCATAGTTGAACCTAGAGTGAGCAAAATACTAATAAATTACCTGTGTATGAAGGATGTGAACAGTGCCCTAAAGTTTCTTGACAAGATGAAGGAGAACAAATTGACAGTCACTTTCCCTGTTACAGTTATTGAGACACTTATGAAGGATGGTAGAGTTTTAGATGCATATAAACTTATCATGGGAGCCAAAGATAATCTACCCTTAATGAATGTGGTTGATTACTCAATCGTAGTTGACGGTCTTTGCAAGGCAGGACATGTTGATAAGGCCTTAGATCTCTGTGCTTTTGTTAAAATGAAGGGGATCACCCTTAGCATTGTCACTTACAATTCAGTTATACATGGGTTGTGCTGCCAAGGATGTTTGGTTGAAGCACTTAGGCTATTTGATTCATTGGAGAAAATTGATAGGCCTCCTTCTGAAATTACATATGCTATACTCATTGATGCTCGATCAAAAGAAGGGTATTTGGTAGATGCCAAGAATTTGTTTGAGATGATGGTCCTCAAGGGCTTTAAGCCAAATACACGGGTTTTCAACTCATTGATTGATGGGTATTGCAAGTTTGGTCAAATGAAGGAAGTCTTGAAGCTTCTCCTTGATTTGGAGGTAAGATGCCTTAAGCCCGATGAATTCACTGTTAGTGCTGTGATTAATGGCTGTTGCCAAAATGGTGACATGGAGCAGGCTCTTGGATTTTTTTTTGAATATAAAAGGAAAGGGTTTCTGCCTGATTTCTTGGGCTTCATGTATTTGCTAAGAGGCCTATATACCAAGGGAAGGATGGAAGAGTGCCGGAGCATCTTAAGGGAGATGCTACAGACCCAATCTGTTGTGGATCTGCTTAACAGGGCTGACATTGAGGTCAAGACAGAGTCCATAGAAAGTTTCCTTATCCTTTTATGTGAACAAGGAAGTATCCAAGAAGCCATTACCATCCTCAATGAAGTTGGATCTATGTTTTTTCCTGTTAAGAGGAGGTCTGGTGCTTATAATGGATCACAAAAAATAACCGAGCGTTCTGACAAGAGAGTTCTTGGTACAGTTGAATCCAAGTCTTCGATCTCTACTTTTGAAACTGATATAGATTTTGAATCATGCAACATGGAGAAATTAGAGAAGGTGGGAAATCTAGAAAAAATATCTCAATCACATGATTTTGATTCTTATCATGCCTTAATTGCTTCACTCTGTTCAAGAGGGGAGCTAGGGAAGGCTAATAAACTGGTGAGAATGCTTTATAATTTTGATAGTGGTGGTTAATAAACCTACAATTAACCAGCTTCTGTAGCTACAGTTGGAGCTCCCTTTCCTATCAGTGCAGGACAAGAAACCATGCGGGAACCATCACAGGTGTGTTCTGTACACGTCCTTCCATCTTCCCTTTTTTTTTTGGCGCCCTTTTAAATTACTATTTGACAAGCTCCTTCATATTTTCTCTCTTTAGATATCCCTTCATCGCTCTGCTGGTCCTCTTCTTTATCTAAGAATATTGGTCCAATTATTCATGTCACAACTTAAGAGGAGTTGGGACATGTTAGGGATGAACATTCCTAAATCCATGCACGAGTAATTTAGTTAACATATTCTAATAGCCTCTGTATGGAAAAAGGGTCTTCTAATAAGGATAGTATATTATTTGCATGGTTATTTCAGCACAGTTTATCCTTTTATATCTGTTTTTTGGTTAGGAATTCTCAAGTCAAACTCTATGGATAATTTGATCCTTGCTTATGTGCAAAACGTAGTAGCATGCTCTTGAATACCGAAATGGATCAATACATTATGATGGTATATTATAAGGCGGGTGAATAATTTTTGACATTTTCTTTGTCAGCCATCATTTGCAATAATATTCACTAAGATTTTTGCTTTTTATAACCCAAGAAATACTGGTTCCCACTAGGCATAGGGCCTGGAGATGAGGGTAGATAGGCATATTACCCAACAAATACCACCTGTGGATTGCTGTTATTTTCCTTATCTGCAGGTAATTGTCAATCTTGTCTAATGCAAAGAAAAAGAAGACTCTTCTAAGAACAATCTAGACCTACTAAAAATCACATATAAAGACCCAGTAACATAATTCTCTCAATAAATCCTTGGACCACCAAAATTCTCTTAACTCCTATAACTTGATAAGATATAAATAAATCTTGTCAGCATTGTACGGACTTAAAAAACATGAAGGAAAAGTCGAATAATAAAAGGTTCTGAGTAACTAAGCCAGCCTTGAATGAAATTCCCAATTCTTGTCGGCATGCTCTGCATTAGTTGTTCCCCAAAGAAGTTTTAGCTATTATTTGGGTTCTCTGGAGTGAAAAGGATTCTACGGGTATTAATATGGGCACTTGGAGGAAGATCTTTGTGGAAAAACACCCCTCTTGACCTCTCTTTACTTTAGCCTTGGCTTACTAGATTTTCAGAAAAAGAGGGGGGTTAAATTTAATGTTTGTGATTGGGAAAATTGTTATTCTTTCCGAGCATGTTAAGACAATTTAATGTGATTGAACCTCTTCTCTGTAAGATTAAATGACGCTCAACTTTATTGGTAGCATTCTCGATAGCATGTCTCCCTTTGAAATACGAGGCATGGTAACTCTGTTTTATCTTCTTAAAACTGGCATACTGAATTGCCATTAAAGCATAGATCCCATGTTCGTTGGAAGGTCTTCAAGATGCTTTTTGACTTCAAAATCTTTTTTATGTCCGATTGATGGTGACTGAAAGATGGCGGCTAGGCTAGAATTTGATCCATCGGATCTCAACATCTTGTTTCTTAAATGTGAGGAACCATTTATCTATTAGCTTCTAGAGGAAAAAATTATGTTGATTTCTATATTAGAAAATGAGTAGGCTGTTTTTAGCTAAGCATGGGGCTACCATCATAGAGTAGATTGCATTTCTTTTCAGGTAGGGATGTAACTCGTGTAAGGTTTGGGGGATCTTTATGGGATTTATGAGTTTTTTTTATTTGTTCACTTCACTCCATAATTGCCACTGCTTTTCTTTTACTTTTCTCCAGTATTGATTGGAATCCTCATCCTCTTGTCCTTATTCTTGTACTGAGTTCTCATATTTATTGCATTATATGGTTTTCTACAAAGAGAGAGAAAAGAGAAATTTGTATCAATATTGATCAGGGATAGGTTTTTAAAGTAGATAGAGTTTGTTGCATTCCCCCCTCCCTCTTCTAATTCCTGCTTGTTTGTTTCTCTTCATTTTGTGTTTAATTTGAAGATTTGATGGTTGTGTATAGGCGTGTGATATGCTGTCGTTCAGATGGGAGTTGTTTCTGCTTGAGCCCTGACACTGTTGACAGGTTTGCATCTTCACGTGTCCATCAATTTGTTTCTTTTGTTTTCCATTCTGACCATCTAGTTGCTTTTTGTAATGGAGCTAGCTCACGTTCCCAACATCCAATTTCTAATTTTGTTTCTTATGAACATCTCTCACTTTCCAATTGCTTCCCAGTTGTCTTCTATGTATGTGCCTCAGAGTCTACAAGATGCAATTTTGGATCCCGGGTTGGATGAAGCCATGTTTGAAGAAAGGAAAACTCTTCAGAAATGCAAAAAGAGGATGCTTGTTGATTTACTTAGAGGGAAGAAAATGGTTGGATGCAAGTGAGTGCTTACTGTGAAGCACAAGGCAGATGGCTCCGCTGATTGTGAAGTCAGATTGGTTGCCAAAGGTTTCACTCAGAAATATGGGATCAATTGTTGGCAAATTTTTAGGCCTGTGGCACTCATGAATTCAATTCTTGTGCTCCTCTATTCTATAGCAAATTTTTGATGGCCTCTCTAACAATTGGATGTGAAAAACTGCCTTATGTGGATATGGAGGGGGCTAGCCCAGTTCACTAGGCTTCCGCCATGTGGATTTAGAGTAGGAATACAAAATTGCCCTCCTTGGACTCTCATTTTTTACAGCCAATGAAAATGTCTGCAGGTTGAAAGAATTTCCAAGAGCCTGGTTTTAGGTATTTCCAAAGCTGCGCAGATATATGGCTGTAAGCAAAGACAAGGTGAATAGGCGATCAGACCTTGGTCGTCAAACGCTCTTCTTGTGGTGAAGTAATAGATAGTAACTGAAGCAAAGGTGATCATGCGAATACTTTTTATGTGTTGTGTGTATATATCATTGGTATTGTTGAATCACGGGTGGTTGTGTAAAGAAACAAATGAAACCATCCTTTATATTAAATGTGTGAGTGCTGTAATTGTTCTTGTTGCCTTCAGAAGCCACTCTTGCCAAAAGCATTGTGAACAAGCAGTGAAATGGAGCTCGGGAAACACGTAGAGCTAATTCTATGGCACTCATGCAGATTGAAAAGGATATTTCTACTTGCATGTTCCTCTTCCCGACTGTGAAGACAAATTATGTGGTTATCTTCAGCTGTGATTGGTGGGAGAACATAATGACACATGACCTTGTTGTTCCTTAAAGCTGCCTTGGTGGTATTTTAGGTGCTTTCCCTCGATACTCTTTCTTTGTTTGGCTTGATATTAAAGGGAGAGTGAACACCCAAGAGAAACTGATTTCCTTTGACTAAGTCAAGACCTTGAGTTTTCTTCTGCAGAGAAGAAGTTGAGGATACCCAGCATCACCTTTTTTCCTTTTTTTTTTTTTTTTTTTTTCTCTCTCTCATTTGGCCATCTGCCGACGTCATGATTATCTGGGCAGCTTTAGAGTATACAGATATTTTTCTCTCCCCCATAGATCCCATCTATCCATTTAAATAGATGGACTCAAAGGGAGTGAAGACTTCCTGCTTCATTTTTCTTGATTAGATGCTCTTTTTATTTATTTATTTTTATTTTTAGCTTATTATTGGTTTTCTTGGTTTCAATTTCTTCCTAGTTCAGCTCGAAGATTTTACAGGCAGGACAAAGTACTTTAGACCATGGGATTAGGAGTGGGTTTAAATTTTAGAGTTTGAATTTATTTTGGGTTAGATTTGGACAAAAACTTTTACTAACCCAAGCAACCCGGAGAACCTGAGATACAAGAAGACTGTCTAATTTTTATATTTGAAAGTCGGTTGTTTTTGTTTTTGTTTTTTTTTATCCTGGCAAAGAAAGAGAAGTAGCACAAATCAAGCAAAACAATCCCGAGATGCTAGAAGAAGAACATTATGCGGAATATGTGAAAGAACAACATCCCTAGAAAGAGGACTTCTGGATAGCGCCGCTAAAGCATGAGCCACCTCATTGCCATGCCTATAAACATGGCGAAGACAAGCTGAGGAAAAACTCTGAAGCGCCACATGAATATCAAAGGAAATGGCCTGAATGTCAAGTGGTCCAGAATTGATATTCAAAACAGCATTAACCACCACCAAAGAATTAGATTCAAACCAAATCTGAGAAAACTGAGAAGACAACGCCCAAAACATAGCCTTACGCAGACATATAGCCTCAGCCAACATCGCATTAGAAGTTGGAAATGGATAAAAAACCACAGCCTTCAAGATAGCACCCGAGGAACCTCGAAAGACAACCCCACCTCCCCCCACTTGGGAAGATTGAGGAAATGATGCATCTACATTACATTTGACAATACATGAAGGGGGAGGCAACCAATGTGACAATGAAGATGAAGATCGTGAACGGGAGGAAGAATCAACCTGCCCGTTGGACAAATGGCAATGTGAAACATGAGATGCCTCCTTAAACTTCCAAAAAAATGAACACGCCATCCCAACCACCCGGTGAGCATCCCAAATTTTCCCAGCAAATAGAAGTTTGTTATGAGCCTTCCAAATAAACCAACAACAGCACGCAACAAACCCCAAGACATCGGACCCCCTTTCTTTTGGCCTCCACTGCCGAGCCAACCCCAACCACCAATCACTAAAGGAAGAAGGGTGAACCACAGAAAAGTCAAAACGAAGTGGGGAGAACTTCCAAACCTGAACTGAAAAGAGACACTGAAACATCAAATGTTCAAGAGATTCCACCTCTGAACCACAACACGGGCAAACACTATCAACATCAAGACCGCGACTAACTAAGAGTTCCCGAACCGGAACAGCTAACTTACAACACTTCCACAGGAAATGTTGTAATTTTGGCGGAACCTTGCATGACCATATATTATCCCATAGAAACTGATAGGAAGAAGGGGAACCAGGAACAACCAATGACCTCCTCTCATAACCCATAAGGCTGTAAGCCAATTTATAAACAAATTTTACCGAAAACAGACCATTGGACTCCAAATCCCACGCCACCCTATCCGTTTTTTTTTTTAAAAAAACTAAAACTACATTTAAGGATTACATCAACAGTGGCTGGCGGAAATAAAGTACGAAGCAAAGCCATATTCCAGCTATAAGACGAATTATCCAACAGCTCAGCCACAAATTGGGGAACCACAGAAATTATCGGCATTGGAAGCGAAAAAGAATGCCCTGGAATCCAACGATCTGACCAAATATGAATAGATTGTCCGTTACCCACTATCCACTGCGAGCCTGCAGTAATAAGAGACTGAGTGGACCAAATACTTCGCTAGGCCCATGAAGGATTTGATCCCAAAAAAGCTTCCAAAAACGAACAATGAGAAAAATATTTAGCTTTAAATAGCTTAAACGCCATCCCTTGATGAAGAACCTGAAAGTTCCAACCATGCTTAGCCAACAAATTGTATTGAAAGCTTCAAAACAACGAAAGCCTAAACCCTCATCCTCTTTAGGCTCACATAAAGACTCCCAAGCTACCCAATTAAGACTCGAAGAAGCTCCCGATTTAGCCCACCAGAATCTGCGAACATGCCCCAAAAGAGATACACAAAGTTTACGAGTCAACTTAAAGCACGACATCACATAGGTTGGTAAAGCACCCAAAACCACTTTGATTAACACTTCTTTCTAGCGGGAGACAATAATAGAGATTTCCAGGAGGCTAATCGATTAGACACCCGCTAAACAATATAATGAAACACATCCCATTTAGAATGGCCAATAAGCGCTGGCATACCCAAATACTTAGCACAGAGCCCTTCTTCGCGAATCCCCAAGATATGACATAAGTATGATTTGATGTCCGCAGAAGTATTTTTGGAGAAGAAGATAGATGATTTAGAAAAATTAATCTATTGCCCAGACGCCTTTTCATACCTCTGAAAGAACTTCTTAAGAAAAAGAATTTCTATTGTAGAAGCCTGACAAAACAAAATTGAGTCATCTGCAAAAAATAAGTGGGAGATAACTGGAGCCTGCGGATAGATGTGGATACCCGATAGGACTTTATGTTGAATTGCCCGCTACAAAGAAAGAGAAGGGCTTTTGCACACAAAATAAATAAATATGGAGATAAAGGATCCCCTTGGCATAAGCCATGGGTGCGTTGAAACATCCCCACAGAAGTCCCATTAATAATCACATAAAAAGACACCGTAAAAATACAAGCATGAATGAGTTTAATCCAATGAGGATGAAAACCCAATTTAGCAAACATGGCTAACAAAAAAGACCATTCAATTCGATCATAAGCCTTACTCATATCAAGCTTCAAAGCAAGAAATACATATTTACCTACGCTTATTTTTAAGATAATGCAAAACTTCATGCATAGTTAAAATATTATCAATAATATGCCACTCAGTAACAAAAGCACTCTGGAATTCGTTAACAATAGAGGGAATAACCTTTTTTAAATGATTGGTAAGCACCTTAGCGACAATTCGATAAGAAACATTACATAAAGAAATGGACCTATAATGAGATACCTGGGAGGAGGCATCAATTTTAGGAATGAGCACAATATTAATATGATTCATACTCTTTAGAAAATAGCCAATTTTATGCATTCGGGCTATTTGAAAGTTGGTTGTTGATATGAAATAAAGTTAAAATTATATGATTTATGATATCATAGATATTATCCTAACTTCGATAGCTTTAAAAATTTTAAATAAAAAATTTTAATAATTGAATTTTAATTTTAAATAAAATGAGATAAATGGTTTTATTTCATCACACAAAGTCTGAAAAAAAAAAAAAAAAAAAAAAAAAAAAAAAAAAAAAATCCCTTGTGGCATGATACGAGTTATTTTATTTCATATCAATTGTATATAGTTAGCATACCAAGGGGCTAAATACCAAAGGGCATTTAGCCCCCATTCTCCAGTAAAAAGGCTTGAGTCGGGTGCAACCACCATTCTCGAGGAGGTGTATATAGTTAGCATACCAAAGGGCATTTAGCCCTATTCTCGGGCGGGGGGGTTTGAGTCAGGTGCAGCCTCCATTCTTGAGGAGGGAAGGGTTTAAGTCTGGGTGCGGACAAAAAAGTGTGCAAGTGTGTTAAAAAAAAAAAAAAGTGTGTAAGTGTGTTATATATACTTTGCATTTTTTTTTTTCCTAACTTTTTAGTAGATTATTAAAATTTTGACACGGTATAGTTGTCAAAGGCGCCGAAGGCGCGCGCCTGAGGCGCAAGGCGCCTCTAGGCGCCAGGTTAGCGCCTTGAGTCTACTCAAGGCGGTTGGGTTATATAAGGCGTGCGCCTTTACGATCAAGGCGCGAGGCTACAGGCGCTAGAAAGGCGCGCCCCGCATGAAACTTTTGTTTTTAACTTATTTTCCTTATTTTTTTTTGTTTTGTTTGTGACTCTGTAGTCTGTAACTCTGTATTGTTATATTATTTGTATTTTGTATTGTATTATTTTAAACTTGAAAAGTTGAAAGCTCAAAGCCAAAGCCTATTTTAAGTTTGCAACATAAAAAACGAAAAAAAAAAGAGAAGCAAAGGAAAGAAGAACACAGACTAACAGAGGCAGCGAAGTACTCACTCGGGACTCTCGGATCTGCGTCGGCTCTCTCCAGGTTAGTTCTTCTTCTTCTCTCCTTCTCTCCTCCTCTTCTCAGATCTGCCGGATCGGTGATTCGGTCAGATTTTTTTTTTTTTTTTCTTCTTCTTTTCTTCTTCTTCTTTTCTTCTCTCGAGTCTGGGCCCTGGGGCCTCTCGGCTCTTTCTTGCTAGACATTTATGTCATTTATTTCTATTTTTCTTCTTCTTTTTATTTTATTTATTTATTTTTTTGCCTCCAGTTTTATTCTTCTTTTTCTTTTTTTCTTCTTCTTTTCTTGAGTCTTGGCTCTCTCCTGGCAGATTTGTTTTTTTTTTTTTTTTTTTCTTCTTTTTATTTTTTTATTTATTTTTTGTTTCTCCAGTAAATTTTTTTTTTTTCAGTCTCGGCTCTCTCCTGAGTCCTGAGTCCTGGCAGATTTTTTTTTTTTTCTCTTCTCTTCAGTCTCGGCTCTCTCCTCGCAGATTTTTTTTTTCTTCTTTTTATTATTATTATTTTTTTTTTCTTACTCTAGTTTTTTTTATTTTTTTTTCATTTTTTTATTATTTATTTATTTATTTGTGTGAGGTACTTTATATTAACCTGATTTATTTGTGTGAAAAGTTGTATTTGTTCCATTCTAACATGTTGTTGGTTTGAGGAAATGCATTGCACATTCAATATCCGATCAAAGTTTAGGTCTGCATCGAGTGGTCTATTAGCATCCTTTGTTAACGGGACCATATCGGGCATGACCCTCTTTGTTTCAGCATGATCTCCCACTCGAAGCATAAGTTTTTAGGCGTGCACAGAGGCACGCAGCTCACTAGAAATATTTCAATACTAAACCGTTGGTAAACCGTATCCTTTCTTTAGGCGATCAAGTAAACAACAAAAATGTGTAGTATCGGGAGAATGAATAACGAACTGCAGTTGCAGTTTAACTGATATGTCAAAATATTGTAACAAACATAGCAACTATGTGCATATTCTCTAATCCATATCAAACCAAATTTCTTGAAATGCGACAAAAGCAGAACATAGTCAAATCTTTCCTTTAGTCCTGCATTAAACAAGGGCATCCAGCGGCCAAGAGTGTTAAGAGTAGAGTCACAAAGTCTCCCCTATATTAGATCGAAGAACTGGAAAATATTACTTCAGATATTAGGCATTATAAGAATCGACTCAATGTGACATAATGAATTTTCCCAGTCAGTGTCTACGTAGAACATAATAATAATAATAATAAATTAAAATAAAACAAATGAAAAGTTAATAAATTATTCAATATCCGGATTTGCACATTTAGAGTTTACCATTTAATAATAATAATAAAATCTAGCATGCATCCAATTTGAGCTAGTGACCAAATTCTAATGAGAGTATGAGACCTTAAAGAATAATATTTTGTTTTTTGCATTCTGCCAAAGCTTTGTATTTATTTTTTAAAATTGAAATGTTAATATTGCTAATTGCTTTGAATCTCTGTATTTATTTATTTATTTGCCAGAGTTGTTGCAAACACTGATTACATGATGCTATTATTTTGTTATCTTGAATTTGATTGTAGTTTGTACTTTAAAAGATGCCTAGTGATGGTTTAAGAAAGGATCCGGCATGGAATTACTCACATTTGGAGAATCCGAAAGATACAAATGCCGTCACTTGTAACTTTTGTGCAAAAGTTACAAAAGGAGGTATTTATCGAGCTAAACAACACTTAGCTGGAGGGTATAGAAATGTGAGTGCATGCCCAAGATGCCCATCTAGTGTTAGAGAAGAAATCAAAGAGTACATGAGTAAGAAAAAGGAAGAAAAAGATCAAATGAATTTGTTACCTAGTGATGAAATTAATTTCATTGATGGAGAGGATGAGGATGACATTATGGAAGTTAACAATCGAGGAAAAAGGGTAGCCAGTGCAGGCAGTGCTAGTGTCAATTCCTCAAAGATGCAAAAGCAAAAGGGACCGATTGATTTATATTTCACTCCCAGACCGAAAATTGTGGTACAAAAAAGAAAGGAGGGGGGAAAACAAACAGCTATTAATGATGCATGCAAGAAAGAGTTGAGAAGAAGAGCGTGTGCTGCTTTTGCAAGGTGGATGTATGATGCAGGAATTGCATTCAATGCTGTTAAGTATGATAGCTTTGCCGAGGTTGTTGAAGCAATTGGACAATATGGTCCTGGCATGAAACCACCTAGTTATCATGAGGTGAGAGTTCCTTTACTTAGGAAGGAATTGGATAATACCAATGCTTTGATGAATGACCATAGGGAGGAGTGGTCAAAATTTGGATGCTCATTAATGGCAGATGGGTGGACAGACAAGAGAGGGAGAACATTGCTTAATCTCCTAGTAAATAGTCCAAGGGGAACCATGTTTATTGAGTCGATAGATACTTCTTCTTTTTCAAATGATGGTGACAAGATGTTTGACTTACTTAATAAATTTGTCAACCGCATTGGAGTAGCAAATGTCGTCCAAGTCGTCACAGATAATGAGTCAAGCAATAAGTATGCCGGTAAGAATGTTCAATGTTTATAACTTTTAGAGTTTACATTCTTTACAAATATATAATTTAAATCAATTTTGATTTACTCATTCTCTTTATATCATTTATTCTTTTTTCCGTTTGGTTTCAAATAGGGAGGATGTTAGAGAAAGAACACCCACATTTGTATTGGACCCCATGTGCTGCTCATTGCTTAGACTTGATGTTGGAAGACATTGGGAAAATACCGTCCATCTCTAGAACAATGCAGAGGGCAGTGGAGTTGAATAGTTATATTTATATGCGACCAAAGTTGTTGAACATTATGAGGAACTTTACTCACAAAAAGGAGTTGCTTAGGCCTGCTAAGACTCGATTTGCTACATGTTTCATCACATTATCAAGTATTCACAAGCAAAAGAATAACTTGAGAAAGATGTTTACTTCAGAAGAATGGAATCGTAGTAAATAGGCGAAAGAGGAAGCCGGTAAAAGAGTTGCTTCTTATGTTTTGATGCCTTCCTTTTGGAACAACATTGTCTTTAGCCTTAAGGTTTCCGGTCCTCTTATTCCGGTTTTGAGATTAGTTGATGGCGAGAGAAAGCCTCCTATGGGATACATTTATGCGGCTATGGATAGGGCTAAAGAAGCCATTGCAAAATCCTTTGGGGGAGTAGAAGATAAATACTCAGATATTTTTGAAATAATTGATAAGAGGTGGAATGTTCAACTTCATTGCCCTTTGCATGCAGCAGGTTATTATTTGAACCCAGAATATTTTTATTCAAATTTGAAAATTGAAGAAGATGAAGAGATTGCAAAGGGTTTGTATGCATGCATTGCAAGGTTAGTCCCGGATGTCAAAGACCAAGACAAAATTACTGAGGAGCTGTCCTTATATTCTAAAGCTGAGGGCCTCTTTGGTAATCCCTTTGCTATTAGACAGAGAAGTACACGAGGACCAGGTAAAGTGGTAAAGTATATTAAGTTAGTATATCTAAGTGTTAAAATTATTTTGACAATAGAGTCGATAGAAAGATGAAGCTAAAGTTGCTAAACATCATTATTAATTTTTTTTAATAGCTAATTGGTGGGAAGCTTATGGCAAGTCAACAAAACTTCTCCAAAAGTTTGCTATAAAGGTTTTAAGCCTTACTTGCAGTTTTTCTGGTTGTGAACGAAATTGGAGCGTGTTTGAGCATGTAAGTATATACTATTTACTAACTAGGTTTGTAATTTAATTGTTGAAAATTAAAATTTTAATTTTTTATACTTACTAGTTAAAGTTGAATTTATTGCAGCTTCATAACAAGAAAAGAAATAGGCTCGCTCAAACAACGTTGAATGATTTAGTGTTCATCAAATAATAGAGCATTGAGGCGTCGATATAATATGCGTGACACTCTTGATCCCATTTTACTCGATGACATTGATGAGAGCAACGAGTGGTTGACGGGGAGGATGGATGATTCTGATGCAGAACATGATCTAGTCTATGAAGATGATTCCTTGACATGGGGTGATGTTGCTAATTTTGCTGGTATTGGAGAGGCAAGCAGGCCGCAACGGTCTACTAGATCAAAATCTAGTTCTAGTTCACGGTTACCAACAAAGGGAGCAGGAAGTTCTTCAGTTCGACTTGTGGATGAGGATGAGGATGATTCAGATGAGATAGTAGAGGATCCTGAGAATTATGAATCATTTAGTGACGATCAAAATGATGTTATGCTTATTGATGACGAGGATAATATTTAGATTCATTGGTGTTGTCTTCTTAGGAAGAATGATGTTTATGTTTGTTTTAGTTTTATCTTATACTTCTCCTTAGTTGACTTTTGCATCTTTATGTTAATATGTTTGATTATTCACTGTTTTAAACTCAAGTACTTGATTTACTTGGTTTTGGCATCTTTATGTTGAATATTTAACTTAAGTAATTCATTTAGCTGACTTTTACATCTTTCTATATATTATTGCATGATTTGCATCTTTAATACTTTATTGGGTGGGTTTTTTTTTTTTTTTTTTCCAACGTGCGCCTTGCTTCAGTCGGGCGCGCGCCTCGCCTTGCGCCTCAGGCTCCAGGAGGCATTTGCGCTTTTGTGCGCCTTGAGCCTTTAACAACTATGATCCACGGTCTCGAAATTCTGCCTGTATGAAGGTACTTGGGGATGGGTTTTTTTGGGACTTGGGTTTCGCGCGTGTTAGCTCTTTGGTTGGTATGGGCTAACTCTTTGACCCACCCAAATACCACCTCCATCAAAGAAGTTTACCTTCTAGAATGAATAACCAAGGCTATTAATTAAAATTTTCAACCATATAGAAAGTTAAAAGAAAAAATATGATCCATATTATGTTATTTAAAATGTTTCTTTAGGTACTATTTTTTATTTTATTTTTTAAAAGACTTTAGGCACTATTTGATAATCTAATTTTAGAATTTAATTTTGAATGAATTAAATGCTTGCATTTGATAATATAATTTGAACATCAAAAAGACTCTCATAAAATTTCAACTAGACTTAAAAATTATATTATCCATACAAAATGCAATTTCAATGAGCTTTTTTTTTTTTTTTTTTTTTTTTTTTTTTTTTTTTTTTTTTTGTCAAGACAAGAGGTGTTAGATGTTAGATTAATAGATGCAGTATTCCAAATTTTATGGGAGACACTAATCATCCACTGGGCTATCGAAGCAAACTGCCAATTTCTATGAGTTTGAAAATTGTAGAAGTTTTATGAATATTGTTGTTATAAAGATTTGTTACATATTTATTCTACTAATTATTTTTTTTTCAAAGATTCCAAGTGCCTATAAATAAGTTCATTTCACCACACAAATTATAGTTGTATTAAGTATTATCTTGTACTGTTATCCATGATCTAACTACAAGCTTACTTATATTATATATCAAGTGAAATTTATTTTATCACAATAAGATACACTAGGTTATGAATTTATTTTGCCACAATAGGATATAATGCTGGATGAGCAATTGTAGTGTGCGCAAGTATTCAGATTGGACATAGGGGTGGTTATCTGAACCATTCAATTCACATATGTTCTCAGAATGACTAATTTGAGCACTAACATAGTGGATAGAATTAGATACACCAAACTACACCATTCTTTTAAACAATGAATGCATTTTTATACTTTTGTCCAAAAATTTTATATAAAGCTTAAGTTTGAACGTTTATAACATAGAATACAAACAAATAATAAAATTCATATAATATAAATATGTATATACACATATATGTACTATTTTACTATTTCTTTGAACATTTCAAAATTTCAATACCACTAATATATTTTTTTTTTTATAATTAATATCCATCACTATATAGAAGGTGGATGATTTAAGTTCAGGGTGTAGTGAGTGTGTGAACGTGTTTGTTTATATATATATATATATACATACATACATATATATATATATATATATGCTGTCTAAAGGAACAAAATCATGTCATGTTGTGTTGCATTTCTTGGTAAATTACTTGTATTAATTGAAGAATGAGGTTAGGTTGAACAAACAAGATTGACATTTCGTCCTCGGACCATTGCAATTGTAGAAAAGAGCTATCCTAGTAATATACATTAATTTATCCAGTGACGAGGGTAGTTGATGAATGTAGCATCTGCCTTACTTTGTGTTTTTTTTTAATTTTTTTTTGGAAAGTAAGAGTGATATTAAATAAAGCAGAATATTTATATAAGCGCCTAGTAGGAGTGACTGGCCCATAAATCATGGACGGCCCACTCACATAACCAATTACAACCCAAAACTAACAAGACAAATAAGATGGCCCAGTATAGCAAACAAAGACAATATTAGTCTACAAGGACTTGGACTATCCTTGTTTTCTTGTATTACACATTATCATGCAACTACTTCCAGTAAAAAGCAAAAATCAAGAAAGTAACATAATGAATACTTGAAAGAGAATTAACAAGAAAGAAAACATATGACATTCATAGGAATGTTACAAAGCTCAAAGCCCAGATTCTGCAAGGAATATCACAAATTCAATCACAATCAACCAAAAACTGGTATGCCTTCTAACTCAATTAAATACAATATCAAATTAGTTCCCCGCCAAGTTTCATTTTGGATCAGATGATTGGATGCCATGACGCTTGAAAAATTCTCTGAAACCATAGGGACTGAGGTCATAGTTAAACTGGAAAATAGTAGAAAGAGAAAATAAATCAGATAAGATCGAAACTTCTTACTGGCCTCGTTGATGTTATGGTTTAGTTAGCACCTTGGAAGTACTTTTATTGCATTCAGAAGCAGGAAAACTACTACTTAAATGCTCGCCAACAATGATTATCAATTATATCTTTGATCTACTTGAGGAAAAAAGAAATGCTGGCCAACAATGCCAAGGAGACTGATAGTTAATAGTCAGCCACTCGAAAAAAATCATCATTCAGTTCAATATTCTCCAAGACAAAAGGATACAAGAATCGGGAATCAAAAGGAAAGCTATATTATATATAACACCAATCTAGGATTGCTTGGTCATCCCTTAAATGAATAAATCTTACCCATATATTATAACAGATGGGGTGTTTAAGCCCCTATACTAATTTCCTTGAGAAGTCAGAGATTATCCATTAAGAGTGCTAAAGAGGATGCAAATCCAGAACACAGGACTCATACACAAGGTGTTATAAGCACAGAATTCAAGATGCAGACTTGGAACTTTCTTTCTGTTAAACCTAGTTGATGAAAGATCTTACCAACGTCCATTCAGGTGGATGTCGAGGATACAGGAGCTCTAATTCAGGTGGATTTACTAAAGTTTGGTCATCTATCCGGGACAGCTCAGATCTGAGCTAGTGTGATATTATGGCTTACCTTTAGATGACATCATATCTGATTTTCTGCTTCATATAATTCTAGATTAAGAACATTCTGTTATGTTTAATTGACTGTTTTTGTTCCCATATCTTGCCCAGCTTAAAAAATAAAATAAAACAGAACAAAATTCCGTGGACATATTGTCTAGTCCTGCAATGCATATAACAGTATAATTTTCCCATGTGTAGCAGAGCTTTATTATCCTAAACACATTAGAGTTTTCTTTCTTATTATTTTCCACAGAAGAAACAGAGGATAGGCGTTGCAATTTTTGGAAATCGGTTTTTTTTATCTCTAAATGCATATATTTCTAGAACACAAGATTTAAGTAAAGTTTAAATAGGACAAAAATGACAAAAGGATCAATTAAAATCAACTGCGGTTTAGGACGGGATGCCTAAAACTCTACCCTTGGACTTTCAAATTCTATGTAAATTAAGAAGTTCGACTCCTGAACATTTGAAGGCCAAACAAACAAAAACTGCATTTTGAAACTGCAAAAGGAACAATTTGAGCTTAGAAAATGAGAGTAAACTTGTTAAATTGATAATAGCTATGTAATAGACAAACCCAAAACTCACAGGTAAAACTTTTACCGAGTACTTTGTAGTATTTGGATCAGCAACCCTTCCTTGACTAGCTGCCTGCACCAGAAATAATAATTGAGCAGGAAATCAAGTTTGAATGGGAGATCAAAGCTTTTGACACTGTAATGGAAATGAAGACAATATGCTTAGTTTCCCATGAGACAAAAATCAATCATCTAAAATGAAAGAAACACAAAAATTAAAGCCACTCCTAGAAAGTAGCAAAAAATCCAAAAAAATAAAGAAAAAAGAAAAAAGAAAGAGTGGTAAAGAAAAAGAAAAAGAGAATCATAATGTGATTTAGTGCCTGCAGTAAGATTGACTCATTTGAATTGCCACATTAGGAGGAAAAAAGCAATTCATTCCACAATATTTAAAATATAGCGGGGCCATCTCATGCCCAAGGTCATCTAAACAGTTCCTTATTGTTCAATAATGAACACAAGAAACAACGATACAGTACATCTGACAACAACATCCAGGTTACTTCTCCGTCACCTGACCGAGTACGGTGTTCAGGGGAGCCGGTGCCGTGAAGCCACCATCCCAACAGAGGCATTCACTAGTACAACTGGGGTATAGGAGCTAAAGAATCCAACTTGTCTACCGTAGTTATGCAGATGTAACAGTTAAGCAGTAACAGTTGCATAAATGTTGAGAGGACATATCAGTCACCCAAAATAATGGCAATTTATGGTGTAGTTGGGATTGGTGTATAACTGAAGTACAGAATTATGCACCATATGGAACAATTCCTCTGCCATTTTCAATTAATTGAAGAGAAGTCTGATGAAACACCCATATAGTACACTAACAATAAGACAAGAATAAACAACATAAAAGTAATGAAAAGTCAAACCTACTTGTTCTGGGCTATGAAACATTTCTGTAAATGGATATTCCTTCCTCTGCCGTGTCATACAAAACCCAGGATATTTTGGACACTCAACCTGAAAAGCACCATTACAAGTACCAAAAATCATAAGAAACAAAGGAATGTGGACACAGGATAGGTTGACGATGATAAAATTTTCATTTGACCACCACAAATGTAATGAAAATTGCTTCACTTAGCATAACTCCACACATACAGTTAAAGGATGTATGATCTTAGAAATAATGATCTTCCAGCACATATAATTATCATAAATAATTTATCAGAAGCCACTCGCGTGCATAAATTTTACATGTGGATAGAACTCAATAGCAGCTTCCTCCAACACTCTGTCAAGATGTTTTGTGTAATTACCTCTGCGCCATCCAACATAAGTAAATAGATTCAGAAGTCATTTTGATGAAGATGAGAGAGAACGACAAATGAAAATGTATCCATCCCGAATCACCTGATGGTAAATGAAACCACCACAGGGTGACCTTGATGTAGAAGCTGGACAAACTCACGCTCTGTGGTAAAATGAATAACCCGTGATGGCCCAAGATCTTTTGGATAACCAGTATGATACCTTTCATTTTTCAAAGAGAAAGTAATTACTAATTAATCCTGGTGAGAAAGGTCCTTTTGTGATGATCAAGAGGAAATCTGACTTGATAGTGTGCCCTAAAACCAGTATAAAGTGTAAAATATTATTTCACATCTAACAAGTAGGTGCGTCCCATTATACCACTGCAATTAAGAAACTTCCATTCACATTTAACACTTAATTTTAATTCAGAAGCTTTGAAAAGCAAAAACTAAACACGAGACATGAAAACTGATGCAAAGGATCCATGCCTATGTCACTCACATGGCATGGCAAAGAATCGTCCATAGACTGATGCAACGCGATAACTATTCGTTTCTGTTTGGTTAGGAGAGATAAGGAAATCAAGGACAGGTTGGACATCAACATAGGTCAACTACATCAAGTCACATATTGAGTGCACATCCAAAATGTCCAAAATTTTAAAAAAGTTTTTTTTATTTTCTCATTGTAGACACACCAGTGCATGGTTAATTTCCCAATATAAAGGAAGTGCGTAATTATGTAGAACAAAATAAGGCAACGGAAGATTTATGTATGAAACTTAAGAAGAAATATGATGCACATACTTGCATGTTGCACGAAACTGTCTCATCATACTATCAAAAAATGATGACTCCTCCATCAACGCAGATACAGAAATGGCACCAAACTAGCTTTACGTATCATTCTGCAAGATATGTTAGTCACATATAAGATTTCCCGCTTTTCAACAATCCTTTTCAGAATTTTAGATGAAAGACACTATCAAATGCCCCCACCAAATGCAAATTGCAAAGGAGAATGAATGCCACAGATTTGGTAATCATGTAAATCACGAAAAAGATCATGAGTGCCACAAAGTTATAAAGTTTCTTGAACTGAATTTCACTTAATATTTCCAATTTGAGGAAGGCTGAAAGTATCCACCAAGAAGGAATAAATAGACTTATAGATCAAAGATGATTGGCCCAAAAATATTCTCGTTAAAAATGTAATTATAGAAAATTACAACGAACTGCAGATGACCACAACACAATCTTACATGAAGAGTGTTATATTTGGACTTCCTAGAACAAAGAAGGGGACCCTGAAAAGAGCTGATGGAATCTTCACGCTGCAGCTCACTGGGGCTTTGCTCCAATCAATTGAATGTAAATCTCTAACAGTAGCATCAGTTCTCAGCAGAGATATACAGGCTGCCTTCATTGGTATATATTGTGCAGGATGCACCTCATAGGAGAGTCATCGATGCCAAAACTTATATCATAGTTAAATCATTTCAACATATAATTTAGGTAACACCCTTGCAACTTCTCAAAACTTTTCCCCATCTAAGATGGTCAACAAAATAAGATTGTCTGAAAACAACTTTTCATCTCAACTTCCTTTGCTGTTCTCAAGTCTCAGTCCATATCCCAATGCCAGATGTAATACAACAATTAGGTTCTAATTATTGCAGATCTTACAAGAAAAGTGGCCACTCACAAAACCAAGCCAACCAAACTCAAATGAGCTCTTACCCAGTCATGACTAATTTCTCAAATAGGCCTTGATTTCAATCTTGGGATTTAAATAAAATAGTTGGGAAGCAGAAGGTAAACCTTGACCTATAGTGGCTCAATAGTAGCTCGGTCTCCTTATGACCTTATTAATAAAAAAAATTAAATAAAAAAAATTTCCTATATCTAGATCATATATGTTTATAAGCAGCCAAATTCATATTTATATATATGAGCAAAACTTTTATCTACATCAAATTCCAAGGCTAATAAAAATTCGTCCAATGCCCTAATGTTGTTGTTTTGAGCTCAAGCTAGGGCATGAAACAGCAACTGATAGACAATAATGCTTAATACAGAAATTACTTCAAACCATGCCAGAAGCAATTGCATAACAAGATAAGATACCAGAACAAAAATGTTGAATACTTCCCCAATCCAACAAAATCTTTAAACCCTTTTTGTTTGGTAAGAAACCGATGGAAAACAAAAATAATTTTTTTGATATTTATTCTGTCACATACGTTTACCTAAAAAATGGGCAACAATTAGAATAGTAAACTCAACTAAGTCGAATACAACTAGTGGGTTTTCCATTTTCTTAGAAACTTATAACGTAAAATGCAACAAATCAATTCGTAATCATTACATTAACCACAGCAAAAAGATAAGTATGAATGAATTTGAAAATTGTGAAAATATATGCCACAATAACCAACGAAATGATTAAACTTTGAAATAAGATACCTACAAAATCATAAACCACAAGAGGATCGTCAAGTAATGCATCTATGATTGAACTTAGAAATAAGATACCTACAAAATCATAAACCACAAGAGGGCCGTCAAGTAATGCATCTAATAAGCCAAAATCAAGCACCAATATTTATATACATATGTGCTTGTGTGTGTATGTGTGTGTATTTATGGCAACTAATCAAATCACTGGAGAATCAGGGTAGAGCCAATTACCTTGCTTTTGGTGGACGAGCTATCAGAGACGAAGGACCCTCACCAAATATTGGAGAGAGAGAGAGGGTACCGTCCCCACTGAAAATGTTGTGTCAAATGAGTATGTCTTCGAAAAAGTGAGTGTGCATTATTTGTTATTTTTTTTTCTATTTTTGAAAAAATTTTATTTGCATCATTTATCAATAGAAAATTAAAGAAAGAAAAGTGCATTTCTATGATCAAGTGGTTTTAGTGGATAATTTATTTCTTTATTTTAATTTTGTTAAAAAAAAAAATCTCTATTTGAAAAAATTATATTTGCGTCATTTATCAATGAAAAATAAAGAAAGAAAAGTGCATTTCTATGATCAACTTTTAAAGTGGTTTTAGTGGATAATTTATTTCTTTATTCTCGATCCACCTCCCTCATTTAATCAGGAGATAAAAAGAATAAAATGATAACATTAGTATTTCTTTAATAACTTACTTAAATCTCAAATAAAAGCCGAAAATAAATTTAAAAGAAAAATATCATTTTAAAAGTAATTTATTTTCTATGTTCCTTAGTAAGGAAAGAAGAGGGTGTGGAAGGAAAAGTAGAAGGAAGGTAGTAAGGAAAGAAGAGGGGTGGAAACAAGAAGTAATATCCTTCCGACAAAAAAAAAAAAATAAAATAAAATAAAAAAAGAAAAAGATAATAGAAAAAATGAGTCATCCTTCTTGGTTCACAACTTTGCGTCTCCAAATATAAGCATCACGTAAGAGACAAGAAAAATGACCTTATTATAGAAGTTTTAAATTACTATATCATTCTTCATAAATATTTAATAAATTTCATAAATAAAGTATATGATGGGTTTAATGGTAAAAACAACTTAAAAACTTAACTTTTCTTTTATTCTATAAATTAAATTAAATTGTCAGATTTTTACAATTATTAATCTCTTTTTTAAGATGTCTCAGTCATCCCTTCTTCTTTTCCTTCCATTCAATTTTTTTCTTCTCTACCGAACCGAGCATTAAGTAACAAAATCTTACTTTAATCTTTATTAAATTAGCATTATAATTTTTAAAAATTTAAAACAACTCTAAAATATAAACATAAATATCAAAAAGAGTTACAGCAACATGCGAGATATATATATATATATATATATATATATATATATATATAAGCCCAAATCATATTTGAGATTGTTAATATTAATTTGAAATAGCTTATAACATAGTAATAGTTTTTTTTTTTTTTTTTTTAACTCAAACCGATATAGCCAAATTAGTAATATTATTTGTTTTAGCATTGTAACGAGAAATTAAAGTAAATTTTTAAATTTTTCAAAACAAATTTTCCTGATTTTGATTTAACCATAAAACACATGGCATGTAGCAACAATTTCTAATAATATTTGTCCATGTCTGTTTTCTCTCTCTAAAAATCTCTCCTCCATCTTCCTTTCACTCTGATTCAGCCCTGGCCCCTGTTCTCCTCCACTAATAAAGTCCCATAATTCAATAACTGCATTATACTAGCATTTCCCTTTTCTTCCCATTTTCACTCTCCCTACAAACTGTCACACTATATTCTCCACACCCTAGAAACTGTCACACTATATTCTTCTCACCGGTCCATCTATTCTCTCCGGTTCTACCACAATTTTTGTTCTCTCTAGAAATTTGCAGATGATTGTCAGCTTTCTTGCATATAGACAGTTTGTTGTTCCGATTTTGATGACTTCTGCGCAATTGGGTCTTTGAGAATAGCTGGAAAACCATGTCACCGGCTCTGGTTGAGACGCCGTTGCCGGAATCATCGTCGATGGCGTCTTCGCCTTCTCCTGGGAATTCCATCGCCGAGAATCGTCGTTTTCCTGAGCTTAGAGGGGTCCAGTGGCGTATAGATTTGGGGATTTTGCCTTCCTCTTCTTCAATTGATGATCTCCGTCGGGTCACAGCAGATTCTCGGAGGAGGTAACTTTCATATACTCTCTCTAACAGCATATGAGTATTGTCAACTCATAAAATTGTATAATTTCTATAATTAATACGCCAAAGGTTGTTCTTTTTATACGGGTTTGTTTTTCTCTATGTGAATTGGAAATAGTGATTGATTTTATTTTATTTACGGGTCCAAATGATCACCTTGATTCAGTTTGGAAAAGTTGTTTTGTTTTTTTTCCTTCTTCTTGTTGTTGTTATGGGGTTTTTCTCATTTCATGATTTCAATTGAAATTTGGCTTGAGTTTAATACATGAGGTTTGATCTACTTAGAACTGTTTCAACAAGAGTTAAAACACTTTTACCATGCAAATTGGACATTTTGAAAGTTGAATGTCTTCTATTAAATCGTTTAATGCTTATGTGGATGGTATTTTGAGCAAAGTCTAGAAATTTAGCTTTGATCTTAATGAGGTTTTGAGCTTTAATCTTAATGATACCAAATCAATGGTGTGATCTCAAATGGAGATGTGCTGTCAAACTTCTAAGGCAGAGTTTCTGAACAAAGTGTTGGAGTAACAACCATTACATTCTAATGTGCCTTACCTCCTGCTTTAAATTAATGGTGTTTTTTCTCAGATATGCTACTTTGAGGAGGCGCCTCCTAGTTAATCCACATGTTCCAAAAGATGGAAATAGCTCTCCTGATCTTGTCGTGGACAATCCATTGTCTCAAAACCCAGGTAAATCCATTCATTCCACATCGCCCAGACCAATTTTTTTTTTTTTGGTGATTTCAATTGTCACTTAATAAAGGTTAAATATACACATGCAACAAATGCTATTTATACCCCATGTCTAAGTTTGCATATTAGAGATGATTTAGTTGTGTATTGAGAAGAACGTCACTTGCATGATTGCATCCCAATTTCCCCGTTCACCCAACACAACACAGGAAAAGTGTGTGTGTGTGTGTGTGTAAGAGAGAGAGACGAAGTAATGCAATTCACTCTGAGAATTGAGGAGAAAAAACCAATAACGTATTAATAGAACTATATTCAACCTGCATTGCCCCGCATATTAAATTTATGATTAAGCTGACCAACTTCCCACTTAATGGTGCAAATATTATTTTCTCTTGATTATGTCCTGCAGATAGCATATGGGGTCGCTTTTTCCAGAATGCTGAATTGGAGAAAATGGTTGACCAGGATTTGTCACGTTTGTATCCTGAACATGGAAGTTACTTCCAGACACTGGGATGCCAAGACATGCTGAGACGAATTTTATTATTGTGGTGTCTTAGTCACCCAGAACATGGTTATGGACAAGGTAAGTTAGCCTGTTTCCTTAAAGACATTGGCCTTCCTCTGGTTTTTTTTTTTGTTGGTACTCACACACACATGCCTCCACGGAGGCTTGAACCCCTGACCTCCCTTTGGGAAGTAGGAGCCTAATACCGCTAGGCCACTGACCCGTTGGTCCTTCCTCTGGTTTTCCTTTTCATTATGTTATCTGTTAAATATGTTGCTTTGTATGCATGTCAGCACTTCCATATAGGAGGAACCAACAAAAGGTAGTATTTTTTTTTTTTTTTTTTTGAAATAGTTTATTTGTGTATGCATGCCTGAAGAATGAAACTTTAATTTTGGATTTTCACTAAAATGATGAGGTTGGTTGTGAGTTCTGCAAGTATAGAATCAAAAGCATTCTCCTTCGTGTGATTCTGCTCAAAAGAAAAGAAAGTTGGCGAACTTCCATAATACTCACTGCACATGCTGCATACTAAAATGATGTGCAAAGTTTGCCATTCACCAGTTAGGTGTAAATTTAGTCTTGGTGATTTCATCTGGCAGACTTGATCCTCACAACTTACCACAACAATGTGTAGCAAGGATGTTCTCCAGGAAAATTAAATTTGAATATATTTTTTTGTTCCCTTGGCATAATGGTAGTCTTTGCGGAGCTGATTGCATTAGACGTATGGTAATCTTTTCTCAACACTTTGCTTGTTGCTGCAGAAACCATTTCCTAGACGAAAAAGAGAAACAACATGAAACAAATTTAAGATTGCCAGACATATACGTTGATGCAGGTGCCTCTATTCTAGAAAGAACAGCAGAAAAGCATAAGCTGAACATTTTATAAGTTCTCCTGCTAGGTTTGAGATTTTAATCCTTTTCAGGGGAATTTCTTTTGGAAAGGGAAAATATTTATGCTGCCAATTTCCTGGATTAAAGATTAGTTTGTTTAAGGACATAGACGTATGAAATATAAAATTTATATTTCGCCTGAAATCATATGGATCCCATATCAGTACATGGAGTGTATATGAAAATCCATTTTATTCTCTGAACCATCGTCTCATTGATTTTATGTCTGGAAGTTTTGTATGTTGAAGAGATGAAGTTCTTAATGGACTTTGTTTGGTACCAACTACCGTGAACTATATAAATAAAATTTAACAATTTAATGGTACCCAAGAGAGGAAAAATAAATCATAGCTCAGAACAGTAAAACTAGGCCAATGACTCTTGTATAACAATAATGTGCAAAAATTTAGTGTAAAGATAAAGCAAAATTTTCTGAATGAGTACAAAATGCAATTTTTACAACAATAACTTAGAAAAAGAAAAACACAATACATTAATGGTCCAAAATATTTCTGAGCATGAGCTCATGTGATGCTCACATTCACACCCACGGAGAGAGAGAGAGAGATGCTTGTTCTCACTCATTATGTAATGGAAGTTCTTTCTAAGCATTTTTAATTGTACTTATCTTTCTGGTTTTGGTTGCAGGAATGCATGAACTCTTGGCGCCACTGTTATATGTTCTTCAAGTTGATGTGGAGAATCTTTCACTAGTGCGAAAGCTTTATGAAGACCACTTCACTGACAAATTGGATGGTTTCTCATTTCACGAAAGTAACTTGATATATGATTTTGATCTTGAAAAAATTTCAGAGTCCATGGAAGATGAAACTGACTCCCAAAATAGTTCATTGAAGGTTTGTAGTCTTGACGAACTTGATCCCATGATACGAGCCATTGTTTTGTTAAGTGATGCTTACGGGGCAGAAGGTGAACTAGGTATCGTCTTGTCCGAGAAATTCATGGAACATGATGCCTACGGCATGTTTGATGCTTTAATGGGTGGGGCTGGTGGTGCAGTTGCCATGGCAGAATTTTTCTCACCTTCTGCTTTAGGTGGCTCACACACTGGGTTACCTCCTATTATTGAAGCATCTTCTGCACTGTACTACTTGCTTTCTATAATTGATTCATCTCTCCATGACCATCTTGTTGAGCTAGGAGTTGAACCCCAGTACTTTGCGCTCCGCTGGTTACGAGTTTTATTTGGGCGTGAGTTTGGACTTGAAGACCTCTTGATAATCTGGGATGAAATATTTGCATCTGACAGCCATAAATCATACAGTAGTGCTGAAAATGATGCGTGGTTCAGCTTTAGGGTCCTTAGTTCGCCCAGGGGAGCATTCATCTCGTCTATGGCCATTTCTATGATACTTTATTTGAGATCTTCCCTGCTTGCCTGTGAGAATGCTACTTCCTGTCTTCAGAGATTGCTGAATTTTCCAGCGAATGTAAATCTGAAGAAACTGATAATGAAGGCAAAATCCTTGCAGGCTATTGCACTGGATGCTAATAACTCAACCTCACTGCCAACACAAACAGAAGCATATAGCCGGAATAAATCAGTGGTTGTGAGAGGTCATAGCCTTCCATCAGATTCTATTTCTCCGAGAACTCCACTGAGTTTGGTAGCTGAGAGCTATTGGGAAGAGAGGTGGATAGTTCTGCACAAGGCAGAGGAAATTAATGAAGGTAGTGTAGAAAAACAAGTTCCCAACCATAGAAAGGGTTGGTCGGAGAAAATGAGATTGCGTTTATCTAGAACTGAATCTGCCCCATCCCCATCAATAGTTGATGGTGGGAAAAAGGAACCTGTGTTATCTGCTGGGAGAAGTTCACTGGAAGATTTGTCCCAGCATCTTAGATCAGAGGAAAATACTGAGAAAATAGTGTGCAATGAAGGTTTAGGCCAAAAGCATCCTTCCTCTGTGAATGTTGAGGTGGATCGACAAGATGGTACTGGTAAGAATTTCACTTGCACAGCTGAGAGATGTTTGAGTGGTAATGCTGGCAGCAAAACTAACTCTTCTATTTTCTCAGATCCGCCAAGCCCTCTCAGTGGAGCTAATGACCAAGAAAGCGAATCAGAGAGAAGTAGTGTTGCATCAAATTTAGCTGTTAATAAAAATGATGCTGATCCCAATAATGCTGAGTCATATAGGATAGACCCAGAAGACTCACCTTCTCCAGTCCCGGATTCCCCAGAGGAGATCTCTTTGAAATCTGGACAGAATGGTAATTCTATGGGAAAGTCAGCAACAGGTTTGAAGGAGCGGAAGCTTCTATTAGGTAAATTCAATTGGTTTTGGAAGTATAGACGTAATAGTTCTGAGGGGATGTCTGACAAAGGAGGTCCTTCCGAGGCTACAAAAGCTTCCTATGGTGCGAGCATTCAAAACATTGCAGGAATCTCTTCCTCAGCTGACGAGTCTAATAGTTCTTCTTTAATAAGCAAAGGAGATGCTGTAGACCAGAATGTGGAGGTTACTCTGAGGAATCTTGGACAGTCCATGCTTGAGAATATTCAGGTAATAAGTGCACTTAATATTGCTCTGATTCAGGTCTCAGGATCGATTCCTGCTAGGTGCAAACAATTCCTTGGAGGGAGGGGGTGGGGGTGTTGAGTACCAACTAGGAAAAAATATATAAATATATATATATTGCTCTGATGGTAATAGTGGACAATGAAGTGAATTTGGTTTTAACGGATGTTAAAAAATTTTCTTTTGCAGCTTTGTTTAGATACTTTTTTTTAGAACTTATTCAGCAACTTTAATTGAATACTCTCTCTTATAACCCCAACCTTACATGCTTCTCCCCTGACCTGATTCAGCAAGAAAATTGTAATAAAAAGATATTTGAAAGTGGCTTAGAAATTTTCTAATGAAGCTTGGTAAATTAATTTAACAGTAAATTCAGATTGGGCATATAATCTGACACAAATTATGGATCCCAGCGTGTTATTTTAGGGGGAACCAAATGCATGATAGCAGTAAAAGAAAATTAAAATTTGAAATACAAAAAAGAATATGTAAAAATAAAAGTAGGACACATATTGAAAATCATCGTAATTGAAGTATCCTAATTCTGTATCATTTGTAGATCATATCTTCATTTTTTGAACGTTAGACATTTCTAGTTTCACTTTCCTCTTGTTTGTGATTTTTTTCCCTCTCGGATTCTTGGGCTTTTGGAGCTTTTCTGTTGACAGGTTTCTGATATGGTTGATCCTTGTTTGAAGTTTAGTTTTCCTCATAGTTGAGACCATTCTTCATTGGAGTTGTTTACATTTCATACTCTTTTTATTATTTGGATTGGTGCTTGTTTTTTTCTTCTTTTTAAGCCGGTACACCTAACCATCTATCTTGCAGGTGATTGAGTCGGTTTTCCAGCAAGATTGTGGACAAGTGGAGTCCCTAGAAAACTTATCTAAAAATGTTCTGGTGGGCGGAGGACAAGTTACAGCCATGGCAGCTTTGAAGGAGCTTCGGAAAATCAGCAACATTTTATCTGAGATTTGAGGTGGGAGTTATTTAACATTAACCTGTATATATACTTTGTTATACTAATACTTTTTTCAAGTGCCAATATATATATATATATACATATACACACGAGTTTCTTCACCTTCTCATATCTTTCTATCTTCTGTTAGATTCTTTTATTTTTTTTTTTTGGTCAGAGCCTGATGTGTAATATGATACTAAATTTTTTTTTTGTTTTTCGGTCAGAGCCTGATGTGTATTATGATACTAAATTTTTTTTTTGGTCAGAGGCTGATGTGTAATATGATACAAGGTTTCTGTTGTAATATGATACTAAAAATTGTAATTCCTTTGAAAGTTTCAGTAGCTGTCAGCAGATTTTGCATATATGGTGGCTAGCTAATGCACTGCCAGCGTGTTTGGATGGTAGACATAACTGGATCTTACTTGTGATTGTGTATGTAATTTTTTTGAAAATCTGTTGGTTTTAGTTATAAAATCCCAGGTTATTTTTTATCAGCGGAACTGTTGTGCATTTGTCATTATTTGCTTCCCTCTTAGAGCCTAAAAAGTGATTGTCAATAGCGTTTGGGGCTTCAATCCATCCATCTTTCAGAAAAATGAACAAATTTTATGCTAAAAAAAAAAACTTTTAGGAAGACATCATCTGGAAATAATATTGCAAGATGGTTTGGATTCAATCACTTAGACACATCTTACCGAGGAAATTTCAGCTTGATTTTACAGATTCAAAATTTATGCAAACCTGGTCACAAAGGTTGATGTTAGTCTTGGCCACCAGTGGTATCAAGGTTTGGGTTTGTTGTTTAACATTCTACCATCGCTATCAGGAGCTTTTGCATGGCTCTTTCTGGTGCAAAGAAGATGATATAATTTGGATTGTTATAATGCCCTACTTAGGCCTTTGGCGTATCAATTTCGGTTCAAACATTTGGTTGCGTCGTCATGACAATGCGAAGCTAGACAGTCCCAATTAAGAACAATCCAGGCAGTGCAGGTGTTCCCAGAAACTTTTTCCTTGGGCGCGATGCCACACTCGGGACATTTAATGGCCTGCAATTCATGGCCAATCCCAACCGAAATAGAGTGCAGTGGGTATTCCAGATTGAATTAGTAGAAGAAACGTGTGAATCTGCATGTGTTTCTTCATATAGTTTCCATCTGGGTTCGAATTACTCTGTGCAAAAACCGAAAAATTATCACTTTCAGAGAAAACTCTGCTAAACAATGACCATATCAAGGTCAAGACCCGCATAAACTGCTCGCCAACCAAGCCACCAAGTTTGGTGGGCAATGACATAACCAACCAAGCCGCCAAGTTTGGTGGGCAATGACATAACCAACATTTTTCTAATTTGGTCATAAAATTCCGTCCCTAAACTTTCCTTGGTAGAGTTGCTTACTGCAATATTGTATAGAGTATACATACAACACCTGGTCTAAGCGAAGGTTAAGTGTTTGCACCAAAAACTCGTCTTCAGATCAAATTAATGATCCCTTGGAGCACCCAACATGATGAGAAACGTTCGGTAACAGGATACCTCATCTATTAGACTATTAGATTTCAAGTGCATACAATGCAATTCTTTTCACATGTGAAGCCTTAGAAAAACAAACCCTCAAAGGGGGTAAAAAAAAAGTCGCAGATCCACAAAGTATAATATCACTGCAACAATACAAGAATAGTGTATTAAACTATATCTGTGAGAATTTTGGATATTTTACATTTATTAAATGAACAAGAGAAATCTTTCCTTTCGTCGAGCATCTGAGTTGGTTCCACATACTTGGATCTTCTGTTGCTTACAGTCTAATCTATGTTGTGAAAGCCTGGGAGAAGGGATGTAATGAAGCCGAAGACAATCATCTGTATCTCCTTTACGATTCCCCACCAGTGGTTGCCACCATTGACTGCTCCAGGTTCTGCCACATGCTCATTCTCAACTGCACGGTTTCCTTCAATAAGAGGCTGATTCTCATTCTCACCTTCAAGTTGTCCCTCTGCCACGTGTAGCAAAGAAAAGATTAATCGCATACAATGTCTTCTTCCTTGTCCAAAATGATAATTTGACAAAAACTTTCAATGGTACTGATGGAAATGAAAAGGGGCATGTCTTGATTCGATGCCACGTGCAGAACCACAGCACAAAATCAGATTAGGGAACCACCAAAGGTTGTAATTTAATGGTGTACTTCCTCACCTTTCAAAGTTTTAAGGTTGAGGGTTCAAGTCCCCATATGAGCAAGTGGGTGGCATGTGTTATTTCCCAAGTTAACCCCAAAAAAAATAAAAATAATAAGAATAACAATACTAAATCAGATTATGGAGATTTGGTGAAGAGCAAGGTTAATGAATTAAATTACCATGATACACTCTCCTTTTGAAAGGCATAATTGACCTGCAAGCATGATATCATGTGGCATATAAATGTGCACTAGTTATCTGCATTACATGTTAAAGCTGCTCTAGCAAGGGGGATATGATTTGGTCCATTATAGACCGACCAAACCAACCACAAACGTACACAAATATATGTGTGCATATCACATTGGTTTCGATGTATAAAAAAAAGGGAATGGATGTTACTTTGATTTTAGGTTTGTAGGGCAGCAACAGGAAAACTTGCACATATATATGGTAGTGCTACTCTCCTTTGAAAGAGGAATTATTTGGGAGTTCCCCTCTTCAATTTAGGTGGGATTGAGCAAGGGGTAAAAAACACAAACAACCAAAGAGAACTTCCTAGCTGATTTTTGTAAACAGTAAAAAAGGCATAAAGCGATTACTTCGTTGCACAGAACAGATTCGTGGTATGAGACATGTCAGTTTGAACCAAGCCAATCTCACTGCCCCACATAGGCCACATCTAAGTGGGCTAATTGCATACAAACAACTGACGGAATTTATAGTTACAAGTTTTAATGTGGCTCATCAACTTTAAATGGGACAACATTTTGAACAATTATATAATTTTTTTTTTTGATAAATAAAAAATTTTATATAAAAAAACACTCCAAGGGGGAGCGGAACCCAAGAACAATACAAAAAGCCACTCAATCCTTCAAAGAGGCCAAAAAATCAACAATTTCCTCCAAAGATCTATGATCTCTCCCTAAACCCAACAAAAAAGAGTGGAAATAATCGAGAATTTAAGCACCGAAATCGACATCGCCTTTCCTTCAAAATATCTCCTATTCCTTTCAAGCCAAATGCACCACCATACACAAAGCGGTGTAGCCCTCCACGCATCCTGACTGTGAGTCCCCACAGGGCAACCTCTCCAAGCCTCAATCAACCCTCTTGTAGATCTAGGCATAACCCAATAAAGCCCAAATAATCCAAGCATCAAATCCCAACACTCTCTAGCCACATAGCAATGAATGAGAAGGTGATCCACTGATTCCTCATTACGAAGGCACATAAAACAACGATTGATCACCACTTGGCTTCTCCTTCGCAAATTATCCTGGGTTAGGATCTTACCCAAAACCGAAGACCACACAAAGAAAGCCACCTTGAGAGGAGCCTTGGAGCGCCAAACAGACTTCCAAGGAAAACGAACATCAGGATCAAATGAGAGACACTTGAAAAAGGACCTCACCTCAAAACGCCCATGAGAGTTTGCTACCCAAGACCAACAATCCAAATCCTCCTCCACAATCCTTTGGAGATAAAGCAGCTCCAAGAAGCGAATGACCTCCTCGATCTCCCAATCCTGAAAGTGACGCCAGAAACGAACATCCCAAACCAGTCTCCCATTATCAAGATGATAACAGTTGACCACCATGGCCTGCCTATCCGAAGCAATCCTGTAAAGCTGAGGAAAAGCGAGAGCGAGAGGAACATCTCCACACCACACATCCTCCCAGAAGCAAATCCTCCTCCCATCTCTAAGACGAAATCGAATGTGTTTAGAGAATTCATCCCAACCCTTTCGAATCACTTTCCAGACCCCTACCCCCCGAGGATCCCGCACTTCCAAGGAACTCCACCCTCCTCTCAATTCCCCAAAACGACACGCCACAACCCTCCTCCAAAGCCAATGTCTCTCCACACCAAATCTCCACAACCATTTCCCGAGAAGGGCCTTATTAAATGGCACCAATCTACGGAGACCCAACCCACCATTCCGAATAGGCCTGCAAACCTGATCCCATCGCACCAAATGGAACTTAAACTCTTCAGCTCTACCTCCCCAAAGAAAATTACGCTGCAACCTCTCAATCCTCTCCGCAACTAAAGAGGGAATTTGAAAAAGAGAGATAAAGTAAGTGGGGAGGCAAGAGAGGGTGCTCTTAATCAGAGTGACCCTGCCGCCCTTGAAAAGATACTGCTTCTTCCAACCCGCTAGCCTTCTTTCAAATCTGTCCACCACTGGGTCCCAAATTCCTACACATCTCGAAGGAGCACCCAGAGGCAAACCTAAGTAAGAAATGGGAAATGACCCAGTCCTACAACCAAGAATGTCAGCAAACATCTCAATCTCAGGGACCTCCCCAACCGGCACCAAAACACTCTTGCCCACATTCACCTTAAGGCCGGAGACAACTTGAAATCAAATCAAAACACATCTCAAATATCTAATCTGGGACACATTCGCATCACAAAGAACTAAAGAATCATCAGCAAACATCAAATGAGAGATCTCCAACTGAGAAGCAACATCCCTGCCCACCCGGAAGCCCCTCAAAAAACCCAAATCTGAAGCCTTTCTCATCAATCTACTAAGACTTCATCCAAGTCTGGTTTAGTTTGGACAAATTTGAAATTGGGCTATGCTCTCAACTTAGCATTGAGGCTGGACAAAATAAATTGTAATTATTCAATTGAGCAATGCCAGCACAGGAGTGCTAGTTTGGAGGGACTGAATGCCAACATTCGTTATGATCAGGCAAGAGAACCATCAGATTCAGTATGATGTAAATATTCAATTGAGCAATGCCACAGCACAGGAGTGCCCTCTCTCTCTCTCTTTTCCTTCTTTAAAAAGAAACATAAATTAATGGCTTGACTAGATAATCTAAACATAAATTAATGCCTTGATTAGAAAATCTAAAACACAATTATTCATCTTTTCTACTAAATATATATCCTGATCAGGAATATATTTTTTGGGATTAATATTTAAATGGATAAAACTCACCGGGAAAAAGAAAATAGAATGACTTGACGCCTACAAAAGTTGGGGCTCATTAGTGTCTGACTTTTGAGTTGTTAGATCTAAAGAATTTCCATGTATTGATAAAGGTTTGAATACAAGGACACAAAAGCATTCATCTGCGTTCCACTAATTTAATCAATGATTCATGTAGGTAGAGGAGGCTGGAAAGTACCTGCCACAGGAGCATTTTCATTCCCCTGCCTTGCAGCAGCAGCAGCAGCAGGGATGTTCTCTGCCCTAACAGCAGGCCTTGGTGGTTGGGGAGGTGTAGCAGCCCTTTGCATTCCTTGTGAAAGCCATCGTATTAATGGTGCAAGAGCTCCAGTTTGATACCTGCAGCAACCAACAATTTGCCACTCTTAATAATTTGGGGACACAGAACACACAGAAAACTTGGAATATGCAATAGGTATAACTCAAGATATATTTATTGGGTAGAAAAGGTTGCATGCAGAATTATTTCATATAAACATTTATAAGAAATCGAAGGTCAGCCCTTACAGATAAACAAGTGAAGCAAAAAACACCAGGAGAACAAGCCTTTCTCTTGACCCATCTTGGTTAAACAAAAATATCACCGCCGCAAGCTTTAGTATAAGCAACAAGTCGAGCTGAAATGCAATTTGAAATCTCCTTACAACAACTTGTCTTTGAGGTGCAGGCTGTTGCTGCTGTTGTTGCTGTTGCTGTCCCGCTTGTCCTTGCTCCTCACTTGCTGCTCCACCCTCAGATGAAGCTGGTCTACTGTTAATGGGAAAAAAGCATCCACATGAGGAAAGAAAGGTGTGTCTTAAATGCATAAAAAAAATTTAAGGATTCATAATGTATAATATATTATCCATTTATTCTTCTCTTCTAATTACTATTAGCATTATGATCACATGAATGGCACAAATATAAAGTGACAATGTTTGTTACCATATTTCTTCATTCTTTCCACCAAGAAAGGGCCCAGCATTCAGTCACTGTCACCTTATATTCTTTTTCATCTGTCTTAACTTTGACATGGTAATAACAGAACCCTAATACCACGTTATGGTCTGATTTCAGAATGGATCAATCTCACATGGTCAGATTAGATTTAAAACCAGCCTGCTAAGAAATTAACTGTGTTTGTTCTGGTCCACCAGTAACATACTCCACATTCAAAACTGGCTGCTGATGGATATCTAATCCACCTTCACTACATCGATAGGAATTAATTGACTCACTATATATATGCAATCAGAAATACATTAAGACAATGAGAATTTTAGAAGACAATACAATGACAACCATGTGTTATGGTACAAGATGACGGGTGGCAACATTCTCAACACAGGCATGCAGCCAAAATGATGATGTTGGTATGCATGAGTGGTACCACAAAAGATAGAATAAGAATGATAACATTTATAGCAACCTAGATCTGGCATCGATCAAAGATAAGGCGAGAGCGATGTCCTGATCATCCCTATTAGGTTTCAAAGATATATTTTCTACTTTCCCGGTATACATTGCATTACGATCTTCTAAATTTATGATCTCAATATCTAATTTCCACATTATTTTCATCTAATATCAGTCACCCAAGCAACATAATCTACATAAGAATAAATTCACAAAAACTAAGAATGAGAAAACTGACATATCAATAATGATAAAATTAAATATAACTGGTCGCATTATCATGTGCTAAGCAGAAATACTTACGTGGGTATATTGTAAGTGAGTGGGATAAGAGTGTTGAATGGAACCCCAGCAACAGGTCCTGTGAAAGGAAGAACGGGAACAGCATAAATGCCTGCACCACGGTTCATCTGTTCCTGGTTCTGCAAAATCAACCCCCCAGGAACAAGAGCAGGGTACATGATTGGAAACATCTGAGTATCACCATTTGGTGAAGCAGCACAGCCAGATAATCCCGGTACCTGAAGCAAGAAAGCTAAAGTGATTAAGACAGGTAAATGATACAATCCAGTAGAAGTATGTACACATGCAGGAGTTGCTCTTGGTCCTACTGTAACACACAGGTCCACTTCTTGAAATGGCAATCTGCTTCCTAACGGTCGCAAGGGACATATTTTATCAAATACAAGGACTCCACAAAGCCAACCTGGTCATCTGTCTGCTTTTCAATCACAATCTCCAGGAGCTCTGCCATTTGTTAAGTGTGATAGCTACCAGTTAAAGACTAGCTATAGTAGATTGTTGTAGCTGTACTAAAAGAAGCCGAAAATATAGTTCACTTCTATTGGATAAATTCATATGAGCTGCCAAACCCAAAAGTTGCTTGAAATACCCACAGAAATGGTTTTTCATACGAGAAACCAAGAAAAAGATTCATTCCCTCAAAAAATGATGTCTTAAAATTAGGGTGGCAATTGGTTGGGTTTGGGCGGGTTATGAACAGGCGGGACGATAACAGGTCAACAACCCATTATCAACCCATTTATGGCGGGTCATATACGGGTTGGGTGTTAAATGGGCGATTCAACCCACAACCAACCCGATGACCCGAATATTTTTAGACATGTTGTTAAGGAAAAAAAGGTATTAGATACATACCACATATATATATATATATATATATATATATTTTTTGTTTCCCAAAAGTCACGCGTTAACCCACACCCAGGCCTATGTCATGGACTCATGGGGCAAGTATAATGTTAGTCAAGACTCAATCAAACAGTTGAGCTAAACATTTATAAGTGTCATTAAACAATTATTGAATGTTTCTTGATTTTAATGGTTGTTTACATTATTTTTCAGATTTATGATATTTTTGTTTAGAATATTTGGAATATAAAGTCTTTTTTTCATTTATCTTTTATATTTAGGTTTAGAGAAAAAATTTCATCTTTTTCCTTGTGAATGTAGAGTGGGTCACTATTATGACGTCGTATCCAAATAGGTAACAAAACTGATCACTTAGTTCCATTTTTTTTCCCATTTTTTCAATTGGTTTTTGAGTTTTATACCATTATAAATAGTGTTGTTTTTAGAACAGTTCCTATATATATATATATATATCTATAGATATATATATATATATATTTTTCCCAAAAGTCACGCGAAAAAAAAAAAAAAAAAGTGATAGGAGAGAGAAACGGAGAGAGAGAAAACAGAGGAGAGAAAATCAAGAGAAGAGAGAGAAATGGAGGAGGGAGAGAAAGAGAGGAGAGAGAAACGGAGGATAGAGAAAAAGAGAGGAGAGAGAAAACGGAGGATAGAGAAACAGGAAGAGTGATAAACGAAAGAAATGGAGGAGAGAAGGATTTGGATCCTCTCCAGAGATGATCTCTCTGCTGTATTCTCTGGAGTAGATCTGAAGGTTATAAAAAAGCCACATCATCTAACTAATTTACATAATAACAGTGTAGTGTTTTGTAGCAAATGGGAACCAAAAAGTTAATGGGGTATATGAAATACATTAAAATTGAAATTTCTTTTAGGGAAAGTATGTTAAAATGGTATTGCAGTGCACCATCGACCTCATGGCGATTGTTTTGAGGAATGAGTTTTAGTCAAATTATGACTGATCAAGTCATGGATCTGATCATCAAAGAAAGAAATTCCAGATTTTTTAGTAGATTTTAGAGAATGAAGAGTTTAATTACTTAGAAGATAAAGTTACATAGTAATTTGTATTTATAGATAGAAACAGAGAACAAGCAAATGCTCAAATCCCATTAACGAAGCTTGATTTGAGTAATTATACAAATATATACGCACACACACACACATATATATATGATATTTTTACATATATGGATAAAGAAAGATAGATTGTGAGCATCTTCAGATCAGAACAATAGCTAAGAAAGGCTCAAATCCAACATTAACAAAACTTGATTTTGAGTAATTATACAAATATATAAATTTATATAGATATGAAAAGAAGTAATCAAAGGCTTTGGAAGAGAGAGGAGAAAACATGGGAATATAGAAAGAAAACTTTCTTTTCTGAAAGAAAAAATGACAGATCTGAAAGTCCACATAAACAAAAGAAAAGAAGAACTTGCAGATCAAAAAGCTAAGCAGAGGAAGGCGAAGGATATGAAGATGAGATCAGCATGGCATCAGATAACTCTGTTTCGTTTCCTTAACTGTTTTATTCCCATTTGGTCCAAAATGTTACCATGTTATTAAGTGAATTAGTAAGATGAGGTGGCCTTTTTATAACCTTTGGATCTAACTCCATGGAATGCAGTAGAGAGATCATCTCTAGAGAGGATCCAAATCCAAAGAGAGAGAGTGAAGTTGTATTTGGGTGGCAGTAGCTTAACTTTTTTTTTTTTTTTTTGGAAAAGATCATGTCTAGCGGGTTGGGAGTGGGTACCAAATCTTAACCCATTCACAACTCACTAAATATATTATTTTTTAATGATTGACCCATTAGTGACTGGCTCAACTAAACTACTCATCCAATAATCATTAATTATTGGGCAATTATTGGGTTTGGGTATATTTTGCCAGCCCTACTTAAAATAAACATGGAACAGCTGACAAGGAACACCACCTATTCCACAGTCTGCCTGCAAAAAGCTCCATATGCAGAGTCCTTCGCTTGGCAGGACAGGTGGAATGTTTATAATGGCTTTATTAAAGTATCTGACAATAGGCTGGTTTTGTGGAGGAGAATTTAATACCGTCCGTATAAGACAAATACTATGCCTTTCAATTTGCATCAGACAGATTGGTGTGGGGAAAAGGCTGATGAATTCTACAAGCATTTTCCAGCTCCAGCTCCAGCTAAAGTTTTTCATGATTATATTATATTGGGTAAATTTACATTTATATATACAAAAACTTGCTTAAATATTGGAAAGGAACTTTGTTAGGCCAAAAGAAATTTTAGGTGTAAGAAAATCACAATTAGCCAATAAGATGATATTCCCACTCGTACATAGCAGTCTGGAAGATTTCAATTGAAAATTCGTAAGTCATCACTCTGTTTGGATCAAAACAAGATTATATACTTTGGTTCACGTTCATTTACAATACAGTTTGCAATATAGAAAACAAAATGAGAAAATCCTTTGGTTCTAACTCAAAAAATTATCATACAATTTTGAAAATTTGGATTTCCTACCAGCATTTTGCACATGTTTTCACATCTACAAAATAAATATTTTTCTGAAATCTATTCTCTTTTAAGTTTTTATTCTTGGATATGTTTCCCAGAACTTTATTAGAACCAATTTAGTTGTAGTCTACAATTTCTCAGTTGTATATGCATATACCTCTGGACAAGTCCTACACCTTTTTAAAACCTTAAATGCACTTCCTCATACAATATGCACTCGGTTCATATAGAGACATACATCCAGCATATGTCGAGATTGACCTAATCAACAGCGGAGCATTTAGAGTTTCATCACCTATGCATGGGAAGATCACCATTCAGGGATGTGTGTCATATCCTATTTATAAGAGAATTATGTTTCTAACAAAGCACGGTTCCTATCTTAGTTATTATGCATGAGGCAATCACCATTTGTTTCACGTAGTGTCTAAGCATTAACTTTCAATGATTCACAGAAAACATATGATGAAGAAAGCTTCAAACCTTAATTTAATTAGTTATAATTAGCAACAATTCTTAAAAGCCCCTCCATTGGCCAAGTAAAACCGGACAATTTTCACAACCTATAGCTCTCTTTCCTTCAACTACACACAATTCCTACACTTAAAAGTTAAAAATGCTCCATCAATAGAATACCAAAAAGGCAAAAACCTTAACCTCCCTCCATATTCTTGATTTTTCACATATATAATGTCAGAAAGAGGTCCAGAACTATCTTATACACAAAATTCAGAACTTAACCTATCACACCAAAATAAGATTCTGCACACCGCAATACCAATTATAATTTCTCAATCTTTTAAAAAACAATACCAGTCATCCCAAAACGTATAGCGCGTCGACGATATCATAAAAGATTAGAGGCATCACATTCTGCATAATCAACGAAAACTAAGAAGGGCCTCAAAACGTAAGCCAATTTCAAAAAAAAAAAAAAAAAATGGGGGGAGAAGAATAACCAAAAACAAAACAAATGCATAATAACTGGTAAATGAAACCCTAGAAGCAAAACAAATCCGAATTAAGAATACTCATACTCATACCGAGAAACAAATTGAATATAAACAATGAAAATGCTATCTAACAACAAATTGAGGTAGAAAAAATAATAATAATAAAAATCAGAGTGGTTGTTTTGTAACCTGGTGAGGTTGCTTAAGAGTTTGTTGTGGCGATTGGTGACAAGAAGATTGTGAGGTGGAGGTGGAGGTCTGGCTTTCGGATTCTTCGGCCATTTTAGAGCGAAGCTCTCTTCTCTTCCCGATCTACAATTATACACACGCAGTTTCACCTCTGTGTCCGTCTCGTGTATTACTCCGACGAAGGGGGTAAAAATAAAAATAAATAAATCATTTTTAACGGGGGGAGATTCAACCACTACGTGGTATTCTCATTGTGAACCAATGGGATTAGGCCATGTAATCATATTGCCTGTTGTTGGTTTGTTGGGGCCTTCTACTCAAAAGCAGTGCTAGACAAATACTATTGTTATAGGTGTGCAGATCCATCTCGAAATTGAAATAGATCAATATAGCTTAAGTTTTTAAGTCCAGATTCGGATTTATTATAATTGGTATTAAAGTTAAACTCAGTTGCAAACGTTTCATGTATAGGTGTCGGATTGTCTCATTTAAATAAATAGGTGTCGGAATGTCCTAATGAAGGCATTTAAATAAATAGGTCTCGAAATGTCCTAATGAAGGCATTGCGAGGGGGGAGTCCGCCTAGTTAAAAAAGTTATTCATGATATATGTATAAAATTAATAATTAATAACACATCTTCAACATTTAATGAAATTACTAAGCAGAAAAGCGAAAGCCACGAAATCTAAAATTTGATAAAGCAGGGTTTATTATGTGTGTTTAAAATAAAAAATATGTTGGAACTATGAGTAATCTTATTTTTTTTTATATGAAAAGACATATAATATTATTAATAATTAAAATACAAAAATTATATCATATTTTTTTATTTAAAGAAATGCAACCTTAGAAATTCGCATATTTATTCTAAATTCTTAAAAAGAGATTGTTTAAATTTTTATACGTGAAATGATTGCTTTAAAGAATTATAAAATAATAAACACCTTAACTCATAAAAATAAAATTATCTATATATTTTGTTTGCAAATATATATGTGTTTATACAATGTATACTCACATTTAATATGTTTAGACTTAAATAAGAAAACAAAATTAAGCAATATGGTAATGATATTCCTTTTTTTAATAATGTAAGTTTATTCTTCCCATTTCTAACTTTTTTTTATTCAGTATTTGGCACATTTGGTTATTGCTATCAATAATAAATGTTACATGTAGTTGTCCATAATTCAATGAATGGAAAATCGTTGTGACTTCGAGAATTCACAAATTGATTTGTGAATTGAAAAAAAAAAAAAATGAATTTGCAAATTATGAAAGAATATGCTCTCAAAGCACCAATTTGCGCGCAAAGCGTGAGAATGATATCACTTCAAAAATATTGTGTGACTTATACTCTGTATATTTTACTGATTGCATATGTAATCATAAATTCTAGTTATCAAATAGATTTAAAGAAAATCAAGCAAAAAAAAAAAAAAAAAGCTTGAGAAATTCCAATAAACTAGCCTAACAAGAAGGGTCTTTTTTCACAGGAGGTTAGGATTAGGGGTGCACACGGCACGGTTTGGATATGCGAGAGATTTTTAGAACCAAACTGATCTTAAAGATTTCAAAAAATCTAGAACCAAACCGAACCAATTTGATCAAAGGAATCAAACTAAACCATAAGAATCCGGCTTGGTTCAGTTCGATTCCACGGTTCCTTTTTTTTTTTTTTTTTGCTTTTTTTTTTTTTTGTTCATATATCAAAATTTAAATGTTCAATAATAAACCAAGTTAACTAACACATTCAGAACTGCTAATATATTTAGAAATTTTAATTCGTTATTCTTTATCACTTATGAAACTAGAGTGAATACATTCAGAATTGTTAAGAACCTAATACATTCATCATTACTAATTCAACAGCAAACATTCAGCCACAATTCAAAAAATCAATAAAAATCACCACTATAAAATCAATAAAAAATAAGAATCGTCAAATAAATTGATAAATGCTAGGAGAATTAAGAGTGAACCGTAAAATTAATAGTTGTTACAAACTTCTATGTGATTTGAATTCTTACAAACTTCTAATCTAATACATTCTCAAACGGTATATTTATGGTTTCACAAATTTGAAACCGTGACCGAACCAAGCCGTTCACAAACCAAATCATATTGTCCGGTTCAGATTTTCGGTTTGATCGAATTTTTGTGCACCCCTATTTAAGAATCAAATTTAAAGAAAGACATTGAGTGGGTCGGACATACTACGTCATTTGTATGCCCTCCAATAAAATAAAAATACAACATATTGACAAGCATTGCAGTATGAGGTTCTGAAAATGGAGGAAGGCATCTTGTCTCATACCAACATTGTTGTTAAGGGTGGCAATTTCTTTCGCCTCACCTCTAGTAGGACGGATTTGGTAGGCCCTTGAATAGAGTAGGGACAAATATGATAATAAAAATTAAAACATCGTCTCAAGTTCAGGATGGGCGGATTTAGAGTTTAACCCATTCTGCCACGAACCCAGTTGTATATATAGTTTTATATATTTGCATCTCTCAATAAGGTATTAATTTTTATTTTTACTTTAAATTTCAATTTAGATTTTATTAATAAGTCAGTCACCTCCATTTTTTTACCAGGGCGGAGTTTCTAAACCCGCCCCTTGCCATCCCTCTGGTTGTGCATTATTTTTTTTTCTTTTTAAAAAATAATGTCAGCTCCACCTACAAAATCAATAGTTTAACCTCTAATAAGTCTTAAAAAAATTACTCCCTATTTATTTTAGATTTCCAGTATATCTCATTTGTATTTACATTTCATCAATCAATTAAATTGAAAAAAACAACCAAATTAAAAAGTCCTACCCATTTGTGAAAATTAAAGTCAATATACATCCTAACATGTTTTTATAAGAACGAAAAAATGGCTGGACCACTCGCTAGACCTGGGCCCAACCATCCCCAATGTAAAATGGATATCGGAGGCACTAGATAGGATCTTTTTCTTGCAAAACACAAATCACTTCTCCATATGGAAACAAGGCAAGTTCAAACAAATTCAAGAATTGGTTTCTTTTTTCCCCTTCATTAAGGGAGATCTAAGACACACTAATGACTACTGTGGGGAATGAGTCATAAATCCATAATATCTGACTTGGTGGTGTCCATTCATAACCAGTTTCAAAACAAGCAATCCATCATCACCGAGCAACTCCTGCTAACATGCAATGATTCATGGTAAAAAGACATATATATGAGATCCAGATAAAAGAGAGAGCAAACAAGGGCAATGACTTTGGAGAGGAATTAGAAACATTATTCGTAAAAAAAATCCAGCTCATGAATGTTCAACATACAATAAGCACAACGACTTTTCATCAGCCAAGTCAAACAACTAGACGGCAGTGTTATGCTTCTAGGCAGAATGGGCGAGCTGAACCGTGGCGAAGAAGCAGATAAACCAAACTCCCGGCCCCACAACTACCACGTTCCATCTTTACAAACATCGCATAAGATCGCCTACATATCTACAGAGGAGCACTAGCCTGCACATTCCAACCATCAAAAGAATTGTTCATATCTCTCTAGCAGCAGAACTTTTTCTTTCTTTGTTTTAGATTTTTATTTCCCCAAGTACTATGAATATAATCACATAACAGTTTCTTTATAATAATAATAATAATAATAATAAAGTTTTATAACTGGTCACAAGCTAAGAAATTATATGCAGATACAAATATGTTTAAAAATTAGCACCAGTACTAGAAAATATGATAATATCAACATTATTGCTGAAATCTATACAAGAATCTGAGCCACCACCTTAATCAACAGACTATACTAAATGTTAGGTTGGTCCCAGCACTTATAAGCTAATGCCACATTGAAAGTTTGTTAATGATTCGAAAAAGAAAAAAAAAAAAAAAAAAGTGCAGTTGCTTCTAACGAGCACACTCACCCTAGCAACCTGTTTTGTGAAGAGACAAGTGTTCATCCTTCCTCATCCTCAGATTGAGATGCATTCTCTGAGTTGTTCTGAACCTTCACATCTCCCTCCCCCTCTGCCTCCATTGGAACTGGAAATGTGGTTGAAGTACCTGCTTCAAAAATAACATGTTATTAAATTAAAAAGAGCAGCAGCCGGTGTATGTAGGCAGGATGCTGGGAGGGAAGATTGAAGACAATCTTTGCTATTATGTTGCATGGCTAACTCAAATTGAGACTCAATGATTTGTCAATTTCTCTTTACTGTCATATCGAGTTATTGTCGGTTTAATTTTTTTGTAATGAATAAGTAACTATTGTTACAAAAAATTTATGGTAATTTCTATATATCTTGAGATAAAAAGACATTTTGGAATGGCAACTTAGTAAACTTCTTTGGCTGTAGTAATATATTGGTCACACAGTTTCTTTTTGTTTTGTACATGAGAGTTGAGATTAATTTTTAATTCATTTATTCTGTGAAATGTCTTTAAAAATATGTAACACATCCTTCATAGGGAAGTTTACACAGAAATCAAATCCAACACTTCAAATACAGATACAACAACAACAAAAGTCGGAACTTTGAGAAAGAGAGAGAGAGTGTGTGATTTAACAATAGTTAAAACTTGCAAGACTGGAAAATCAATTTGAATATATGTCAGGTGGTAAAAGTGGAAGCTAATTATTTACTGAATGGAGTGCTAATGTAGAAAAGTAGTAGTTCATGATATACTTTTGAACAATGGAATGAAAGAACATATATGGACATTTTAAACTTCACTAGAGTGAAAGGGATAATAATTAAAAACTTTAACTGATGTTTTTTAGCTTGGATGGGGGAATTGGCTCACATGAAATAACAACAGAAAACATTCAGATGTAGCGAAGAAGAGAATTTCACTCATTTTCAGCATAAGGGAAAAAACAAGACAAAATTTTGCAATTAACAAACATGCATATTGAGTCTACATGTGTCAGACAGAAGAAATTCCCCTTTCTAGCTTTCTACTCAGTTTACAAAGCAAGTGATTCCTGCATACCCAGTTTCCCCTTATTAAAAAATAATAATAGTAAATAAGACAATACCACATCCACTCAACAATCACCAATGTAACAAGTAAATATTATCAATCTAGTGAAAATGCATGAGAAAATGACAGTAAAAATCAATTGCACTTTGAACAGCAAATGTTATATAATCTCCACTCACCACCCATTTGTGCCCTAAAACAACTCCTCATCATCATTGCCTTAATCCCCATACGAATGGAGTACAACACAAGAATTCTCTCTCCAAGATTTTCTATTACATGTCAATTCACCAACTATATTTAACTCATTAAAATCATTTTTAATAACGTCATCCCATGTTATTTTTGACCACCCTCTCTGTCTCTTACCTTCTATTATAACTAGTCTCCCTTGTTTGACCGGCACATCACGAGGCCTCCAACATAAGTCTACTCTATTGAATTTTATTACCAGTGGGCTTCACCTAATTTGACTCTCACACTTTCATTAGTGTACCTATCTATTATAGTCACTCCACTCATCCATCTTAACAGTCTCTTTTTCTTTTTTATGGCCCAACATTCCGCTCCATACAATATAGTTGGTCTAATGACGGTCCCATAGAAGTCTTCTTTTAGCCTATGTGTCATTCTTTTATCACATAAAATCCCATTAGCTTGCCTCCATCTGTCCAACTCGTTCCAATTCTACCAGTTACATCACTATCTATCTCTCCATCCTTTTGTATTATCGATCCTAGATACCGAAAGAGGTTGTTTTGAGTAATTCTTTGGTTTTGAAGCGCCATCATTATATTATCAATATCTAAATCTTTATTAAATTTGCACTCTACATGCTCGATTTTAGTTTGACTAATTCTCAATCCTTTTGATTCTAAAGCATTTCCCCACATTTCTAGTTTTATTGCAAAGTTCTCTTTAGAGATATCCAAAAGCACGATGATCATCGGCAAAACATCATGCACCATGGAAACTCGTTTTGGAATTCTTTTTGTTATTTCATCTAACATTATTGCGAATATATATGGGCTTAGCACCGATCCTTGTTGCAATCCTACGCTTCTTGAAAAACTGCTTTTTGAAAAACTCACTAGTGTCATCACACACAGTATGAACTTTAGTTTTTATATTTATACGTATCTTGGATAGTTCCCAACCCATGTAGATATTGTCCGCTTTACACACAGTTTTGCTCAAAACGCATCTACAGATTTAAGGGGGGTGTCCACAAATATAAATGCCATGCACTTCTCCCCCCGACGATGTAGGACATCACAATCACTCCCTCATATGACCCAACATCCTCGCTGGCCAAACCACCCCCCACCCCACCTCACCTCATTTCAAGCAGGGGATGCACTCTGATACTTGTCACAACCCGCCCCAACCCGTGTAGATATTGTCTGCTATGCACACTCTCCTCTCAGTGCTCACAATTTTGCTCAAAACAGGTCTACATAGTTGTCCACACAATTAGGGGAGTCCACACATACAAAAGCTAGGAACTTCTCCCCCTAAGCGATGTGGGACGTCACAATACATGTGCGTTATGTGTAAGGGAATTTGTTTTCTTAATAGGGCCCACCAAATTATCTCTCTCGGACCATATCATATGCTTTTTCTAAATCTATAAAAATCATACGTAGGTCTTGTTGCTTACTCCTACATTCTTCAACTAATTGTCTAAGTATATAATCTCCCTGGCATGAATCCGAATTGGCTATCAGATACCGTGGATTCTTTCCTTAGTCTTTGTTATATTATTCTATCCCATATTTTTATTTTATGACTCATTAACTTCATTCCTCTGTAGTAGCCACTATTTTGTATATCCCCTTTATTTTTGTAAATTTACAATTGAACTTTTTCTCCACTCTTTAGTCATCATGACTTGTTTTACGACGTCATTAAATAACTTTGTTAGCCATTCAATTTCTATGTTTCTTAATGTTCTCCAAGCCTCTGTGGGTATATTATTCAGTCCTATTGCTTTATTACTCCACATCTTCCCAAGTGTGTCCTGTTGATGATTTTATTTACCAATCCTATGTTAAGTTCATTTCCTTCTACTTCTTCTATAGGGTATTCCTCATTTAATAGATTTTGAAAAAATTCTTCCCTCTAGTAAATATATTGCTTTCTTTGACAAATATTGTGTTATTTATGTCCTTAACATCTATCTTGGTTTAGGTCTTTAGTTGATCTATCTCGATTCTTAGCTAATTTATTTTCTCCCTTTTTCTGCCTAGATTTTCATATAAGACATTTAGTGAGCTTTGTTTAGCTTTCCTTACTGTCTTCTTTGTTTCACATTTGAGTTTATTATATGTGTGTCTTAAGTCTTTTTGTAATTTACATTTTGCCATGTTTTAAAGCATTTTCTCTTTTATTTAATTATTTGTTGCACTCACCCGCTCCACCACCATGTCTCTTTCTTAATAAACTTCTTCCCTTTAGTTTTGGCCAAATTTTCTTTAGGCTTATTCCTAATATAATTTGTCATTTGAGCCACAAGTTATTTACATCATCATTCCAACCCCATTGTTTTTCCTTTTAAGACTTGCTCTTTAAACATTCACTTACGTTTTTATGTCCCCTTTAATCAATAGGCTAAGAATTAGTATCCTATGTTGGTTTTTGAGGCTCACCCCGAAAATCACTTTACAATTCCATCTCTTCTTCTATACAACTATTTTTCATAATTTAAACATAATTATCAATTTAATGCTCCAACTTCTAAGTTTTAAATGTGCCCCAGTACGAGACAAAATTTTCAACTTATCAGGGAGGAAGAAAGAGGAATTCTTCGAATTAAACTTCAACTAATAGTTTTCAAAGTCTCATCCGAACATATACAAAAACTTAGCGTTACCTTCAAGAAAAAAAGCGGAAGAAGGCCAACCTCGGACGGTAGTGAAGGACCTGGTCTCCTCATCGGTCAACGGGCTGGTCAACTTCCCAACCAATTCGACGACGTTGTAAGGTCGGCGACGAGGTGGGACCCAGTACGACGATCCGGGGATGAAGGGGAGCCAATCTGGTGCTGATCGCTTGATGATGATGTTGTGGATGACGTCCTCCAGCTTCCGTATGCCCAAGACCTCCACTTCTCCCTCCGATTCAAGGTCCAGCTCGATCAGCTGAGACTTCCCTGACTGATTCGACCCGTTCCTCTGCGTCAAGATCCCAGATATTGGTGATTTGTTGAAGGAGATGCCTGAATTTCTTGATGCCGATAATGAATTCCGAATTAGGGTTTGTGAGAGGACTCGCGCCATCAGGTGGAGAGAGAAAGAGAAGGAGCAACGATTGTATAGATGTATATATATAGCTAGAGAGAAAGAGAGAAGATGTGTAGATATAGAGAGAGACAGACGTATTTGGAAGGAGAAGCGGCGAGTGCGTGGAAAAAGAAAGGCGGTGTTGTGGGTCAGTGTGACCACCGTTTCAGATGAGCAAGTGGTTTTGATGTTATGAGTTAAGTAACGGGGAAGATATGCCCACGCGCTCTAAAAAAAAATTCTCAAATGGAAGATGTTATGAGAAATCTCGAATGGAAGTAACGAGTCCACATACACAGGGTGGTGAATCGTTGAGACGTGGTTCGATTCGCTTGAATCACAGTGTTGTTGTTTTTTTTTTTTTTTTAATTATTATTTTTTATATTACCTTAAACCATTAACCTAAACCCTTAGTCTAAAAAGAAATACATTTTGTTGTGTACTTGTGTGTATTTTTATCTACGTATGTGATACCATTGTTTATTAATATTGTAATATGCACGCACGCACGGGCCAAGTGTAAAAAACACCCTTTAAGTATGTATATAGTGCATGTTACATCTCTCTCGTGCAAAAAACATCCCTTAAATTTTAATTTGGTGCAATCAAGTCCCTCTGGCACATTTTAAACCAAACTCGACTAAAACACCGTAGTTAACAATTTTATAAAATATATAAAAATACAAAATTTTGTAAAAATACCAAAGGACCCTAAATAGTGCACGTCTTGCACACCCATTATGCAATTCTGTGTTGGGGTTTTTTTTATCAGAATAGAGATGTCCTAGGTGGCGGTGACCTGCTGTGGCGTTGATGGGGGAGACAGTGGCAGAGGACTGTGAACTCAGGGAGGCGGGGGCGGAGGACGGGCCAGATGATGAAGAAGATGACTCCAATTATGAGGACGGCGACGATGAGATGGTAGAGGAAAGAGTGGCGACCATGGGTATGAAATTGGTGGTGGTAAGCAGAGGGCGGTCGCGCCGCTTCGTGGGGGTATCCGAAGGTGAAGCCTGTTAGTGGCCCTCACTTCTCTTCTTCCTCACCGCCACCACCCACACCATTCCACAGAACTGTGTGTTGGGCCGGCAACCCCCTCTCTGTCTCCCCTCTCACGTCAATGAATCGCCCTGTGGGTTTGGTTTGGTATGGTTTTGTTCGCCGGAAGTTGCAGAGGTGAAATTTCATTGCTATTTGTTGTTGGCTGAAAATTGCAGAGTTCAGTTCATCGGAGTTTGCTACTTCGTTGCCGAAATTGAGGTTGTTGCGTTCTACGTTTGGCCTTCTTCTTCGGCTTGGTCGACCCTCCTGCCGCCACCATGGAGGAGATCGGTCGACGACTTAGAGAGAATCGGTCGAACCGCATCCACAACCTCGCCCCTCCGGCCTTCTTCTTTGGCTTGCTAACAGGGGTAGCCTTTGTTTTATCCGCCGTTGATGAAGAGATCGGTCGATTTGAAGATGGCTGACTCGTCCGAGTTGAACTCGGGATGAAGCGAATGCAAAGTGGCGACTTGAGATGAGAGAGCCGTGGCCGCATAACTGGTAACCGATCTCTGCACATTCCGACACCTACTACACCTTCGTTATCATCGTCGCCAACAACCACCGGAAACAACGCCTTCCCCTTAGCATACAATTTGTTTATAAATATTAATACATAATTAAAGGCTAAATTGTAAAATGACACAGCTTAATGGGTATTTTTGGAAGATTAAAAGGGCAAAATGGGTATTATAGCAATAATTTATATTAGATTTTTGACAGAGGGGTAATTTTGCACAATTTTAAAAAATCAGGAGTTTTTATTGCACACTTTTTCAAATAAGGGGTAAATTTGCTTCACAAAGTATACTTGAGGGATATTTTCTTCACTTACCCCTATATATATATATATATTTTTTTTACTGTTACGGTTAAGTTCTAAATCGAATGCATACCCGTAAACTAATGATTCCTCATTTTGAAATCAAAAAGAATTGTAAAAGAAACAAATTGAAGTGACGGTTTGGTATGGATCATACCAATTTTATGGTTCTGACGATTTTTTTTTGTGCACCTCTATTATTTTATACATGATTTTCCTTTGAGAAGTTGGAGACAATTTTCTTGTGAATCTCATTTTTGTCCATTCTAATTTTTAATATTGGTCCATTACATACTACTAACCTCTTAAAAACCATAAACCTCTTTAATTCATTAAATTTTTATAGAAAAACATTAAGTGTAGTAGCAAGCGACTGCACGATCTCAACTATTAGACTTATGATGAAAGATTGAACTTGCATAGTCGCAACTATGTATTGCACAACTCATTGTTGAATATTAATTCTTTGGATGAAGATCTATATAAAAATGTTTTTCACATTGAATTTAAATCCCCTCTTGTACTTGGACAGTCATAATGGAAAGGGTGGAAATCACTCCTCCCTGTGCACCAGAGAGTTGAATTATCTCTATATGTTACGTAAGTTGAATTATCTTCTCATGATATAACATTTTTCTTAGGTGTAAACACATCATTCACAGAGATGAAGTACATTATGTTATATAGACTTAAAAAGTAGTGAAGTATGTCTATTGGACATATATTGCTCGAATATGGATATGGAATATAACACTTTTAATTAAGCATATCTAAACATTCAATTATATTGTAATATTACATTTAAACGAGTTAAAAGCCTATATTGAACACAAAATAAATATTTATGTCTGTGTATCTTTCAGTTTACATAGTTGAAATGTCTAATGAATAGATACATACCTGTACCCATTTACCACTCCAAGTAACATAGGAAGCACATGCCGAAATCTGAAAAATGTGTTACATTGATGTTAAATAATCAAGATAGTACATCTAAGAAAGATAATTACATAAATAATCTAAATGGTACCTTGTTTGTTCTATAATCAATGACTAATATCTCTCCAATACAGGGGAAAAATTGAATAGAATCAAAATTTACAAACTAAGAATGAACTGAATAAACTTCACAGCAAATTAGAGGATCCACCTACCCAACCCAAAGAATTAATGAATACACTAGAATTGAAGGTAAAAAAACAAAAACAAAAAAGAAGAAAAGGAAGTTGGAACTAAAGTAACATATGGTTGCCCTGTGGTGGCCTTGAACTTTGAGGATAGCTGAAAGGATCTTCGAATGGGTTTGAAGGCCCCGTATACAGCATCTGTTGTTGAGGGTACTGGGATGGGTATTGATGAGGTACCATCATCATACTTTGTTGTTGAGAATATTGGGATGGGTGGTACTGATGAGGTACCATCATCATATTCTGTTGCTGCTGCTGTTGTAGCATCATTTGCTGTTGTTGCTGCTGATGCTGCGCCATCATGGCCATCTGCACATTGGTCGGGGGTGCTACACCATTTGACAGTACGAATGGATCTCGTTGAAATAATGGATCTTGCACAGGCATACCATATCCATAGGAAGTATCGTAGCCTGCATTCTGTAAATGTATTTGTCTCCTAGAAGCATCATCTTCATACAAGCTATCGAGTAATAGCTTGTCAAACCCACCAGCCTAACACACAACACCAAAATGCGTTACTAATCAGTAGATAGATATGTTTTCCCATGTACTGTACTAGTACAATGATTCATGAATAGTACTACAGAATTTCGAATGAGCATAGAGAAGAAGGGTTCACAGTTATGCGTGGTCTGAACATTTGCATACAGTAATTCAGGTCTCATAACCATGCAATCAAGTAAATCTCAAAGACAAGAGGACTAAACTGCTCAAACCAAGAAAATGAAAACTAGCCTGAACCAAGTTTCTACTTAGGCTGTTTATCGTACATAAGAGAAGGTTGACATTGGTGATGCTATACACTCAAACTCAACCTCTATATATTGCAGTCCTAGAATCAAACCAATTCCCAACAAACAATCCTAGAAACTTGACTGCGTTCAGTCGGGGCCAATCCTAGTTTACTCATTACAATTCACAACAAAATTGCATTTGTAGCATTTCTGAGGAAACAAAATGCAGCAGATATTTAACAGATAAAAAGAACAAACCATTTTGCTTTCGGTCAACTGGCTGTTGTTTATGGTGCTGGGTGCGGTAACTAGTGCTAGCTCCCATCCTGAAGTATTTCCAATATCGTTCAACCCACGATTTGTTGATTGAGGATCGCAGCCTGAATAACATTCAAATATATCAGAACCATTTCATATCACATTATGGATAACGCATATGATCAATCGAATAGTCAAAAGATTGGCGTCCCTATTCCAAACAGATGATTCACATCTGTTATAGGACCTTCACCTTTGACCATCAGAATGGTATCACTACATGTAAAATTAACCAGTCTTCTATTTACTAATCCTATGAATCTTTTCTTGGGACACCAAAACAAGGTGAACTTTTGAGATCATCAAGTTCTAGAACACTATATAATGGACCCCAATTCCCAACCAGTGTTTGCTCAATTGAACGTGGCTATCCCACATTTGAACTCTTTATTAGGACATTAATCTCTATGAGCAAGACATGCTCCAAAAACTTTCTGATACTATGTCACACTATGCAACTTACCAGGTGGAACTATTGCAAGAGCCAATGCATTCCTTTCTTCTAATTCTACAGCTTTTGGATTTATTTCATTCAAACCCTACAGAAAAAATAATATTATATATAAATATAGTGCAGGAATGATATAAATATTAGAATTCACTAAACCAATTGAACTGAGAAAGAACAAGAATTGTCTACTTACCAGTAGATCCCCAACATCGTCAGTTGACATCAGTGGGGAAACTTCATCCTCATTCTTGTCCTGAGATTCTTCTTGTGCATCTACTATTGTTTCATTATCATCAACTTCTTCGACTTGTTTTTCACTTTCTTCAAGCATATGTTCTTCCGGTTTCTGAGGTTCTTGGCCCGTCTCCTGATACTCCTATTGTTTAGAAGACAGAGTAAAGATAAACTCGTACAAAAGAATTCACACAAAAGAGTCTTTTAGGTCAGGACAAAAAATTGTAGAGAGGCAATTTATACATGGTACCCAAATTAACTTTAGGTTAATTCGGGAGAAAAAATACGGGATTTTTTCAGGAAGCTGAAAATAAGGACAATTCTTAGAAGTGCAGAAAATTTACAAGCACCATGAAGATTTTGGTTGAATTCTAGAATAATCCAGAGATATTCAACAAAAATTAGACCCGGATGAATTGTAAAATAGTCAAGTTTACTAAAATGCAGCCATTAGTTTTGCACTTTGGAGACCTAAAATGAAAATGGGGAACTCCACAAAAATTTGAAAATCAACAGCCCTCTAGAAAAACTTGACCATAAATAACGACATAAAAATGTTTGAAACGCAATAAATAAATAAATTATAACATCTGGCAGAAACCTCTAACCCCAACATGGCTTAGTAATTATGTACCCTGTAATGTATTAATTATCTCCTATTGCATGCTCAAACCTTAGGCCTGTTGTTTCTCTGTGCCCCTAAAATGTTCTGAATGATGCTGATCATAATAAGTAAACCAGCATTTCAATCCTTTCAATGAAAGCAACTTAAATTTTAAGGATGAGTGTGTAGGGAAATTCCCAAGGCAGCACACCATGACATAAGAGTACCAACTGTTCTGAGAGAAAATCTTGGAGGATCTTAAATTGTCATATGATTAAAGATAATGATTGGTACAATCTTAAGATCAAAATAGTGGGCCTAGACTGATTGTACTTCCAAAATTTGCAAAGACGTGAACCAGTTCACTCTTTGTTGAAGGCATAAAATGAGTGAGCATGTTGGTTTACTGCCACTGGAAAAGAGACAAGTCAAAGACACATAAGGAATGCAAGTTGAAACACAAAAGCAGGTACTTGAATAACCTAGAAACAAATTCAGTCATTGTCAAGATTAAAGTGTATATAATAATGTAGTGTCTATCTGTATCCTGATTAATAATATTGACATTGTCAAGTCACATCTCAGAATGCCTTCCCCATTCCGACCTCCAAAAATTCCATGAAGATGAGAAGACACTAACAGAACCGCTTATGAGGAGGAAGATTAGTGAAACTGTCTGCCCTTTACTTTCACAGATCAAAATAACCGAGAAATGTCAATGCAAATGTATGTACAGTTCAGCAACTATATATACTAATTGGATAAAAATAAAAATGTATGCAGTTCAGTATGAGTGAAGGCCAGATGGACCGATTTGTTAAGTTTAATTAGTGACTCATATAAATGGTTTGTCGTGTAAAATTGATTGAAAGCACTGAACACCCAGAGCTTCACAAGCATCATGGCTACAGAGTTCAGCACTTCAGCCTTGTTAACTGTATAGATACTTTAAAGTTTTAAACAACCATTGGGTGGTATAATGAAGTGCAAGAAGGAGCAGTGCCAAACATGATTTATTCAATGATTTTCCATAGGGCCCTCAATGAGAATTAAAAAATAACAACTCAGAGAAGTATCAAACACGTCAATAAGTCGAAATTATCATTGCAGAGGTGCAGATACGACCCATTTATCAGTAATTTGAAGAAGAAGAAGAAGAAGAAGAAAAAAGAAAGAAAGAAAGCCCAAAAAAAGTGAATGAATGTTCTCACCGGGCTCCTATTTGAAACAGAACTTCTCTGAGATCCTTCTTTAATATATTCTTCCATGGTTGCAAGAAATGTGGGAGGTGGCTGCTTAATGCAGAAAACAGTTGCGATGAACCATAAATCAGTACTGACCCAAGCTTTTAGAGTTTCAAGTGTGAAAAAAAAAAGAAGGAAAAGAAAACCTGTCTCAATATTGGAAATTGAAAATTCCTAGCAATGTCCAAACCCTTGCAAAACTCATAAAAATCGTCTAGATTTTCAGCCTACATATAGTGGAAAAGAGGGAAAAAGAAATAGCTTAGCTAGCATGTCTGCACAAAATGGGAATATTCTCTTTAAGCACAATAATAAAATTGCAGCCAGATATATTCCCACACGGAAATTATAATTCCCAAAGAAACTCATTGTTATAAACCTGTTGGCCAGCTTTTTTGTAGATATCGAGAGCTTTGACTGCATCAGGTTTGGACATTTCAAAGAACTGCAGAAAGATGAAGAAGTCAAAGTTGAATATTCAGGAAAACTGTAAATGCAGGTAAGATAGTCAACTAAAAGATTACAGCCATACCATGTCCACAAGATTGATAATCCCATCATTGATTGCACAATATATTTTGAAGCTCTCTTTTAGTACCTACATAATCAACAGATTGAATCTTGATCGAAAAGTTCCTAGAATAAATATATTAATAAGGAAGTTCCAAACAAGCAATATGCCTCTGAATAAGATATAATTTTTTATTTTAAAAATGCAAATGTCTAAACATAAAAGACGACCTTCTTCAGGAAGTCAGATAATTGTTGTAGAAATAATTAATGCAGTAATAAAAATCAGTACAAATAGTAAGAATCGGTCTCATAAAGTCCATCTGAAGAATGAAAAGGTAATATAATAACAATGAGGCATATGAGAAGTATTGAAATTAGAAATACCCCAACAGACATGCAAAAATTAGAGCTTTCCAGAACTTATTAGAAGCAAATTGATTCTTATAAATTATCAAAATTTCATGTTACCGATCTCTACTCTCCAAAGGAGAGGTTGAGTGTTTGATCCCAGCTAGGGGAAATATTATGGGTGGGTGTGTTTGCTTGTAACATTTTGGGGAAAAAAGAAAAAAGAAAGATACTTCGTATTCCAACAATTGTGCAAAAGGGAATAATTTATAGCTACTGTCGAAGAATCAAGTATATTTGAAGAATTCAATTTTTAGATCAAAAACTGATCCAAAGTTTATTAATGATGCATATATCGATGTATATGCTCATTTTCAGCAAAAAGCCATATAAATGTTCATATATCCACATATATGTTAGTAGACATTTTTGGACAATTGCTATTTCATGCAAATGCTTTGCTAAGTTCAAATCTGCTGGAAGAGAAACTCATATTTATTATGCATACCAGAGCCAAAGCATACTGTATAAGATAGTTGAAATAAGCTGCTCCTTCAGGCTGCAAAATTTGGAGCAAATTGGAAAGCCAATTTTGAAAATTATAAAAAAATAGTTAACAGAAAAGAAATTACGAACCAAGTCTTATAATAGTCCCCTAAAGCAGCTATTTGATTTTGAAAAACCAAATGAAATGGGGATATTTATATTGACCATTACCTGACAGCCAGTTAGGCGGCATAGAAGTTTCTGCAAGGCAGGTAGCTGCTCCAATAGCCCTTCACCATTCAAATACCGTGTTCTATTGTGAACCTAATGAAATGAACAGTTCTTCTAGTACCCTAACAAGTACAAGAGAATCTAATTTGAATTTAACTAATGGAATGATCATAAAGATGTGAAGAACACATACCTTGGTTGCTCTAACTGATGTTTTAGACAAACGATCTGTCTCAATGTCATATTTCAAGACCCTAAAACACTCAAGCCGCTCCTCTAGGAAGAGTGCATAAGTCCGGACCCATGCAGAGCAATCCCAGGCTGCATGAAAATATGCCAGTCTAATAAGCAAATGCTGCTACGATTCAGAACCGAAAGCATATCCACTTCATCCTATCAAAAATAAAGAAAAAGAAAGAAGGAAAATAAATTATAGATATATCAGAATACCAAGAGGGCTTGAGTCATCCTTGAAATTGGACATTTGGAGAATATTTCCTCTGTATGAGTAATTTATTAGCTCCTCTCTGAAGGTAGGATCACCCTCTCTTAATGCCCTATGAATAACTATCAATGTCTTTATGGCAACCTGTGGGTAATCATTAGTAAGAGCAAAAAAAATAAAGAATAAATTATCTACCTTAACAGCTGCATGCATTTATAAGTAAATGAAATACAATTTGCAGTCATACAACAAGGGCATTCATTTTGTTATCTTTTACTCCCATGACATAGATATCACTCGAGGACGAGACTTGGCGCAACGGTAAGGTTGCTCCATTGTGACCTGGAGATCACAGACTCAAAATAAGAAAACAAACTCTCCGCATGCGGGGTAAGACTGTGTACATCTGACCCTCCCCAGACCCTGCAGTGATGGGAACCTTGTGCACTAGGTTTGCCCCCTTTTTACATAGGTATCACTCAAAATGCACGTCAAATGAAATATTAGGCACTAACATAAATCCACATTTTATTTTGTTTCAAGAATACACATTGGACACCAAACCTGCATATTCATCTTAACTACTAAGGTTTGAAGAAAAGACATCAATGTGAGGAATAAAGCCTTCAAGTTATTTGGACAAATTCAAATGCTTCCTTATAATTTGGGTGTTGAAGGGCATCATATCTTTCATAAATAAGTTGTTAGAAATTAAGTGGCCAAAGAGAAATTATACATAAACATTACCAAGGGTTTTAGCGTACAGATACTTCCTCACCTTCCAAAGTAGAAGGTCGAGGGTTCAAGTTTGGGTGTGTGAATTTCTTGCCAAGGTAAAAAAAAAATAAAAAAAAATACATACATACATAAAATGATAAAACACAAGAATGAAAACAAAGAGAAAAGACTATACAATCCAGTTGCGGGTCTTCGCCAATCTCCTGGCAAGTGCATGAATGCAATAGGCCACATCTGCTCGTGGACGTACTATCGATGTTGCAAAAAAGATTTCTGAGAAGCAAATTGAAAAAAAATAAATGAGAAGAAGAAATGCATATTTAGTTCATACCCAACAAAAAATGCATGTTTGAACTTTCAATTCAAAGTAAAATATTCAAAGAAAATCTTATGTTTCAATCCCACAGTCATAGAGAATAGAATGCTGATTGAATAAGGGGTTCATATAAAAATTTGCAACCTCGATCAATTCTATATACCATAATCAATCATATATGACAGAAGTTAAAATCAAACATAAGTACAAAATAGACATATACATACATTTATAGATACATATAATATGTGTGTGTATAAACTTACTTCTAACATGGCGTTCCTTTGGAGGACATTCAACATGATTGGTGGCCTTAACAATAGCAATGTCCAAATCCTTCCAAACCAACATTAAACCAAACAAGAAATGAATAATAATTCAAATAATTTGGGTTAATTAAACAGAATTTGATGATTAATGAAGCTAATGAATTGAAATAAATTATCCATTAATTGCACATAGATGAATGATGATATATATATAGGGACCTTGAATTCGCTGTTGAAATTGGCGAGGCCGACCTTGGCTGAGTCCTTGAGCGCTCCATAAGCTTTTCGAAAGGTTTCAAAGGTTCCCATTTGGGGTTATAGACAAACCTGTGATTTGCCAAATCACAGGTGACGGTGGGGTTCTGAATTTTTCAAAGAAGAGAGAGAAAGTGGTGCTGTATTTACAGTTATCTGTACGTTCTTCAAACGCAACACCAATATGGGTAAAGTCTGTTTGGTCGTTTAGCAGTTGTCGCATGTTATATCATTTTCCCTTCTTTTATTTTTTTATTTTTTCTTGCATGTTAAATCATTTGGTTTTGAGGGATTTTTTTTTTTTTTTTTTTTCGGTTTACGATCGTTGTCGTTTTTCTATTGAAGTTACGAAATTGCCCATTATCACATTGACATTAGTTTTTTCTGGATGGGGAGAAAGAGTGGAAGGGAAGAAGGATGGGGACCGGGAAGGAAAGGAATGAAAATTTAAAAATTTAATAATGTTTTTGTTTTCTGAAATTGAAAATAAAAAAATTTATACAATAATTTGCTTGATTATTTTTAAAAGTTATATTTTGAAAATTCAGTTGCAAAATATATATATATATAGTTTTTGAAAACCAATTAAAAAAATTACAAAGAATTGCCTTTTATAGCTCTCTAAAATTATCTTTAGCAATTTAAGTCAAGCAAACTCTTAGATCAGTTTTAATTGAAAATAAAAAAATTGTACTATTTTCGTTCCAAATTAAATGTTCACCTTTTCATTTTTATTCATCCCAAATTAAATGTATTAAGTGTTTCATTGAAAAAATCAATGTACTATTTTTTTTTTTTTTTTAATGATTGTGGATCCATCGGAAGATTAATTTAACAATTCATTCACTACTATTATTATCGCATGGAAGATTCCTCTACACTGAATCAATTTTAAGTGGGGGCCTACCATTAAGCCAATTAATTTCTCCCCATGTTCATAGTTATTGTGAACTCATGCAACGCAATAATTCACATTAGTTCCTAACCAAAATAAGAAAAATAATTCACATTTAATTTAAGATACTTTTCTCCTTCTCAACAGATCTCAGGACAAGGTGAGGTTTTTATGATTATTTTAGTGTCAAAAAGTTAATAATAACATCTCATTATTTTGGAAATTATGTGTCTGTGTGAATTATGTGGTACTCTAAAAAAAATTTAATTTTATTATTGTCAAAAAAATAAACAAATAAACACCCCATTAATCCAAAGCAACACAAAATATATATATATTTATATATAAGAGTTATAGATAAATTTTGTGATTTCAACACAAGGTTGTCAATTTTACAGAAAAAAAAAAAAAAAAAAAAAAAGAACCCGAGAGAATTTCTTATGTTTATTTGTCTTCCTTTCTACTTTATTCCCTTGTGGCTCATACAGATTCGACTTTTCGGGAAAATATATACATACAAATTCATGGTCCTAATTCCATTTTTCTGAGAAGAGAATCTATACTGGGTGTTTGATGAATTACCTTTTATTCCTTTTTGTCAATGATCACTTATCTCTCTAAATTCGTATAAATAAATTAATGCTTTTCTCATATTTATTGAAAAAAAATTATATAGGCCAATTTAGCCCAGCTCCACAAGAATGGTGTGAGACCCGTCAAGAGTGATTTGGCCTAGCTAACATCACTCTTTGTTGAATTGGTAAAAATAAAAATTTATTCAAGAAATGAGTGTCTCTAATATTTATGAACTCTTTATTATATAAACCACTCGATCTCTCGGCCTAGTTTTTTTACTTGCCACCAAAACCCTAAACCTTCAAGGCTATTATTCATATTCATTTTGACCAACTTTTATTTGTGACAACATTTTGAAAGAAGTACTCTATGCGCTCACCATTTTCAAAGCACGCCCCATTATGTAGATATTGATATTGTTCACTTTGCGGACTCTCCATATTTGCGATTTCAAAATACGTCTACACAGTTAAGAGATATATACACATATAAGTACTAGCAATGTGGAATCTCACATGAAAATTCACAAGTGCTGTTCAAAATTGACAAGTACCATTAAACTTTCATAGTTTTTCCTCATGGTAAATGTAGTAAAATCTTTCAATTAAACCATCACCAGAATGAAACCCAACAGCAAGCCAACACGAGAAGGGAAAATAGAGCCGAAGAAAACAAACATGATTCAGCTAACGAAAGAGACAGTCGGTAAATCAGGTTCAAGAGGCAGAGAGGCCAGGCTTGTCTATTTCAACAATTATATTGCGCTACACAACTTTTTTCCAACACCAGCAACAACAATGAACATCATCTGGCTCAGTAAATTTTAGTGCTCGAGCTTGGGTTCGTATATTGGGTTCGTATAAGTACTTGCATGATAAGAAGAACTACTGGGTTCGTATATTTCTCACATTCCCTGTAAGGTATTGTGAACCAACACTTCTGGTGCAACCTAATTTGCGCCTTTTAGCAGCCAGTTGATGCCTCAACTATACAACAGCGCAGAATAACAAGTGCTTAAGATTTTACCATAATATAAACATAACAACACAAATATTAATATTAATAATTATTAAAAATAATAATAATAATACAACACAAGACTTTTCAGAGACATCAATGCAACATTGAAATTTATCAATACAAATCCAATAGTTGGATATGAATCGATCTAACGTGAATAACGAACAAACCTAAGGAGATGAATATTAAACAGATATTTTCCCTATCAACAACTACACTACCATTACATATTCATTGGTGCATATTGCAATAGGTGTAACTAATCTTTACAGGAATATGCCTTACTGAATTATCAGTGATGAACTGGTCCTACTAGAAGAAAAATCTAACAGATCTTATTTCTTTACTCCTATAAAGTGTAACAACCATTTCATATTTGCTAGGAGGTGTTCTCTTACCAAAACTATCCATGTCTCTACCCTCATGAACCGACCAACGTAGGAATATGTAGAACTTGTTATTGTCAAGGATATTGTGATTAAATTCTTTGATTTTCTTTTGTTTGGTTAATTCTTCTATAGATTCAGTCTGTCAAGCAACACCTTTTATCCATGCTCATACATTATTATCCATTATTCTCCCCGTTAATAAGAATCTTCAAATAGTCAATTTAATTCTCCTGAATGATAAAGAATACCCCTATCCGGTTAATTCATTCTAGCATATCCTAGTTCTGACAAACCTGCTCTACAACCCAAATATAAATTGCAAAGGCACTTGGCTAGGCAGTTATATCAGCTAACAACAATGAAAAGTGAAAACATGGATTGCCTCGCCAATATGCTACACCTACTCATCAACTGCAAGGTCCTTCTTGGCAAATGCTGGTTGGTTCTAGCAGACTGGCAATTGGATTGTGTCAACTGCCAAGTTGCACTGCCAGTGCCCTTGCTAGTGCCAGCATAACCCTAGGGCAGTTGGGGTTGCCCTCTAATATTGAGTTTGCTGTGGGTGGCAAAGTGCAGAGTGTTGAGGGTTTGTAATAACCACATAACCTTTGGAAGGGTTGCTGTGACTGGGTTACAAGAAGCCAGGTGTGTTAATTCAGTGCCATCAGAAGCAAAAATTTAGGTGAAAAATGTGGGCATGAGTAACAAATTCACATAATGAGGAACGTAAGCATGAAAAAAAAAAAAAAAAAAAAAACATGATGACCTCATAAGAATTTGCAAAGAATTAATAAGACTGGGAATCTGGAAATCAGAACAGAAACATAAACATTCATGTGCTTTAAGTAAAAAATTTGGGGTGTAACTTGACAGATGCATGTTAATGAAATATGATAAATTCACACATCATGTTGGATTTCACGTCAATGTTGAGTTCGAATAAAATAATGAAAAGAAAAGGAGCTACTTTGCGCATTTAAAAGATAGTACTATATCTTGTGACCAGAGATTGCAAGAAAATTGGTGGTTGATGCAAGTGGTGCCAAGTGACAGGTAAAGCCACTTGCAGTAGCATTAAAATGAGTAGACACACCAGCTCAATACAATATGTAACAATTCACGAATGGTAAAAACTACAAGGCGGAAATGTTGAAACATACCGTCTCTATATACTTTAAATGCTTTAGAACTTGATCCGTATCCAGTTCCTGAAATAGATAAATAAAATGGAAGTCACAGCAAACTAGTTGAGAATAAAAATCAATCAGTGGCACTACATTGCTCTATGCTTTTAGAATAACATTTAAAGCAAAACAAGGCAATCTCTAAACTACAACAAAAACAACAATAACAGCCAAACCTTTTCCCAATTACTTGGGGTCAGCTACATGAATACTATGTTTCTATTCCACTCTATGTAAGGACGTAGCCTCAGTCAGTCCACATGCTATCATATTTTTATTTACCAACTCTACCCATGTAACTTTGGTCTTCCTCTTCCCCTAGTATTACCCTCAATGTGGACTATGTCACTTTTCCTAATTGGCACATTTAAAGGTCTATGTCAATCTCTAAAATGTTAAACAAAAAAAGATGAATGTCATCATAGTATATTCTACTGTAACTTATGTATAGATTGATTTGTTTCAAGCTACAACTTTGTTATGCAGGCATATGCACACATGTACCACATACAATCATCGCATCACAAATAAGATAGATAGGATTATGAGTCATATGTTGGCAAATTTCTACTAAAAAACTTGATTTGTAATCTATCAAAGTGTCATGTTCATCTACAGCCACAAAAGATGACGGAAATGAAGATCACTGAATAACATGGCACAAGTCTCTCAAAACTCAATTACATATACAGGGTAAAAATAAATGAGACCTTACTTGACCTAGATTTGATTTTAAATTGGCTCAAAATTATGTTTCAAACCTGTTTTTCAAAATTAAGGTTTTGAATCAAAGTTCTCAATGATTTTTTAAATTAGGATTTTTCATAAAACAGTGAGCATCAATCAATTGAGGATATGCATTGATTGATAGGTGGACTAGGAAGCACGGACACTCCAAAATGGGCGAAGAATCCGTGTCGGACACGGACACGTGTCGGACACGCCAAAAAACGTGTCTGGAATTTTTTTTTTTTTTTTTAATTTTCGGACACGGCTCAAACAGCTCGGACAAGGCTCGAACAGCTCAGACACGGCTCGAACACACTTTTCTGGAATTTTTTTTTTTTTTTATTTTTAATGCTAATATGTTAATTTTTTTTATTTTTTTTTTATTTTTAATGCTGATATGTTCTATTTTTTGTTTTGTACTACCCTAAAGATGCTGATATATATATATACTAACCTAAAGATGCCACAATTCGCCGTGTCCGTGTCCTAAAGATGCTGATATATATATATATACTAACATATCGGTGATATATATATATATATTCCAACCTAAACATATCAGTGTTTTTTTAAAAAAAATTATTAATGCTGATATATATATATATATATACTATTCGCCGTGTCCGTGTCCTAATTTTTTTGGATTTGCCGTGTCGCCGTGTCCGTGTCGTGTCGTATCCGTGTCCGTGCTTCTTAGTTAAGGTGGATCATAAGCATGTTCCCACAAATTTTTTGTTGAAGTTCAGTAGCTTTCAACCAATGTCTCGATCAATCAAAGTTGTGACAATGGTGCTCGATTAAAGACTAGATCTATCAAACTCTGTGGAACTATATTTTTTAAATATCTCTTAAATTAGACCTCTAAAAGGATTCTATTTACCATACTACATGGGTCTCTATATTGGCTATGAATATGGAGTAAGAGCTCAGTAGGTTTTGACCAATGTCTTGATCGATTGAAGCTATGACAATGGTGCTCAATCGAACACTAGATCGATCAAAATTTTCAAAACTATATTTTTGAAATATCTTTTAAATCAGACTTCTAAAAGGATTATATTTACCATACTACATAGCTCTCCTATATTGGCTATAAGTATGGGATTATAGTCAGTCTAGGATCACCAATTGAGTCTCTACATATACTATAGGGAGAATCTATAATTTAGAGAGAACCTTGCTTCTTAATCTAGGTTTCTCATAGTTTGACCATCATATGTGATTGAGAGAGAGACTTAAACAAGGAGATCATCAGAATCATCAACAAAGAGCAATTCAACATATCAGAGCAGAAGGATTGAATTGCATAAGGAGTGGGTCTGTTGACAGAACAGACGACCTGTGAACTTGAGTGGAGACTTTGGTGTCAAGAGGTAACTAGCGGTCTCTAGGGTGAAAATCTGGTAACCTGGTTGTAAAACTTCTTCCGCATAGTGGATTGTTTGTGGCTAGATGAGGTACCTTTTTTTTTTCTCTGTTTAGGGTTTTTCATGTAAGAAACTTGAGCATATACTCTATTTATTTTTTATTTTTATGCTTAATGTATTTGCAGTTAAGACATATAAAGTTCTGTTAAATTCAGGATTATCTATAATTTAAAATTTCAATTAGTTATAATATAATATCTGTAAAACATATTTACCCACCCCTCCAGGTCTGATTGAATCACGATACTCTGACATCTAATGGTTCTCAGATTTTACAAATATTTATTTAGATTACTATAAAGCCTTTGAATCACATATGTTCTTCCAAACCACATAAAATGAAAATACTCATCCCTAAGAGTAATATTATACACCAAAAGTGCAACTCCGGTCCTAATACAGATTGGTTATTGCACCAGTTAAATGCTCAAGCTATCAAGTGCAATAATGCGAATTTTAAATTTTAATCCTAAAAGCAGTCACTTAAGCAAATAATGTGAATGTTACATCCATAGTCAAACCACCCATCCCAATACCCTTGGTAAACAGGGACCATACTATGGATAGCATCACAATCTCATGAAAATCAATAGCATCTCACTGAAGAAAACATTTATCTCAATGAAAAATGATTGAACATTCTATCAATCAAAGAGAAAAAGAAAAGTAGAACTATAGAAGTGCAGGGATGGAGTTTAAAATACAGCAGAAACTGTGGTGCAGGAATTCATTTCATCAGATATTTTGTTGTCTAGTATTTTTTAGGCACAATATAGATAAGCTATAGGCCTTTTACAGTTAGATCAAATAAAAATGGCTGGAGTACCATATTGGGGCCACTATTGAGTGGACTCCAAGATTCAAAACTTAAAGTGCATTCTCTATCTGATATATACACAAATATATATATATATATCAGACTAACTTTTGAAACTCAGAAGTAACTAAAATGATGAGGAGCAAAAAGCATGGTCACATGCATCAAAGAATAAGGAAGATTCAAGACTAGGATGATAAAAGGATTAGGGAAGAGGATGTTATCAGGTCTCCTGTTCGACATACTCAACTTGTCCGCAGGTCTATGAAATAGAACCATCAAGTTATCAACTAAAAACACCTGTCAATCTTTTGGAGAATGTTGCATGTGATACTGAAAGCAACGCCTAATTATTCCAGTGGAGGCTATCTTGAGGTGAATTGATTCATAAGATGTGTGATACTTTGGAAGGCATTTTTCGATGTGCGTTCTAAAGCAGCTTTGAGAAGGAAACACGTGCTTTTGCGAAATAATATTTCTTTTTAAAAACATTAAGACTCACATTTTCAAAAAGAAGATCCAGTTAAGCATAAGGATGGCAAGCAACTACAAAGTAGTTCTTTTTTCTTTTTCCTTTTCTTTTTCTTCTCTTTCAATGACAGGGAAACAACTAAATTTCAAGTTTTTCAAGTAATAAGAGATCAGCAACCCATTTTAGCCTAGAGAAAAAAAATTTGAACAAACTTATTTTGTCCTTTCCTATGAAGTGGATCAAATCCTGCTTTAAAAAGGCCAATTTTTTTGACATATCAACAGACACTAAAAAAACATGCTAAAAGTTCCTATTTAGAAGTAAACCAAACCTCCAACAATAATGCCAATTGACCACAATAACCTACTATTCCTGCCCTAATATTTTACAAAAGGAGAAATGGTTACACGCAACCAAAAATATTATTCTCACCTAAATGTGGTATAGATGACCATTAAAACTTCTCAATCCTACAGGGGGAGAATTGCATCTCAAACATATAACAAATGTAGCAATGATGTTTTTGATTAATTTCAACTCTCATAGGAACAACCAGCACAATCTTTGAGATATTATTCATTTCCACATGAGAACCATTAAACAGATAAAATATATGCTGCTCTACAAGCAACTTTGGGTTCAATAGCATGACTTAAGTATTCAATGAAATTCGAGAATAAACCATAAGACAAAACAGTGCTAAAGAGTAAAGATATGGAGGTTAATTTACCTGGGGTACAGCACAATCAGCATGGACTGGATCCCAAAGAACAGTGCGGAAGCACTCCCAGGCATCAGTTTGAACTTCAAAAAGAGGAGCCCTGTGATATCAACAATTAAGCACATTAAGCATCTTGAGTATAATAAATATTAATGATCATCGTGATAAATATAAGAAAGATAAAAAAAGAAAGTTAGATATGGAAAAAAAAAAAAAAAACAGTTATACCAGATTGCACTCCATAATCTTTAAAACCTCAACTAACAATCTAGTGGAGGGAAGTTGACATTACGGAAAAATGTGTACAATGCACATTTGACCATACCAGCAAAAAAGATGATATTACTCATGTCACATTTCTAAAAATCAAACTAGAAAAACTGATTTCCAAGATAAATGCACGTAAGACTGTAAGAGTTATGCCAAATCAAATTGTATAGTGAATTATGTGATAAAATACTAAAGTTTACATGAAACAATGACAACTTCCAAAATATTTTTGCATCTCATATCCTACAAACTTTGACTCTTTTTTTTTTTTCCTAGTTGGTACTCACACACACGTATCTCTTTTGAGATTTGAACCCCTGACCTCCCTTTGGGAAGTAAGAGGCTGATACCGTTAGGCCACTGGCCCGTTGGTCTACAAACTTGACTTCCATGTAACTGGATTTGCTTAATAGAATTGGAATAGGTTCTTAGATTTACAATTTTAAACTTGAAATTAGAAAGAACTGGAAATTCGCCTTTCAACTGAGTTGTTTCAAAAAAGATTGTCATCTCATATTTATTGTCATTTATGTCGTTTCAATTTGACTGCCTTTGGGCAAAATTAGCATTTACAAACAATCTGTTTTCATAAGAGATAATGCATTTATGAATCATACAAACCATATACTACTATCATCTATGAAGAAAGGACAAGGAGTTTCTAATTAAGTTGTGAAGAGAGTAGAATCCCCGGACAAGAAGACAAATTATTCCTTAAAAGTTCAGGTTGTACACTTTAATTTATTTCACCATACCCCTATCTGTGCACATAAATAAGTCTCATGGAAATTATTCCAGATCAATTCTGTTGAAACTTTTTTTCTAGATCAAAAGAATTTGTTTCTTATCAAACAATATTATCCCAAGAGCACAATAGCTTCCGCACAAAATACTCAAAAGAGAAAATCATTACATATTGTCTAAAACTGGATATATAAACAGTATTTGGTTTACCTGCGCCACTTCCCACATATAGTTCCATTGACACCATCTCCCACCCCATCTATAACGTTTTGACATTGAAGCCAATTACCAATAGAGCTGAGTTTAGAAGAATTATTGAGATTCAACTCCTAAAAAGAAAGGAAAAAGGAAAAAGAGAGTTGATTTTTATTTAGTACTTCCGAAACTCCTGCCAAGAGGAATAATGAAGTAATAGACAAAATAGAAGCCTTACATGCAAGCTAACATGCTCTGAAGGATTAATTTGCGATGATTCAATAGTATCGACATCACTGCACCAATTCAAATAGAAACAATGAATTAAAAGTACAATGGTCAGGGTGACATATATGGGTCAATAAAAGGCAAATGGTGAATACTTTGGCACAAAGATCAACAGAAGCAGCACATATACCAGCAAAAGGTATTGGAAATAGAATTTAGATATGCCATCTATACGACTATACCCCATGATATAGTGTACTTCATACAACATTCGGTAAAACCAGTGTTCAAGCACTTGCGAATAATTCGCTCCGTGAATAATTTGCTCACAACCAGTGTTGCCTGTGTCCCTGGCAGATTAGATGGACAACCATAGAAAGTTTAAAGACAAAGAATGCAGCTAGCACCATCTTTGAGTGTTATAAGAATAAGAGTGGCTCCTCAAGTTTTTTTAAAACTGCGGGAGCTGTCAACTTTGGATTCTAATTCACTCGGATTGCACCTTTTTGGGTATCTTAAATAAATGTGGTAAAAATTTAACATAAATAAGAAGACTAAGATAAGTACATAGCAAGACAATACATAAATAAAACAATAATAATTGTACACATTGAAAGAAATGTGTTCAAGATGAAGATACCAATAGAGCAAGGGAAGTACAAAAGAATATTGGTGTATTAAAAGAAACAACTTTAGCAAAACATCTGGACCTGCACAGAACAGTTTCCCCAACAAAGAAAAGGATTTTACCAAGCCGGAGTTGGATTAAAGATTTGTTGCATCAATTATAACTGAACGAGATATAAAACAAGACCTCATGCAAATCAAGAGAGATATGCATTCAACAATTGTGATCCTGAAGAATAAATTAATTGAAGTTATTGAACTCTGTAGAAAAATATCATTTGATATTTCTTTCTTTCCGCTTTTTTGGTATACAATATCATTTGATATCTCTTACTTCCCAAACAGGGGAAAAAGGGAAACATCCAGCTTTTCTCCCTTCATCACGATATACATTAACTCATAAGAAAATCCAAGGAATTAGTATATAGTTTACATCTACTTTTAGATTTTAATATACGTGCATTGTGTTTACATATATCAGATAATCTTCATAAAGGGCCATCAATAATGATATCAAGGATGAAAAATCACAGGCAAAAGTTATACCCCCTCCATTCCAGATTATCTGTCCTTTTTCAAAATGTCTCAAGCAAATGTCCACTTTGAAAAGTCAAACTACAAAAGTTACAAGTTCCCTTCATTATCATTTTCTTATTAAATCTGGATGCATTAACTAATGTAAATTAAGGTTAGTTGGAGAATGGTTTTTCCAACTTGAGTGTGGAAAATTAAAAGTATAATTTCGAGGAACTCCAGCCCGCACTGAAAACTCTATAATAAGTTAGGTCCATATGATGACTTCAGCTGTTGATTATAATCCACCTATCTCCCTTCAGATAGGATACTCAGTGACTCATGTCCCCATGTTTTTCTTTCCTAAACCCAGCACAGGAATCCAAAATTATCAACAGAAAATGTCCAAATCATTTAAGTAAATACGAGGATAAGAACATACTCAATAATTGGACCCGACCAGTCAGGAACCTCCGCTTGGAAATCTTTACCAATTTGGACACTGGTTATATATGGCTCAGAGCCTTTCAACATGAATGCTATAGGACCTAATTCACCCTCAGACGTTGCCTTTCTACATCTGCCCGTTTCACTGTTGATATTCAGTGATTTACTGGTAGTTTTCCCCTTCAAAATTTTATGCTTTTTCTTCAAACAAGAGTGACAGAACCACTTGCCATCCAGTATCTTCGTTGTACGAAGGTTGCAGCAAGACGCGTGAGATGCCTCTTCACAATGATCACAAATAAGCATCTTCAAAGTGGTTTCTGATTGATTACAAACTTTGCATGACTTCAAACAGCGGTTATCACTGCTAGTACACATATTTTCAGCAGAAGTGTGAGTCCTGATGGGCTGATCTCCTCCAAGCAGTCCCTCACTTTTAAGAGTAGAGATGCATATGGTTTTTTCCAAAAGATCATCCTGCAAGCCCTTCATGACCACTACATCATAAGAGGAGCATTCACCAGTGTCTTCCACTTCAGTCTGATAAAAGGCTGAACCAAGTTCCATATCTGACTCTGATGATGAACAACTATCATTTACGTAGCAGAAGTCTAGCATTTTGTCCATGTCACTTTCTGGGGCTTCTTCAGAACCAGACTCTTCCGCAACACATTTATCAATAGATCCTGACTTTGAAACAAGTGCCCCTCTAACAGCTTCATTTTCAAGTTCATCTAGAGAGACTATAATTTCCTCCTTGGCTGCCACTGGAAGACAACCACCACTAGGCATTGTTTCTGCTGGTGGTCGAAGATTCCTCTGTTGATACACTCAAAAATGCTTCTTCCAGTGATACACTTTAAAATGCTTCTTCCGATGATACACTTGAAAATGCCTCTTCTGTTGATACACTCAAAAATGCTTCTTCCATTGATACATTTGTCGAAGCTTCATCCGTTGATACAGAAAAGTAACTGGAGAATTTTCGGACATAGTACTGAGAGTCGATAGCTGGGAACAACTTCTTGTTTGCAATTGATAAGTTGTCAGTTCTTAAAAATGGACTGTGTAATGTACTTTATCAGCTAGCTCTGCAGGAGATTTTAACAAATGTTTCAAATCTATCCTCGAGTGATTCCTGTTGAAGCATATGCTAGGGGGTTAGGTGCAAGGTGGACGGTACTAAAGGAGACTCCCACACTACGGAGGATCACCAAAATTTGTGATCTACTTAACATAATCCATTTCCTAGGGCTTGGATTGAATTCTTATTTTTGTGAATATAAGGTAATTGTTTTATTGTTTTCATAAAACAATTTAGGGTTTCTAATTGAAGTGATAATCATAACAATCTCTAACTTGATAGAAGCACAAGTAAATCATATTGCTACAATTGTACATATTTTCTTGGATTTCAAAACCTATAAGATGCACAAATCTAAAGCAACAGTGCTTATGGAAATATCAATAAATATTAATATATAAACAAATCAACAATGTTATCTATAATCGATAGTCAATGTTATGAATGAAAGCAATATAAGAATATATATATATATATATATGAACAAGAAGAGATAGAATGGTACGATGAAGCTGCTTTACCAATCCGTCTGAGAAGAAGGAAGAATGCTGCGGTAGAAGCTGAATTTGATCCGAAAGAGCTAGGCACCACCGTCTTTCTCTCTCTCTCTCTCTCTCGAATCTTATGCTGTGTTTGGAATGCAAGAACGTAAAAAAGGACTCTTCTAAACCAAACACATGAAAATAGTTTCTCTTCTTTTCATTTTCTGTTGGTTTTCTTTTTATTTCTCCTCTCCTACTTTGTAATACTTTGTAGCTTGAAATTTGAAATTGATGTCTTCAGAAAAAAATTGATGGAAAAAAAAAAAAAAAACAATGGTTTGAGTTATGTACTATTTTGATCCTTAATTTCAAGTTATGGATATTTATCACTTTTCCCTCCATTTTCTATTCTTTTCCCTCCATCACTCCCCCTGAGGCTCAAAGTAACCCCTCTCTCTCTCTCTCTCTCTCTCTCTCTCTCTCTACCCTTCTCCGTTTTTTTCCTTTTTGTTTTCAAAGGAATTATTGTTCTTATTTTTTCCAAAATAAATGTCCCCAATTAAAAAGGTCAGGTACTATTTTTATAATATTACCGAATTAACTTTTTATATTAAACTTAGGACAAATTTCTCAAAACTCCTAAAACTATTAAAAAGTGATCATAAAACCCCAACCAGTTTTAAAAACCCCCAACAATATAGCAACGTTATCATTTTACCCCAACTCTGGCAATTGGTCGTTAAAAGTATGTGAAATGACTAAATTATCCTTATTATATTTCTTTTTATTTAAAAAATCAAAAAATTATATTTTAAAAATTACAATATTGTCCTTTAGCACAAAACGACAGCGTTTAGTGCCAACATAGTTGGACATCAAAACTCCGTCGTTTCATTCAAGGCAGCAGTTGTATTAGACTTAAAACGCTATCGTTTGATTCATTGAACAAGTGTGTGTGTGTGTGTGTGTATATATATATTGTTACACCGGTATTACGCAATTTAGCCGGCGTGGACCCTTTTCACCGATACGATCAGCCGACTATCCATCACTGCCTTGTACGTCATCCCCCATCATACCCCTCCCGACCTGCTCCGCTAGCCCTCATCAGCTGCTCCAAAGTATACATCTCTATTTCGCCGCTACAGAACCCCAAATATCCACTATTTTTCACGGTGTTGTTGAACACCTTGAATCTGAATCTGGGTTGTCTTCTCTTTAACTTATGATTCATTCTCTACAACAATCAATGTGTTGTTGCTTGGAGCATCAATATTTGCATTCTCAGGACTAGACATTGTTGATTTTGACGATGACATTTGGTGTCATCGTTTTTTTATCAACACGAAGCAACATAAAACAGCTGTGATGAGGATTAGAATTGCGATGACCAAGAGTATAATCACTCCGATTCTTTTGTGCTTCTTCGGCGACGGCGGTGAGATAACTACTCCCTGTGCGTTCTGGAGAAGAGTCATAGGCAGCGAGGCGGCGGCGCCGGAGGAACGAGGAAGTGCTAGAACCGCATGCTTTGTCGATGATTTCCCCGCAGAGGCTAGGGTTCCATAAAAACGAAGTTGTCGTGTTCATCTGTGGAAGCCATGGCCGATCATCATCTGCGCTCTTACGTACTTTCTGAATGCAAGCAATCGCATGTTTACATGCGGTTGAATGTTTCTCGGTCTCGAAGTAACCTTGCTTGATCTTGAATTCCAATTCAACTTCGAAGAGTTTGTCAAATACTGCAACTTCATTTGGAAGAAGCAATGGACGACGTGGATCGTAATCCGCCATTGTCGATCTTTCCTTTTTATTCTTGTTCTTCGTTCAGAGCTTTTTGTGTTACAGAGAAAATGATCAACTGAATAAAAAACTGTATATGCGTATGGTGATCTAGGTTTGCTATATATAGAGGACGGACTTCAATCTCTCTCTACAAATAATTAATTTCTCTCTTTACTTCTTGAGCCAAGTCGGTTATCTGTTAGTTAGTGGACTTGTAAGTTAGTTAGATAGGGATCGGCTGTTAACACAGAGCAGCTGACGTCGGCGACTCTGTTTTCAAGATTCGGCCAATGTTCAAATCCAAGTGAGTTGACTCGCTTCCAACTCGGTAATTCAAGCCATCCGCTGACCCGACCCAATTAGGTTCAAAAAGCAAGAGATCCAAGTTGACAAATTAATTCCTGATTTTCCTTCTATTTCAGTGGTTTATATATATATATGTATATGTATATATATATGTATATCTATATATTGGTTTGTATATCTAAACTTCATGATTGTTGTTCAAAGTGGGTATATGTAGTTAAGCCTGTCCGGAAGGGTGAGCGGAGATGGTCGCGAGTAGAGAGAGAATAAAAAGCAAGAGAGAGAAGATGACTAAACTGTGGGTTTTAACTGTAACAAGTTTGGGGGTATTTTCGGAATAATACGTATAAATATATTTCACTTGTTTGGCACATTTTACTCTAGGGGTATTTTGGTCATAAAATTCACTTCGGCAAAACAATTGTTAACCACGCACTGAGTTAACGGCCCCAATTGACAGAGTTGGGGTAAAATGATAACATTGTTATATTGTTGGGGGTTTTTAAAACTGGTTGGGGTTTTATGATCATTTTTTGATAGTATTAGGGGTTTTGAGAAATTTGCCCTTAAACTTATAAAAAAGTAAACCATTACAGTCATGTGGAACCCTATGAATAGATTTGGTAATTTATTTTTTATTAATGCAATAAAAAAAAAAATACTAAAACTCATCTGCTTAAAATTTAGATTTAGAGGGAGTAAATTTGAATATCCTTAAATTAAAACACAACATTATTGCCTTGTCATGTGTTTTTTTATTTTTATTTTAGCATGAAAACAATATCATATATCATTTCAAAGGCACAAAGGCCAAGCTAACTGTAGCACAGAGGCAAAAAGCCAAACCAGAAAGGTATACAAATCATGAAGCAAAGCAACAAAAATGAAGGACAGGCTCCAGATTTGTGTACAAATCATGAAGCAAAGCAACAAAAATGAAGAACAGGCTCCAAATTTGTGAAGAAAATAAAGCCTAAAACTCTGCAATGGAACCACTATGGGAGAAATGCAGCAAACTGGAGTGACCCAAAGTTCAGGCCATCATTAAGGTAACAACTCCAAAACTATAGCCACAAGACGCTCCGACACCCAAGAAACCCACACAAGATCAAATCAAGGAGAAAAAGATCAAATTTAGGCGGGAGAAAACCAAAACCAACCTAAACCGAAGATTTAGTCAGAGAAAACAACAAATCCGCCCATGTGATTCAAAAACGAACCTAGCATGAATAGATCTAACCAAATAAAACAAAAAAGGGCATAAAAAAACACCCACGGAGCACACTTATTGAAACACGCCGAGTTATTGCAGCCGCAGGAGGCAACCATCATCTCCTTACTCCCATGAAAGGGACTAGGGAGGCATAGAGTGAAGAAGACAAAGAAAGTTAAAGAGATGAGTGAGAAGAAAGACTTAAAAGTATTCATATTTCCCTTATTATGTTTTGTCTTTTCTAAGAAGTGTGTACAATTGTCTTATAAAATATTACGTAAAGTACCAGAAAATCCTCTTTCGACTTGTAACATTTTCCAATAAATCTCTCTTGTTTAATTTTTTTTTATCAAAGAAACCCCATCCACTATCCGAGGGGGGTAAAAGAATAGATATTTGGACCAAAATAACCTTTTATGTAAATTCTAATTTGTCCGAACTTCAAAAATTCACATCTCACAAATCTTACATCCAAAATATTACAAATAAAATATGCACGGAAAGCTTATAAAATAAGGATTCTATAAATATAAGATTTGTTCAACATAACACTATAACCAGAACACTATAACCAGAGAGAAATAGGTAATATAAGAATCTGCAGTAACAATTTTATTTTATTTTTAATAAATAAAGTACTTGGAATATTTGCAAGAAAATTTCATAGTTATTCATTTGCATATGGAGCATAATATATAAAAAAAATTTAGCCCCAATAGAGACCGAATTTTCATTTTGATATATATTTTTTTAAATGGTGAGTCTATAAAAAAAATTAAAATACTTTGACGCAAAATGTGGTGGTGGCGGCGGCGGTGGCAAAAGGCGGTGGCGGTGGAGGAAAGTGGTGTTGGCAGAAGGCGGCGGTGAGGAAGGTGGTGGAGTTGGCGGTGGCGGTGGCGGCGACGGAATGTGGTGGTTGTGATGGTGGTGGTGGTGGTGGCGGAGGCCAAAATTTTCATTTTAAGAAGTGGTGATTCATATTCTAAATGTCATACCAAACAAGGGAATAATTGAAACAGGCCATTCCCATTTCATTCCATTCCTATGTATCAAACTAGGCCTAAATGAACATTCACTTGATTGCCATATTTTAGTTCTACTGCATGGGACTCTTTCATCACTGTTTTTCATTATCATCTCAGAAAAGGCACAACTTAATTTTATAGAATTCTATTTCCTTTCAAGTTTTTTTTTCTAATCATCATCTATCAGTCTTCCTTTTGTTCCCACGTTAATGGAGTTGGCCAAAAATTAAATCGGGTGTATAAATTGAGAATTACTATAGCTAAAAATTCCGTAAATTCTCTTTTATAAGGAACTTTATTTTTTAAAAAGTTGACACCTTCGTAATATTCCAAAGAATTTAATCCCCACATCAAACCATTCATCTTTAAATTTTAGACAGAAAAAGTTTCAATGTGTCGAGGGGAACCACACTTATTTACGAACATGTATTGGATATTTTGGATATCGGGAATATAATATCCGGCTAATGATGAATTCTCATTTCCTTTTATCAAGGAAAATAGAGAGTTTCCATTGACAGGGGTACTATATAATAAGTACCCGGGTGTTATGTTTTTTTCCCCCTGTTTACATCACAAATTTGAGAAGAAGATGCTGCCATTTACCAGGTTGTCCAAATTCAAGTACTAAGCAACCGAATGGAAGTTACCATTAACTTCTTTAACTTTGTATGCTACTATTTAATCCAACAAAATGTTCTACCTACATTAAGGTGTTCATCATTTTGGAACAAAGTAGTTGCTAAAACATAACTCCAAAGACTAGAAAACAAAGAGAAATACAAAAGTAAAGCAAAAAAGAAACTCCTAACAAAAATAAAAGGAGGGAAAATTTTTGTAACTTCTCTCTGTCATATTCCTCTTCTTAACTAGTCTCCATCTCCTCAGCTACTTGGTGTAAAAAAAAAAAAAAAAAAAAAAAAAAAAAAGAAGGTAAAAAAGCAGGAAAAGGAAGGGTAAGGGTTGGGAGAAAAGAGAGAGGAAAAGAAAGGCAAAAGGGGTAGTAGGTGAAACCAAACAGCATCTCTCTCTCTCCCCCTCTTCCCTCTCTCTCTCTCCCCCCCTCTTCCCACGTGATCATCATCATTGTTCACTGACTGGAGAATTTTCCCTTCTAACAAATCGCCCCTGCAACATCACAAACAACAAAGATTTGTGACAAAATGTACAAAGAAAATACTAAAAATTGGCCTTGACACATCCTAAAAGATTTGTGTTGTTTTAGCAAAATGAATTCTTAATTCTATGAAAGTCTCTAGTTCAACTTTCTCAAATACATATAACCAAGTAGGGATAGGATTTGCCTGATTTATCATTTATCACTCAAAATATTAATTTTAATTAAAAAAAAAACAAATATATATTTATTAACTTAATTTTCAGAAAATATGCCTCCAAAACGGTCTACCAAACATATTTTTATACAATTTTATATCTTTCAATTCTCAATTCTCAAAAAACTATTATTATAAAATTGAACAAAACGACCACTAGTCCTTAAAGGGCGGGGTTGACAGCTTCTATTAGTGAGGAAAAAAAAATTAAAAAATATAAAAATAAAATAAAATCTAACGATTATGTATGACGGTATTAAATTTGAAAAAGGGATTAATTCCAAATATGTTTTTTTCTTTTTGTTATCTTTGATTGCATGAAATTAGTGCTTTAGAATCGAAAAAAATTTAGTTCAAATTTAAATTAATTTTTTTTCAATTTTAATTTCAAAGCACAAATTTAATACTGAATACATGAAATTTAAGGGATTCCTTCCTTCAAAAGTTATTGTAAGAATGCAGAAAAATTAGACCAGTTTATGTATTTCATTAAGAAATAGAAAATAATTAATTAATTTTACTAAGAAATCAATTTCAAATTTTCTGCATTCTTAGTATAGATATATATATATATAGATATATATACTCCGTATTTCTGAATTCTTTGTATAGGCAGGTATGTTAAATAGAAGGACCAAGAAGGTGGGACCCATTGTCTTAAGCTGGTCCAATTTCTCCGTACTAGTTTAAAAGAAAAACTAAAGTAACTGGCAGTGAGGCGTACCTTCATTCTGGGCCGTCTATCCGCATTGACTTTTCTGACCTGGTATCTGATCTTCCTAGAGAAGAGGCGTGTACGTCGCTTTTCTTTGTAGCGCAACACACTAGCCTCTCTCAAACCTCCGCTCTCAGAGAACAAGTCTATCTGAGCCAGCCTGGCCTGCCCAAAAATAGGAAATGATTCAATGCTCCGCATGATTATCAAATCATATCAATTATACTACAATTCAGTCATTTTCAATTACATTCTACTAAAAATACCATGTATTTAAATAGATAAAAAAAAAATTCCCAAATCGGCAAACCCCTTAAAAATATGTAAATTATAAATTTTAAATGACAAACATGCCCGACAAAATAGAAATAAAAATAATCATGGATTCTTGAATTTGTAAGCCGTTGATTTGGTGACCAATATCAAGGGATAAAGTTTAAACAAACCAAATGGAATAAGACACATTATAGTCAAGGGTCCCACTAAACAACGAAAGCTGAATAACGTCAGCCCACAATAGCCGTTGGATGGATGTGGTGTTGAGACATCCAACAACCACATGATTGTATACTAGAAATTTTCAAAGAAAAACGGAACAAATAAAGCACACCCACTTTTTTAATGCATCTGAAAAAAAAAAAACAAAAAACAATAAAAAAGTGGCACGTGAAATCACGCGTTATTAGCAACTCCTAACTAAAATAACAGAATAGGTTTCACAGTTCAACAACGTTTAACTTTTCCCGGAATTTTGTGTTTCCCGGCGGGAGATGAGAAACGTACATTGACGTCATTTCCGGGTAACCCAGAGCCCGGAACTTCATCGGAAAACGGCGATTCACGGTCCGACCAAGCGTTCAGAACGTCGTCGTAATTCAATTTCAACAGCAACCCAGGATTTGATTTTGCACTTGCACTTGAATTGTCCATTGGTGATTTGGGAGTTGAATTCCCCTTGAGGAATTCTGAGCTTTTCGAATCCGTTGGCTTTTCGATCTTCTTCTTCTTCTTTTCAACTGAAACTTTGGTGAATTTCGGAGAGATGTCGAGAACATCCACAGTGGGGAATTTCCACCAATCCCCCTCATCTACATTTCTCAATGCTCTCACTCCTCTTCTCATCCCAAAACCGAGATCGAATTTTCTACCAAATCCCAAACCAAGAGGAAGACCATGGCAAGTATTAGTGTGGCCACCGTAACAATTGGCATTGGACTCACCATTGGTCACACACAAATTCCCCATGATACTATCAATACCCTCTTCAATTTCCTCATCCAATATCGATTCTGCATCAAAATCATCTTCATACCCACTACACAAATCCAAGGAATTCGAATGGAAATCGTTTTCCACCGGACTATGGCACCGTTTCTCACAGGAATTAACAGCTTTTGGCTCAATTTGGAAAGTCCTTTTTTCTTGGATTGGTTGGTGGAGTAAAAAACAGGAATTGTCAATGACTCTAAAAGGTAGAAGCACTTCTGGGGATTCATTCAAAAAGGAATCTAGTGGTTTGGTGAATTTGCAAGGCTTTGTGAGGTGTTTGGTGGAAAAGATTTTCGGATAGGCTGTGGAAAGAAGTGTGGCAGCTTCATTGTAGGTTTGATTTGGGCGTTTTCGGGGGGTTCGTGGCTTTCGTGTTGAGATTGCAAGTGGGGAATTGCTTGATTCGGAGAGGGTTGAAGAAGGAGAAGATGAATGAGAAGTTATGGAGGAAGTTGATGGGGATTTCATGATTTCGAGCTCAAATCCATAAGCCCTTCCACCTCCGCTTAAACAAGAAGACATTTTTAGATGAATTCAAAGAAGACTGAAATGATTCAATCTGACAGAGAAGTTAAGAGACAAATGAGAATTCAAGGTGTAGGAGCCAAAATGAAACGAAGAACAAATTGAAATTAGTCACAGAAAAGTGGAATATTTGTAGAATTCAAGATCTACAATACCAAAACCACATGAAACATTGAATTTTTAGACAATCCATTTCACATACAATCTAAAAATTGCACAAGTAGATGAATTGGCTGCACAATTCTGAGACCTAATTCCAATTATATCAAACTGGTGAAGCAAAATTCCAAGAAAAAGCTGGAGACCAAACCTCAGTTATACCAACAACTGGCAAGTGTAAGAATCTGAAAGCTCGTGGAATTATAGCTGAAAAGGTAAAAGAACCCTTTAAAGAAAACGTACAAAAACCCTAAACCCTAGGGGCACTACTTTTACAAAACAAAAGTTATTTATTTAAAAAGAGAAAAAAGCCAAAAACCTATAACAGTAAATTAGACCAAGAACATACCACAACCCTCGTTTAAAACAAAAAAGCCCTATTAGAATCTACAACTCCAAGTACCAAAATCCCAAAAAACCATTCTTGAATTCATCGAAACATGCAAAGTAGTGTCTTTGGTGTTTGAATCTAGGTTTCAAATTTTTATGAAAAACCCAGCAAAACCCCTCTACCAATTCTGAGCTATATGTCTTAAAACAGAGTAATTTCTCAAAACCCTAATCAGAAATGGGTGTGCAGAAACCAAAATTCTGGCCTATCATGAGATGGGTTTTGCCCAAAAGGAAGGAATATCTCATAATGGAAAACTATCCAGCAAGACAATCAAAGACTCCAGTGAACACAGTGATATATATATATATAGCATACAAAAACAGAAACACACAGAGAGAGGCAGAGAGAGAGAGAGAGAGAGAGAGAGGGAGAAGGAGGGAGGGAAAGAGGGAGGGGGGAGAAGAAATTAGTATTGTATAGACAGTCACGGGACGAACCACATAAAAGGAAAGATCCGTTGGGAGCTCTGAAGAAATAGAAGAGACCCACCTCACTTTTTCTCTCTAGAGTGGAGTGACGACGGATTGAGGAAGTGGCTCTGTGAGAGATGGAGATGAGAACAGAGGAAAAGACAACGAAAGGCTTGGGCAACTTGAAGTGGACCACTGGGCTGTGCGTAGCGTTCTCTCTCTACTACTTCTACCTCTGTTACCAGTTAGTGTAGTAGCACTCGGCAGTGCAATTATTTTGCATGCTGCATTTACTAAAGTACCCTTGATTTTAAATTGCATATCTCATTTGAAAAGTTATGTTAAAGATAATATTCTTTTAGCACAAAAATAATATGTATATAATCGATCAATAATTTCCCTGTGGTCTGAAAAGTTCACCTATATATATATATATTTTTTTAATTTTTGAAGCTGATTTCAATGCACGAACTTCTTTTCCCTATTTGTATGTCCTTTTGTTTTGCATATTGCCTTGTAAAAATTAGGATCCATCTCCAATAGTGTAAGATCCTAAAAACTATCACGAAATAATTTAATTTCATATTTGAGTTGACAATATTGTCTCATTCATAAAAATGAATGCCCCAACGTTAATCTTTATAGGAAAATATCTGAGTCCATTTATAAATTCTTACCATTTCATTATTAGGAGTATGAAATTCATATCACTTTATTTATTAATTTATGTAAACTTATATTACATATAAAATATTGATGATGGTATTTTTATTCATCTTTTTAACTAGTGAGAAGTGACCTTCCAATAAAATTGGATTAATCGGAATTAATTGTAATGTCATTATAGAGATTTGGACATTTTATTTGAACAATTCGATTAATATTCACATTCTTGTTATTTAGTTGTAACGGTGTTCTATAGTTTTTGACCTTTTATTTGAATGTTGATGTGCTTGAATATTATTATACTAGTCCAATCTTAAATACGTAACGAGATTGCTTGACATAATTGTGTGGAAATGCAAAGTAATAACTCTCTCTCTCTCTATATATATACATACATACATACATTGGTATATATCTATGTCTCTATAATCTATATACATAATTTTTAGATAATATTTAATGTATTCCTGGTCTAAATCATTTTAATGAAGAAAATATGACCCCCAAGAAAACGAAAAATGCCTCAAAAAATGAAATGTATTAGATGCAGACATTTCAAATCTTGCTCTTTATAAGAATTGGACGCTTTTCTAATTTCCTTATTATTAAATTTTATTATCCAAAAAACATCTATAAAACTTGCATTGTCAACAATATTAATAAGCTTCCTTGATAATTTCCGGAATATATATATATATATATATATATATAAAGCATTTGTAGCATTGAATCATTCAGTTGTTCATTTATATTATATATAGATTTATTTTTATTAAAAAAAATAAGTGGCACTTTTGTAATTTAAGTTTTGAATCTAGGGCAAATCGGTAAGTGGAGTATGTAATCCTAATCATGGGCATACATGTGTTCTAAGTATGCCACCCATACCTCCTGCAAAATGTCATGAGATTTATGGGAAAGCTCTCTTATCTGCTGACGTGGCGAACAGTGATTGGATGTTGAAGATTTTTAGGGCTGACGTGGAGCACTGTTTATTGGTTGGCGGATTTTCACGTGTATCTAGAAAAGGGAGGGGGTTTGCTTGTTCAATCTGTGGGATCTAAATAGTTTATGACGTGGCACTGTAATGATTTGAAACTTTTTTGTTATCTTATGGCCTTGTTTGTGTGGCAGATGCCAATCATACGTTTAACACTTGAGCTTCAGTGGATTCTGATTAGACAAATATCAATAGTCCATTGATTATATTAAAGTATTTTTATTTTTTAAATTTTATAACCATGTTTTTATTAATAAATTTTCATTCACCAAAAATAAAATTATTTAACTTCTTTATATTCCTCCCTCTATATTTTAGTTTTGATAATATTTTAAATACATATAGTTGGATCCGCCATCATACTCACATAAATTGAATTCAAATTCTAAATTATTACTCTTATATAATTTATATATATTGTCCTCAATTTAAAACATAATAAAGTATTTTATTTTGAATAAAAAATTCACACATTCATTTACTCGTAGGTGGACGATTACCTATTACACATTATGAAAGATAAAAAAGATATTATTAGGTTGTCACTTCTGATAATAACTATTCCATATTAAATTACTTCAAAAAATAAAATGTACACCCATTTAAACTGATTAGAGATGTCATGTGATTGATGTGGTTCCGATTTCTTCAAAAAAAATAATATATTAATTTTATTAACAAGTCAATTATCTAAAGGTATTAATGTCTTATTTTCTAAATGAATATATGTGTGTAAGTATTAATTAAAAAAAAAAAATAGTATATTAATTTTGTTAAAAATATATATATATATATATATATATATATATATATATATATATATATAGTTCAAGAAGAGGGGTTATTTAAAAATTAAATAGTTAAAGTTATTACTGTAAGTAAAAACAAGGTGTTGAAAAGAAAAAAGAAAAAAAAAAGAGAGAGAAAAAAGAAAACAAAAATAAAAATTTATCCTTGTACAAATATTTTTACCTGAAGTCATTACTCTCAAACTCTTCCACGTGTTCATAAAGATAAATTTTTGCCATTATATAGTAATCCAAAATTTATCTTCTGTCACACGCACACTATACAAAACATGTCCCAATACTCATTAAAAAGTTGTATTCAATTATTTATCACAATTTTCACACTGCAAAAAGTAACATGGTTAGTTCCATGACCAAAAATAAGAATATAAAATATAAATATAAATTAAAAAATGAAAGTAATACGGTCGGATAAATACAAATGATAGAATTTTACAATTATGGATCAGTAGGGTAAATAAAAATACATATGGCTCTTTGGTTCATGAAACTGCCAACTAGCCGTGTGCGTTGCCCTTTTTGGGGTTTACACTTTTTAGGGTTTAAGGTTCCCCTCCTAAAATATCCTTTTGAAAATATCCAAAATTTCAGATCTTGTATTCAAACTTCCAAGTTGCATGAAGATATTTACTTCTTAGACAAATTTCATAAATACAAAATATATATATATATATATATATATATATATATATTTCATAAACAACTGCACTAGTACGATAAATAAAAAATATTAAAAAATCACTTTCACAAAAAATTGGATTCCCCAAACACCCCTAAGATTTTGGAATTGAGGGAATATTACTAGAAGAGAGGTTAAGGAATTAAGAACTGAACTCACTTCAACAAAACAATGGCTATACTAAATTAACCAGAGTGCAATAATTATCAATATTTCCATTTTTGTTGTTTCTTTTTTACTAGAATAAGAGAAAGAATAATTTCATTTACTAAAAAAAAAAAAGAAGAGAAGGATTAAGAATAATTTGGAGAGCATAAATATTAAGGATAATATGGTCATTTTAAAGGGGAAGATGAGAGAAAAGACAGTAATACAGCATGAACTGTGAAATGGTATATCTTCTTTTACTTTTGGGCCACAAAAACCGAATATCCCTTAATTGAAATCACAAGTCACAATGACAATACCTGATCTTAAATGACATGACTTGGGAAATCCATGGCCTTAGAAACTAGATAAAGATAAGCAAATTTGATCAAAGACTAGGGATTTCTTGATGCACGTTACTCACATGGTCATACCTTTATAATCCCTGCCTATTAGATGAGCCCACATTCATTAGGTGTGAAAGTCACCACGCTTTCACTCTTATTCAACCTATAATTCTCCTCCACGTGGCAAAACAAAAACGCTATAACCCTACCCTTCGTGTTATTTGTGACGTGGTGCCCTAATTTTAGTACGTGACCTGATTTCGACCCGTGTGGACTTAAGCCCACCAAAATTTTGACCCGTTATTTCTTGTTGGTTTTATGCTGATTCTGGAACTCTCTTGTAGCTTTGAGTGAGTAACGTGGGCATACAAGGTGATATATTTACTTTTTAAAAAATAGAGTGCCGCATAAGTTAAAAGGTGATGATACGGTACTTTATTTTTTTTTTTTTTATATCCATATGTTCCATGGTGTAGAACCTAATTATCACATTCTCTATTTATTATTTTATTAATTTAATTTAAAAATAAAATAAAAAGTTTGAATTTGAATTTAATAATTTTTTGTCTTCTTCCCAATGACTATATCGTCAGATTCAGATGGGAAAGATTTATAAATAAAAATTACATTAACTTCCCACAGATAGAAAAATAAAATTACATTACATTAACTTCCCACAGATAGAAAAAGAAAATTACATTACATTAACTTCCAATAAGTAGAAAAAGAAAATTACATTACATATCTTCACAAACTACCCCTTTTACTAAAATGTACATAAATTTCATTTTGTTGATCAATGGTCCATGTTTTTGTTGCTACTGTTGGAGCATCATTTGGATTTTTAAGCATCATTTATTTTTCAAAATCAAATTGCTTCTGCTCAAATTCTAACTTTTTCATTTCTTTTTGTGCCTCAAATTCCAACATTTTCAATTCTTTTTGCGCCTCTATGTCCATTCTTTTTGTATATTCTTGTTCCAAGCCTAAATCGAATGTAGCTTATAATTTCATTTTTTGAGATTCGACTGCCAAAACATTCATCAACTCACTTTGATGGGTAAAATCTTTAAATTGTTCTAGAAATAAATTATGTTGTATTTCCCCTTTGCTTTTCTTGCGACTCTTCTTAGATGTTTTTCGTCCAGGAGGTCGTACAATGCTATGTGAACTTTCAACACTAAGTGCAGGCAAATTGTATTGGGGTTGAGATAAATTTTCGGATTGAAAAAAATTTGAAAAATCCAAATTATAATTGGATTGCGGTGGTAATTCGGAGTTATGAGATTAATTGAAATTAGGGCGATAGAATGGAAGTTGAGGATCCATAGAGATGAATGTTAAAAAAAATATTGAAAGAGAGAATTATTGAA